CGGAACAGTGCTGGGACACCCATGATGGTAATGCGACACTCGTGGTGTGAATATTTTGGAGAATTCCAGTACTGTTATGTCGCAATCAGTTGATCGGGTTCGGGCAGGCGCAGGCGCGATCTCTCTGTTCGTGGATGAGATGCAATTTGAGCCAGCTCAGATGAGATGCAGACTCCTCTAAAGCATATAATAGAGGTAAAAAGAGAGACAACCGCACATATGATCGCGGTGCAGGTTGAGAGTAGTGAAAGCGAGCTTGCCGTTGACGAAAAGATAAATTCCGGGCGGTCGGCGATTCTGCGGGTTGGGCCAAGATCGGCCATTAGCCCCCTTTGGCAGTACAATAGGACAGCTTTCTACTGCGAACCAATCTCTTAACTTTTTCCCCTTTTGATATCTCATATATGACTACAAATTTTTATGCCCTCGGCCGGCAATGACCATGATATTGCGAATCAACTACGATGTTCCGAATCCTCGAGTCGCAAGCTCCGGCCAAACAAACGGCTACGGACACCATCGACGTATTAAGCAGTAGACTGCAAAGTGCTACATTGTTGGAAGATCGTCGCGCAGCAATCCAAGGATTAAGAAGCTTTGCAAAACTCTACCCTGCATCGGTCGCTTCCGGTGGCCTGCGGTCATTGATCAGCAGTCTGCGTAATGACAGCGAGGATGTGGACACCATCAAAGTGGTCCTCGAGACCCTTTTAATGCTCTTCACGCCTGATGAATCTAGTGTTGGTATCTTGTACTCTGATAATTGCACTCGAGTTGCTCATATATTTGCTTAGCCTGAAGCGTCGGATGAAATAGCTCTGTGGCTGGCAGATGAATTCACTCAGGTACGCATTGTGATCTTAGTCCCGAGATGATAGACTAACCTTTCCAAAGCGGCAAGATAATATAACTACCCTGCTCGACCTTTTGGAAGACCGTGAATTTTATCCCCGCCTTTATTCACTCCAATTGATTTCCCACATTTGCAGCGCACGACCCGAACGAACACAGGAATGCATTTTTACAGCGCCGCTAGGTATTTCCAAATTAGTCAGAGTCCTGACAGATGCAAGGGAACCAGTAAGGAACGGTATGTCTTGTAGAATATTTGCGTCCATGTTGGATGTGAAAGCTTGGAGCTGACAAACTGTTTTCTTCATTGACTAGAGGCTCTCGTCTTGTTGATTGCCCTGACCCCCACCTCGGAAGAGCTGCAAAAACTTGTAGCATTCGAGAATGCATTTGAAATACTTTTCTCTCTTATCGAAGCAGAGGGAGCATTGACTCATGGGACCGATGTAGTGGAAGATTGCCTCTCCTTGTTGGCTCACTTGTTGAGGTTCAATGTTTCCAACCAATCATTTTTCCGCGAGACCGGTTGTGTGAAAAGGGTAACACAGCTGTTTCATGAATGTCAACAGGAGCCAAAGGACAATGAGCCGGCACCACAGTGGACTCTGGTCCACCGAGACAAGAATGTCTGGGGCCTATTAGCCATCATTCAGTTGTTCTTGATACGCGGTGGCATGACCACACCCATTAACCAGACTGCATTCTGGCAGAATGGCGTGACAGAACAAGTTCTTAGCATTGCATTCGGTCAAAAGTTTAGTGTCAGTGTAACCTCAAAGGTGAGATATTGATATTACCCTTCTTAATCCGTATTTCTCACTGACAAATAAAGGCCTTATCAACTTGTGCCGATTTGATTCGCGGCAACTCACCGTTGCAGGAGAGATTCGGTGACATCGAAGTCCTATGGGGCTCATACACCCGCGGTGACAAGGCTGCCAATGGTGATGCAAATGAACCCCTGCGTATCAATGTCATTGAAGCATTTTTAAAGCTCAGTCTTGAACCTGCCCCTAACAACCTTCTGGACGCGCGACTCGCTGCCTGCGAATGCATGAAAGCTTTTTTCGCCCATCATCCTGGAATTCGCATGCATGTGCTCAGGCGAGCGATTGAAGGACACACCAGCGGGCAGGATCGGATTCCCAATATTCTATCTGTACTACTTACTGCACCGGAAGCGCGAGGGAATGCTGATCCGTATCAAGTGTGGATGGCCTGTGTTCTGATGTTCCATTTGCTCTTTGATGATGCAGAGGCGAAAGCAACAGCTATGAGTGTCACCGAGGGCGATGCTGAGAGCGGCGAAGAAGTGGTCACTAGTGTACAATCTGTCGTTGGAAACCTGATCACTGGTCTACAGCGTGGCGATGATGAAAGAATCACAGTCGGCTATCTGATGTTGCTCTGTGGTTGGCTTTTTGAAGACCCAGATGTCGTGAATGATCTTCTTGGAGAGGGAAGCTGCATTCAGACCTTGTTGCAGGAAATCAAGCACCAGCGCGCCCCTAGTAAACTGGTTCCGGGTCTCTGCACCGTGCTATTGGGCGTCATATATGAGTTCTCCACCAAAGACTCGCCAATCCCTCGCGTCACGCTCCACAAGTTACTCATCGAGCAGCTTGGCAGGGAACAGTATATTGACAAGATCACAAGACTTCGAGAATGTCCATTGGTCCGCGACTTTGAGGTCCTTCCCCAAACTGCTGGTGGTCAGCTTGAAGGTGGACTGCCGGAGGTGTTTTTTGACCGCTCATTCGTTGAGTTCCTCAAAGATAACTTTAGCCGACTGCTTCGTGCCATTGACCGCGAACCCGGATTTGAGATTTCTGTTGTTGCCAATGGCGTCGAAAAAGGAATTTCACGTGAGCTTGTTGATTCATTGCGTGCGGAAATTGAAGATCGTACCCAGACCCTTCAAACATTGGAATCTGATCTCGCTAGCATCCAACGGATGCTTGATCAAGAACAGCTAGATCACCAAAAGACAAATGAATCCAACGCGGTTGAATTGTCAAAGGTTCAACAAGCCAACCAATATCTACAACAACGCCATACACAGGAGTTATCACAACAGCTATCGAAGCTCGAAAACGAACATACGCATTCCAAGAACGAGTTACTCAAGCAGCATAACGATCAGCTCCGTGCCATTGAACATCAACTCAAGCAGGCTTCAGCGGAATCTGAAAGCAAAAGCAGAAAAGCCAAGGAAATGAGAGAACACCATGAGCGGGAGGTTGCTGGTCTGCAACAAACCATTCGTGCCTTGGAGTCGGAGCTTTCCCGCATCCAGGAACAACATAAAGGAGAAGTTTTCAATCTCAATAAGAAAGTCCAGGAGTTGGAAACTATTATCAGCCAGTCCAATGAAACTCACAGCGTAGAGACCACTGGTCTTCAAAGGAAGATTCAAGATCTCGAAAGCACCAAAAAATCCCACACTGGTCAAGTTGATAACCTCAACAAGAAGATCCAGGGATTGCAGAACACGATCAGCCAGACCAAAGAGGCCCACAGTGGACAGGTCGCCGACCTTGAAAAGAAGATTCAGGAACTAGAAGACACCAAGAAAGCCAATGATAAACAGGTGGCCGAACTCAACAAGGGAATCAAAGACTTCGAAAGCACCAAGGGAACTCACGATGTAGAAGTTGCTGATCTTACCAGAAAGTTGGAAACCCTGGGATCTACATTGGCCGCCGCCAAGCAAAAGCATCAAGTGGAAGTTGGTGACTACAAGAGCAAGGTTGAAATCTTAGAATCCGATCTCTCTACAGCCAAGCAGCAATATGAGACTGAATTCACTGGCCACAATAATACAGTTGGGACTCTTGAGTCGAATCTCGCCTCAGCCAAAAAGGAGCATGAAGCTGAGATCGCAGCTCTAAAGCAATCTGTTTCAGCTCTGGAGTCAGACCTTGCCAAAGCCCAGAAGTCTAGCAATGATGTTGAAACAGCCCAAGAAGGCACCGCATCACAGACCTCTGCACTGGAAGCACGAGCTAAAGAAGCTGAGGATAAGGCCAGAGACGCTGAGTCCCACGCTCGCAGTGTGGCCGAAGCCCTTAAAAGCATACAGGCCCAGCTCAACAAGGCTAAGAATGAAGCCAAAGAAAAAGAGGAGGCTCGCCAGTCAGCCCAGTCTGAACTGGAAGACCTGCTAATTGTCTTTGGGGACCTTGAAGCTAAGCGAACGGAGGACAAGGTATGCTCACTAGCTCAATATATCCCTAATCTGCTCTTGACCCTTGAATGACTAACGATTATTAGAAACGGCTCAAGGAGCTCGGAGAGGAGGTTTCGGAGGCTGAGGAGGACGACGATGAGGATGAGGAAGATGAGTGAAGGACATGTGCCTATGTGTAAATAGCCAGGCTAAACAAAGATTCCAAATTTTCAGTGATTCACGGTGTGATACCACGGAATGCCTCAGCTTGAATAGGTAGCTGCTGTGTATAGTTCCAAGATTTATCTCTTTCTCTTTACTCTTCCCATATATGTTCACGTCCCTTGGCTTTTTACCTGCCTAAGCGAGTAGTAGGGGCCATAGGTTAGCCTGGCGTCCAATACAAAGGATGATTCGGCTTTATCTTCAAATGACATCTTCCATTCTTCGCTCGTGGGTGTTACATGGATAGAATCCTTAATTTACAAATGCCCTCAGGTAACTAATGATTCAAATCTACGGAGTATATCGCACAAGAATAATCAGCGGCATGAGCGGCTTCTCTCCTCAACGACGCAGACATTTGGCTTAAGATAATATACAGGACGCGATATGTAAGAACACTCGGATGTGTTTGTGAATGTTCCTTTTATGTCTTCCAAGGCGTTTGCGAAGAGGGGTGAAAAGCATAATTTGTACAGACGACTTTTCTATCCCCAGGGATATGCATAGTACTACATAGAAAGTTACCATGCGACATGCCCAGGTAGATTGGGTATATGACATACCCTTGGAAGATCAGAAAATCAGAAGGGCTTACAAGAGCTTCCGATCGTTAGGCTCATTTTCATATAGCAAACAAGCCACGGTGCCTATTTAAAACCCGTTCACATGAACCTAGACTTATCTTTCACCCACTTGCCCATGCTCATCGAAGGAGACAGCTCAAGCTTCTTCCATCGAGCGTCACCCATACATCATGGCTGAAACTATGATACCATCTCGTCAGTACTGTTATGAACCTGAGATTTTGTATGAGTATCAATGGGCTAGTGGTATGTACATTTCAGCAATCAAAATTGCTGGTGCCTTGAACTTGCCAACAACATACGAGATCAACGCATTAAGGTATAATAACACGGAGACTCGGAGAATTATTACCATGTGGTCTGGCTTCAGAAAAGATCGAAAGTTGAAATTTCCTGCACTCTGGCAATACGCTCACGAAGATAATCTTGGGTATGCCACAACAGCTCCTGCGCCCCCACAAGTCGGTATACAGAATGTAACTCCCGAGGTCTTCATCTTTGCGTCGGCAAACTGGTGTATAACTCAGCTCATACGTTTGGTCCCGACGCTATTTCCCCGCTGCAATCTCGACACGACTCCCCCGGAGCTTGATGCATACGAATTTTTTCATGCGTTCGCTATTCTTCGCTGGGGGTCTCAGGCCATAAGGGTGCAAACTAGCACACAAGCTGCACTTCCGGTGAGGTGGCACCGCGAACCTAGTACTGGCAGACTTGGTATTCCATCCCCCATATTCCCCATCGAAATTGAAGAGCCAGCAACAGCATCGGGCTCCGCAAACGCATATGTTCCCAGGTATGCACTTCCAGCCGCTTTGGGGGACGACGATATCGGTCCACCTAAACAAGGAGCTATCAGGGATTATACCGGCGCTCGTGAGATATTGTATCAATTTGCTAGCAAACTATGCGAGCAATTACAGCAAGTCCAACTCTCAGTCGAGTCTGATGAACCTGAGAAAGATGAGAACGGTAGTACCCAGTTCGCTGGTATCGATGGGCTGGTCGAACTATATACTCAGACACTTGAACGGAGCTGCATGGGTGGCCTCGCAGCCAATAATCGGGCTTTTGGCCAACTTGCAAGCCACTGTGCTCAGATGGGGAGCCAGAGCGCTAGTGAGACCGGCCGTCGAGAAGAAGTTGGCCCTGTCGGAAACACTGGCCCCGGATTAAAGTGCTCCGGCAAACGTTTCCAGGCCGCTCCAAAGACGCAAATCAGCCGGCGGAATACTGGTGTTTCCAAAAGCACGACTCGATCATCAAGAGGTCACAACACAAGATCGAAGGAACGTGTCCAGGCGATATTCAATTCGGAATTAGCAGGTACATTGAACTCGACAGATCAGTTAGACGTAGTCAATTGGGAATTGGCCGGCACATCGAACTTGGATCAGTTGGATGCAGTCAACTCGAACACCGTAATCGAGTTAGATTCGGTAATCGAAGTTGATTTAACAGAAGACTGAATCCTCAAGACGATTTCGGCTATTTGTAGTGTTCGCGTTACAGGCGATGTCGGCCAAATTAAAAGTTGAGGTTAAGATGTGGAATTTGGCAAATTTTTAGAGAATGCAGTTCCTCATAGTCTGGATTAAAACTCATTTGATTAGTCAAGAAAGTTGCATGTACAAGTACATTTTTTTATAATATACATTGTAGATGATCTGAGTGTTATAACGCAGACTGTGTACGGAGTACGAAGTATAGATCGACAGATTGAGTCACCGGGCGGTCAAGAAACTGCCCGCGACACCGGAGGGGAAACAATACTGGTTTTCCTTTTTTTGTCTTGTTGGCTCTTGACTTAGAGATTATATTCTCTTGATAAACTATTGGCTCTTGGCTTAACCCTGTCCAGGTTGGTAAATCTCCTATAATCCTCCACTTTACCCCAAATGATCGGTGTGCACCTTGTATCCCTAGATTCATTGTGGGGGGGTAAAACAGATAAAGAAAGTACAGTGAGTCAGGGTACTAAGAAGTCACAGAATGAAATGAGCAGTCATTGAACATTGCCATTACCAAGTCCTCGTCTATTTCCTCCTCCGCAATGTCTGAACCCACCAAGATCAGCATCTTGGGCCAGGAGAGCATTGTCGCTGATTTTGGTCTTTGGCGCAATTTTGTCGCAAAGGACCTGATCAGTGGCTTACCCTCAACGACCTACGTTCTCATCACCGATACCAATCTCGGATCTCTTTATACCCCAACTTTTCAAAAGACCTTTGAGGCTGCCGCCGCTTCCATCACCCCAGCCCCGCGGCTCCTCGTCCACAATGCGGCCCCGGGAGAAAGCTCCAAGTCACGGCAGACAAAGGCCGACATCGAAGATTGGATGCTGAGCCAGAACCCACCATGTGGTAGAGACACGGTGATCATTGCTTTGGGTGGTGGAGTAATTGGGGATTTGACTGGATTCGTTGCAGCAACCTACATGCGCGGTGTGCGTTTCGTGCAGGTCCCAACCACGCTCCTTGCCATGGTGGACTCCTCAATCGGAGGAAAGACAGCTATTGACACTCCGCTTGGTAAGAACCTCATTGGTTCCATCTGGCAGCCATCAAGAATCTACATTGATCTTGAGTTCCTCGAGACTCTTCCCGTCCGAGAGTTCATCAATGGCATGGCCGAGGTCATTAAGACTGCTGCCATCTCAAGTGAAGAGGAGTTCACTGCCTTGGAAGATAACGCAGATTTAATCTTGGCAGCTGTGCGCAGCGAGCCAAAGGCTGGCCGAGGTCGCTTCGACAGCATCCGGGATATCCTGAAAGCTAGAATCCTAGCATCAGCACGTCACAAGGCATTTGTGGTCTCTGCAGATGAGCGTGAGGGCGGCCTTCGCAACCTCCTGAACTGGGGCCATTCTATTGGACATGCTATTGAGGCAATCCTTACCCCTCAGATCCTTCACGGTGAATGTGTCGCAATCGGCATGGTGAAGGAGGCAGAGCTTGCGAGACATTTGGGCATCCTTAAGGGTGTTGCCGTCGCTCGTGTGGTGAAGTGCATCTCGGCCTACGGCTTGCCCACTTCCATGAAAGATCCCCGAGTTCGTAAGTTGACTGCTGGTAAGCACTGCTCTGTAGACCAATTGCTGTTCAACATGGCTTTAGACAAGAAAAATGATGGCCCAAAAAAGAAGGTTGTTCTCTTGTCAGCAATTGGCCGCACTCACGAGCCAAAGGCCAGCGTTGTCTCTAATGAGGATATTGGGGTCGTCCTTGCTCCCAGCGTTGAGGTTCACCCCGGAGTGCCCAAGTCGCTCAATGTTACTTGCGCACCTCCCGGATCAAAGAGTATCTCCAACCGCGCCCTTGTGCTTGCTGCGCTTGGTTCTGGAACCTGCCGCATCAAGAATCTCTTGCACTCCGATGACACTGAGGTCATGTTGAATGCCCTCGAGCGACTCGGTGCGGCAACTTTCTCTTGGGAGGAGGAAGGCGAGGTCCTTGTTGTGAACGGCAAAGGTGGAAAGATTATCGCAAGTCCTTCCCCTTTGTACTTGGGTAACGCTGGTACTGCCTCGCGATTCCTCACCACCGTGGCTACACTCGCTACTCCCAGCAGTGTTGACTCGAGTGTCTTGACCGGCAACAACCGTATGAAGCAAAGGCCCATTGGCGATCTTGTTGACGCTCTTACCGTTAACGGTGCCGGTGTCGAGTACATGGAAAGCAAGGGATGTCTGCCTCTCAAGATCGCCGCTTCTGGAGGATTTGCAGGAGGAAAGATCAATCTGGCCGCTAAAGTTTCCTCTCAGTACGTCTCTTCGCTGCTCATGTGTGCTCCGTATGCCAAGGAGCCAGTGACGTTGAAGCTGGTTGGTGGTAAACCCATTTCACAGCCCTATATCGACATGACCACTGCGATGATGAGATCATTCGGCATCGACGTGAAGAAGTCTACTACCGAGGAGCATACCTACCATATTCCCCAAGCTCACTACTTGAACCCTGCCGAATATGTTGTGGAGAGCGATGCAAGCTCTGCAACTTATCCTTTGGCCATCGCGGCCGTCACTGGCACCACCTGCACCGTCCCTAACATTGGTTCCAAGTCCCTTCAGGGCGATGCTCGTTTCGCAGTGGATATTCTAAGACCTATGGGCTGTTCTGTTATACAGACTGATACTTCCACCACTGTTACAGGGCCCACTGATGGCGTTTTGCAACCGCTACCTAATGTGGACATGGAGCCCATGACAGATGCCTTCCTTACTGCCTCCGTTCTCGCGGCTGTTGCCCGGGGCAAGGGTTCAAACCACACAACTCGTATCTACGGTATCGCAAACCAGCGTGTTAAGGAATGCAACCGTATCAAGGCTATGAAAGATGAATTGGCTAAATTTGGGGTAGTGTGCCGTGAGCATGACGATGGTCTTGAGATCGACGGCATCGAGCGCTCTACCCTTCGCCAGCCCTCTGGTGGTGTTTTCTGTTACGATGACCACCGGGTCGCGTTCAGCTTCAGTGTGCTATCTCTCATTGCTCCCCAGTCTACCCTTATTCTGGAGAAAGAATGTGTTGGAAAGACCTGGCCTGGCTGGTGGGACGCCTTGAAGCAAATGTTCAGTGTGAACCTTAATGGCAAAGAACTGAAGGAAGCTGAGCATGTTGCCTCGAGCGATGAAAAGCGGAGCAGCGCCTCTGTCTTCATCATTGGTATGCGTGGCGCCGGAAAAACCACCGCTGGCAACTGGGTTGCCAAGGCCCTTGACCGTCAGTTCATCGATCTTGATACAGAGTTGGAGACTTCTGAGGGTATCACTATCCCCGAGATGATCAAGGCACGCGGCTGGGAGGGATTTAGAGACGCAGAACTCGCTGTTCTTCGGCGCGTCATGAAGGACCACCCCACTGGCTATGTATTCGCATGCGGTGGAGGTGTTGTCGAAATGCCAGAGGCACGGAAGCTGCTTACTGACTACCACAAGAGCAAGGGCAACGTGCTCCTCATCATGCGCGATATCAAGCTAGTGATGGACTTCCTCCAGATTGATAAGACTCGCCCTGCCTACGTGGAGGACATGATGGGCGTGTGGCTGCGACGTAAGCCTTGGTTCCAAGAGTGTAGTAACATCCAGTACTATAGCCAGCACTCCACCTCAACAGATCTGGCCCTTGCCTCGGAGGACTTCACCCGCTTTATGCGGGTAGTCACTGGTCAAGTAGACAGCCTTAGTATCATTAAGAAGAAGAAGCACAGCTTCTTCGTCTCATTGACCCTGCCTGATCTCCAACCATCGGGCGATATTATCACTGAAGCTTGTGTCGGGTCTGATGCTGTCGAACTGCGAGTCGACCTGTTAAAGGACCCTACAGTTGACGGCGACATCCCCTCAATTGACTACGTCAACGAACAAATGTCTCTCCTTCGCCGCCGTACTAGCCTACCGATCATCTTCACCATCCGCACCAAGAGTCAAGGCGGCCGCTTCCCTGATGATGCTCATGATGCGGCATTGCAGCTGTATAGGCTAGCGTTCCGTTCTGGGTGCGAATTCGTGGATCTTGAGATCGCGTTCCCCGATGCGATGCTTCGTGCCGTTACTGAGATGAAGGGTCACTCTAAGATCATCGCCTCGCACCACGATCCCAAGGGCACTCTGTCGTGGGCTAACATGTCCTGGATGCAATCCTACAACCGTGCTCTGGAGTACGGCGATGTGATCAAGCTGGTTGGTGTTGCCAATACCCTAGATGATAACACTGCCCTTCGGAAGTTCAAGACATGGGCAGAAGAAGCCCACGATGTGCCCCTGATTGCGATCAACATGGGCGACAGTGGTCAGCTCAGCCGTATTCTGAACGGTTTCATGACCCCGGTGTCTCACCCCAGCCTTCCTTTCAAGGCTGCACCTGGTCAGCTGTCCGCTGCAGAGATTCGCCGTGGTCTCTCCTTGATGGGTGAGATCAAGGCCAAGAAGTTCGCTATCTTTGGTTCCCCTGTCTCCGGCTCGCGGTCTCCCGCCCTTCACAACACCCTCTTTGGCACAATGGGTCTTCCACACGAGTACTCTCGCCTGGAGACTACCAACATCGAAGATGTCAAGGACTTCATCCGCTCCTCCGACTTCGGTGGTGCCTCGGTGACAATCCCCCTCAAGCTTGATATCATGCCCCTGCTCGACGAAGTCGCCCAGGAAGCTGAAATCATCGGCGCCGTCAACACCGTCGTGCCCGTCCCCAACGGCGACAAGCCCCCTCGTCTGATTGGCTACAATACCGACTGGCAAGGCATGGTTCGATGCATGCGCAACGCAGGCGTCTACGGTTCCAGCGGCAACGAAAGTGCCATGGTCATTGGTGGTGGTGGTACTGCCCGTGCTGCCATCTTCGCCCTCCACAACATGGGCTTCTCTCCGATCTATGTGGTGGGCCGTACCGCCAGCAAGCTCGAGGGCATGGCCTCGACCTTCCCGACCAACTATAACATCCGTGTTGTAGACAACCAGGCTCAGCTTGACACCGTTCCCCAGGTTGCTATCGGCACCATCCCCGCTGACTGTCCTATCGACCCTGCCATGCGCGAGACCCTCTGTCACATGTTCAAGCGCGCTCAGGAGATTGATGGTACTTCCGAGTCTAGCAAGCCCCGTGTTCTCCTTGAGATGGCCTACAAGCCTGCTGTCACCGCCTTGATGCAGCTTGCATCTGATGCGGGTTGGAGTACCATTCCTGGACTGGAGGTCCTTGTTGGACAGGGTGTGCACCAGTTCGTTCACTGGACTGGTATCACTCCTTTGTACCATGAGGCAAGAGTAAGCAAATACCTTGGTTATATTCTCCCTTTCTAGCTCCATCACTAACATTTATTGTCTTTGTGTTTAGAATGCTGTCATGGGTACTGTTGAATGAATGATCCTGAATGCATCATCAATATCTCGGGCTCTTTCCTCGATCTTCCATATTTGACATGTTCCATGTTTTAGCGGTGGTGAGCGGGTTACTAAAAAGCATTCAATAAAATATGTCTTGAGTTGCATCTTGTTTGTTATGTTCATATGACAGTGTTCATACGAAAGTTTTCATCCATATAATTCCATTTTGGTCAATTATATTGTACTATTCCACATCACGTTTGTCCTTGTCTTCTCTCTGATTTATCTCACTGTTCTGTAGGATTCGGGTGTCCTAGATTAATTGTACACCGTTCGAAGTGCCGTTCTGTCTTAGTTATCTCCTACTCAGGTAGCCAGATCAGATATCTGCCTTAAAAACTTTCAACTGTCCACAGATGGATACCTTCTTCCACACTTATCTTCCCTCTTCTTTTTCTTCTTCTTCCTTCTTCCTTCTTCCTTCTTCCTTCTTCGTAGCCTGCTTATCTTCCTCTCTATCTTCTTCGGCCTCTTTTCTCTCTTTCCATACTTCATTCTTTTCTCCTTTACCACTTTGTCTTACCTAGCTATGAAGTCCTCGCCTGCTCCTCCATCGTTTGAAGGATTTCATAACGGCACAATGAGTGGCAGCGACGCTCGAACGACCGATGCGGCCTGCATCAAAGTGAAATCAGGCGCACCAAGTAACTGCGACTGGGATGAAGTCGAGTTCGAGAACCCTACCGACGAGGATCAATCAACCGACCTGCCTGACCAATGCAGATTCGAGGTGTTTTTCATTGAGCCACTTAAAGAGAGAGAAAATTTTGATGTATGGCTTGAGGGTGTCGAGCAATACCTCCGTCCTCTCACGCTCCACCATCTCCTCGATGCAACCATCAAACGACCCTTCCGAGATAGCCCCAATGCAGAAAAATGGAGGCAGCTATCGCAGCAAGTCCGAGCCTGGCTGACGAAGAAAATGGATGCAAAGGTACTTCAGGGAATCATGGCACGTGGTGGACGAGTGACCTTTGCCGATGAATTCATGGCTGAAACACGGAAGTTTATGCTAGATGAGGGACACGATGTGCTGTCCGCTGCGATCTTGAAGCTTATCAAAAAAACCCGCTCTGAGTTTGATAGTCCAGAAGAATTCATTGCCGCTCTGAAATCACGCTACAAATTGACCAGCGACCTCAAGGGACAAGTCCCGCCATACACCGCGGTCATCATCATGTTTCAAGAGCTGCAATCTATACCTAGACTCGGACAACATATCAGGTTCTGGAACAATGAGCTACGTCTAGTCAAGAACCCAGCTGCAAATATCACCTGCGCCGACTTCCTTGCATTTACCTCTGCAATCTCTGAAGTCTTGAATAAGATCAATGATCAGTCTACCTTCTGGGATTTCTCTAAGAGACCCAAAATGTCGCCAGTGTCTATCATTCATAGGACTGGCGCCTCAACTCGCCGGCCTATTCAACGTGTTAGTCAATTTGGCCAAGGAGACAGGCTGAATGATGATGCTGAATAAACGTGGTTGCTACCCTTGAGCTAAGATCAAGTTCGGTTTCATCTTTTAAGATACATTTTCATGAAGATCAGCCAGACCGGGGGAAATGGAAATGACTGCATGATACACACTTGTTTGTTTAAAAAAAAAAAAAAGGCAAGAAATGGGGAACTTACGAGCTGAAACCTATGGAAATTGAAATGCAGCTTTTCTTCGTAAAAAGCCTTCTACTAGCATTATATTCAGATCTATTGTCTGCATTCCTTCCAAAGCTCATCAAAATCTCAGTTGGCCTTTACCTCTGGTCGGGGGGAGATGCTCAGCCACACGTCTGTCCAGTATCCAACACCACCTTTAATCATGAACTTAGCCTCAGGCTTATCCTTGACGTTCTCTGCCTTGTATTGACGAAAGAACTAAAACGACATGTTAGTACCCCAAAATAACAAGCCTCGCATGACAAGAGAACAACTCACTTGTAAAGGACCCTTGAACAACTCCATCATAGCAATATCCCTCCCCAAACAAATACGCGACCCATACCCAAACGAAAAGTTATACTTATTATACAATTTCGCCTTCTCAACATCCAACCACCTCTCAGGCTTGAACTCCTCAGCATCATCCCCATAAAGCTTCGGATCCCGATGCACAAGGTACGGGTTAAAGCTGACCTCCGTACCAGCCGGCGCAAAGCGACCATAAAGATCAATCCCAGGTTCGGAGACATATCGGGGGAAGATATTCGGCGCAGACGGGCACAGACGCATAGTCTCCTTCACACAGCCGACATAGAAAGGCAGATTTTCTAGGACCTCACTGTACTGTGGCATATCGGAGATGAGGCCCCTCCGAGTTGCGTTATCAATTTCCGCCATCATACGCTCGTACGCTTCCGGGTGCGTCATGAGGAAATGTACCATGGCCTGGAAGGCGGTGCCGGTTGTGTCTGAGCCAGCGAGCAGGACGAGCAGGACCTCCGCGCGGATGTACTTTAGATCGAGAGGCTTGCCGTCTTCTGTGAGAGCCTCGAGGAAGGTCTGGAGTAGGTCTGTGCGATCAATTTTCTTGCCGTTTTCGATGTCCTTGATGCGCTGATCGATGAGCCGGTCGCGGAAGCGCATTAGTACGCCAATGCCGGAGTCGTCTGCCGGTTTGGCGACGAGAAAATTTTTCAGGGCAGTGGTCTTTACCCATGAGGTGAAGGGATGGAGGCGGGCTAGAAGGCCGAAGGCTGGGAGGCCGTCGTGGAAGCCTTGGATTAGGCCGCCGATGTCTTCGCCTTTTTCAACGAAGCCAAAGGGCTCACCAAATCCGATTTCACTGATGATGTCGTAGGCCATGTAACTGATCGACTTGTTAGTTTGAGTGCTGTGTCATGTGGCTCGTGTGCTGCTTACACTGCCCACCAGGAGAAGTCGAAGGCTTCGCCGCTCTTCGCGAACTTTTTACTGAGTTTTCTGGTCCATTCGGTGATACGCAGATCAACTAGTGGTTCCATTTTCTTGATGTTGCTGAAGCTGTACTATGTTGGGTGTCAGTTTTGGCAAAACTATCTTCGAATGAACTCATATATCCTCATACCGGTCCGGCAACGTGCTTTCTAAACATGGCATGTGTCTTGTGAGACCTCATATTAAATAGAGATTCGGTCTCGCCGAAGCTTCCAGTGATATAGTGTCCAGTCTTGTCTGCATTGCGGTGGTAGATTTCCGGGAGCTTTTCATAATCGTTGACCAGCAACAACGTTGGGGTGATGCGAACAACAGGGCCTGAGAGAATTGACTTAGAAACATTCCTTTCGGAGATAAAATCAGAACCAACCATATTTCTTAGCAAGTGCATAAACAGTTGGAATCTCGGTGCCCAGCAGATTATGCCATGCAATCCAAAGACGGGTTACAGAGCCCCAGAAAGGACCGGGGAATTTTGCGAGTGGACTGAAAAAGCGATGGTAAATAACTTGCCAGCCAAACTTAAACGTGATATAGGCAATAAGACCCAGGATGACATTGGTCACCGTCACCAGTGACAGGGCATTTTCTGCAAGACCCATGGTGGCTTAGAGATACGCATGGAAGATGAAAATCTCCCTTTTTGACCGAGGCAGGGAATTTGTCCCTCCTGAAATAACCCCCAAATGGCTCGCATTAAACACCATATTGTAGTAAGGGACCAAATGTCATTGGCCAAAGGGCTATGTCAAATTACAGCACCCCACGGCACTTCTACAAGCCTAGACCAATCTAGGTATAAACGGTTGAAGCTATCCTTCAGGGGGCAGTTATGTGCATCTAACCTTCCCAATTTGTGCCAGTCTTTGCGCTAAAGCATTGGTAACACGGACATCGTAGCCCTAAAGGGATCGCGGCTCAACTTGCTAATTCAGAATCGCTGCTCTGTGGCTGATCCATCGTTGCGTACATTCCTGGCAAAGATACCATCGTGGCCTGGTTGCCAAAAGTAGTAAAGATATTCTTGATATGCAGAAAAAACAGTGTCCATCAGAGGGGGCCGTGCGAGTCTGCCGTTGCCGTTACCATTACTGTTGCCCACGAAAAATCAGGGACAAGGACAGTATAGGAGGATAGATGCTCAAGAGTTCTTTGCCAGGTGTGAGACAAGATTTTCAGTGTTCCTGCCATTTTCATAGGGCATAGGAATAACAAAGCATCCACAAGAATACTGAGACTGTGGAGCGACTGCCGTGGCATTCTCCACCAATATCCGATGTTTCTCACTGAGCCGTTTCTGTGAATTAAATTAAGCTGCAGACGTTGACTATGTTGTATGTTATTAACCTAAATGCATATGCATTCTCAATGTATGACATCAAAAATCGCGGCTTGAGGTTTGATTACATTATGGGAAACCTGCCCATATTCATGTACTAATTTCCCAAAAACTTCACTCATAAAAAGAAAATTGTGTCGTAATGAATGGTATCTATTTATTTGCTATTGAATGAGACAAGTATAAGTCAGAATATGCCGATGATAAACCGATAAAGGAACAATGTAGCGTTTAGGATTACCGCTCAGATCTCCCTAATAATATGAAATGATACGTATATATGCACTTTCCAATAGTTGTTAAGTTGTACCTGAAGGTTTCTATACCTCCCATTCAGGCCTGCATTTATATTGGGTTGGTTATTGAATAGGAGCAGAATAGCTGGCCGTTTACATGGCCTCTGTATTTACCAATAAGTTGGATGATATTACAGTATGCTATCTTTGTAGGCGATCAGATGTCTTTGAGGATCTTTAGAAATGTATATTTAGAAAACTTATATAAGCAGGAACTTCTAATCAGATCAATATAACAGTCGAAGTATAGAAATTAATTCGGTAATGGGCTGCGCAGTAGAGGACATCGTGCGTCGCTTCGGGTTAGCGGCCATTGCTGCTCCTTCGGGTCTAAGATCAGATGTCTATACTGCGAGAACATATCCTCGCTCTCACCTATCCTGTGCCTTGTGTAAAATAGTTACTTATTAACCTTACAAGTAGCCATCAGTTCTCGGCGTTCTTTATCCTTATCATGATCGTGTTGCCCACCGTTGTCGCACCGAGCCACAGGAAATTATAAAATACCTGGCCCCGGCCCCGATCCTCTTCCTCTTTTCTTTCTTTTCTTCTCCATCTTAGTGCACGGGCTTTACACGGATCAGTGAGGAGACATCCGAGATCGTGTTTTTGCTGGTTGAAAACTACCAACGTGACCTCTTCAAGCGGGCCTCTGGGAACGCTTGGGAATTTTTGAAACAATATCATCTTAAGTCTTTTCACTACTTGTTGCCCATGCTGGTTGCTCTTAGAGAAGAGATAGATTATGATGAAGTAAGTTTTTCCAACATGTGAAACACGTAGAGTTGTTGAGAAAAGATTTCTTTTTTTTGTACGGAGTATAGAGGATTGATAATTGCCCTTTGGATTCTGGCATGAATTTTCAGTCCCGCCTTCTTAATCGGACAAACAGTTCCGACACATATTCTGCCACTTCATTAATTCCTGTTTGCCATCTGTTTTTATAAAACTCGGTCAAAAAAAAATTGCTCGTTTTCGGCCTCCTGCCCCAAACTACTTTACAGATTCATTATGCTTGCTCTTATGAACGGCGCCACCCCCTCCCCCCCTCCCCAACAATCACGTCCTCCAGCTTCACCGCTACGAGTCTTGCAGAGTGAGATATGAAGTGAAAAGTGACTTGTTTTTCTTAGCAGTTTACATATGAAGTGCAGGTACCTACAACATAAATCAATTGGAAGACGGTGAAAAGAGCGGTAGATAACAACCAGGCATCAAGGCAGGAACTTTACCAAATTAGGAAGGTTCCTTAAAATTAAGGCAGACAGCGAGTATCCAAAGGTGCTGTTATCAATCCCCTAGCTCATCGGTATATTATATGAGACAGACCAACTATTACTGGAACACCTATATTGTACTTCGAAGCAATAGTATACTTCTAGTCTGGGGAATGGAATAATAAATTGATTCTGGCTTGCGGAAAGGGGCTCGATGTGTAAGAAATTAATTTATCTACAATCTACGGAGTACGTACATGTGCATTGTTAAGAATAACTCATATCACATATGACATGCACTTCCAAATCATCCACAATCTAGCCAGTTTCGCTTTCGCTTAATGAAGTGCTTCACATGACAACTTGGGAGGCAAATGGAGCCGTGTAAATCGAAAGTTCATACTCCGTAGTAACTATTGCACACATGTAGGTGAGATATTGCTTCAAGTCTACGAGCATTGTTCATTACTCAGTAATCCGTAAGTATTCAGTAATTGAGCGCATGGACAAAAGATCTCAGCGCCTTGGAATGCGCAGATTGTTCAGGTCCCTTTCCTCGAGATATTATTTCATATTTGACAGGATTCGCCTTCAAATCTTCCGAGGAATGTACTGCACCCTGGAGATTTTTTAGTCGCCTAGATTACCTTCTTCTGTGCGTCAGTTAGATTTAGGGTTATCATACAATGTACTCCGTACTCCGTACTCTGTACAACTTATTCAGACTAAACCATATTAGGATTGCCATCAAACATTTCAATGAGCATGAAAATAACGATAAATCAGATCTCTCCGTCTTACGGGGAGTCTTCCGACTCACGAACTCTTTTGCTTTCGTTCTATCGAGTCTTATTTAAATTTTTTCCCTGCTTTTCAACTTCTTGGTTACGAGTAATAGCCCAAACCTCCCAAGGTTTGGTACTTTCCAATAGTCAAGAACTCACAATGATCGTTTCGGAGACGTCGAATATGTCGACCCACGATACCGGTCCACGATTGACAGCGATCCCTGTTCGAGCCAATCACATCCCTGTCTGTGCTAAAAATGCAATGCTTTCTTATTCCCGGAACCAAGGCCCCTATCAACAGTTGGCTTGGCAGTGGTTTTGGATATATCCAACGGTTTCACTTCGAGAATCGGAGACAGCATTTCCGTGTGGCAAATCATATTGCTAGAAAGCCTACCCTAAGGCTCTTCCTGTTTACCTCTGAAAAACGTGGAAATGGAGCACTCCCCATAAAAGGCTTATTTTAGCACGAATAGGTCAACAAATGCCTCAAGTGGTGGAGATGCACAGTTCGGACAGTCTCGCCTTGCCCTGAAAAGTGGAGGGCTTGTCAGTCCCTACCTTATTTATTTTTTTTTTTTCTCAACGGCCTGTTGGGCGGTATACAGTGGATCTCGGAGGCTACTAGAACCATGCACGATGCGCATCTCTGATGTGCACAGTCATTTTACTAGTTCCAGGGGCATATGGGATTAACCTCTTTATAAATTGCAGGCCGGGGTACCAGTGGCCATTTTTTTTCATGTTTTCGCTGATACTTACAGTGAATTTTTTTTATCATCCGATCTCCATTAGATGGATATGAAACGACAACCGTCTGTGCCATTCATTAAACCCCATTCGTTCCTTTACATCGATTTACGAACTTACTCTCCCTTTTTTATTACTGTTTGATCCCTTTATATTCCTCGCCATGGTTGCTGGCGATGGTTCTCGGGGCCCTATGGTCGAGGGTATATGCGTGGCATTTGCTGTCTTGACATTCGTTGTCTTGTCTCTTCGTCTTTTTTCGCGCATTGCTATCTCGGGTCGAATGGGCATTGATGACTGTAAGCGGGTTGTGCTTAAACTATTTTACCTACACTAAACTAACATCTTCTAGGCCTCATTATTGGCGCTTGTGTAAGAAGAGTCGACTACATAATCCAGACTTGTAACTAATGAAAATAGGTCTTTTCGTGGTCATTTATTGGTGCCATACTTGTCGGTATGTTCTAGCTTCACTCCCTATAACCCTTTGCAGAAATTAAGATTATTTAGCGGTCAAACATGGACTGGGAAAACACATTGTGGACGTCGACCCGACCGAGATCGTCGACTATTCTTTTGTAAGGATGTGAATCCTAGACTTGTACAGCATCGCATTTCTAACCTCGCCCCAGGCCGTCTGGCTAAGCACAATGTTCTATCTTGCAACACTCGGATTCATCAAAACCTCCGTCCTATGCTTCTATACTCGCCTCGGAGATCCCTATCTCACTCGCCTGTCCTGGGTTATGATAGGAGTTATCGCGGCACAGGCAATCTCATTCGTTCTCGTGGCTGCATTTCAATGTCGACCCGTTAGCATGGCCTGGACTGGCATTGGACCTGGAAAATGCGTCACCATCAACCTTTTCCACCTGTGCAACGCTGCCCTAAACATTATCACCAATCTCTTGACTTTTACCTTGCCCATCAAGGTAGTCTTTAATCTCCAGATACCTCGGGAACAGAAGATCATTCTCGGCATAACCCTCTGTCTTGGTCTTTTGTAAGTGTGTCCTGGTACTTCCACCTGGACAATTACTAACGGAATATCTTCTACAGCGCTTGTGTCTCTTCGATCATCCGAATCACCTACATCCCTACCATGGTTAACTCAGATGACTCCACCTACGCCATCAGCGGTGCCATGTACTGGTCGGTCATCGAAACCAACGTCGGCATCCTCGCTGCCTCGATCCCGTCATTCAAGGCGCTTGCCTCTCGTTTCCTGCCTCACTGCATCGGCGAATACACCAGTGGGAAAAAATATGGCGCCTGGTCAAGCGACAACACTACCCCGCGGTATCCATCTGGATTCGCCAAGGTCACAGATCCCAAAAGCATCACTATGGACACGATCAACTGCAAGGAGGATGGTACCATGGGAACTAAAATTGGCGCAGCTAGCAACTCCAGCGAGGAGCGCATTATCCCTCATGGCAAGATCTTCGCTCACACGGAGATAGAAACTACCTTTGAAAGAAATGATTCTAGAAGCTGCAGTTCTTCGCTCGAGCGGCCTCGTCAATGATATTGGGTTTATGCTTATGAGTTGGCGGCTGTGTATGAAATTTTTTTCTTGTTTACAATATTATAATATTTGGACAATGTATTTCGGTTTCTTACATTCCAGGGGACGTAGATGTCATAGATATTATGCTTAAATGGCTATGTAAATGACTGTATAGATGGATCTATTTGATTTGTTCGTGATGAGACTTTTCCCGATGCTCCTCCACCTAGCTCTGAAATAAACCAACATCATCCAAGACATGCGAGTCGCTAATGTACTAAAGTTTGATAACCCCAAAAACTTCCAAAAAGCCCACAAATTCACAATACCAATCTCCAGAAACCAAAATGAGAACCACATGACCACCTCCTATCCCTTCAATCTCATCCCTGTTTCACTTCCACATGCGAAAAGCCGCCGCCCCAACACCAAGCACAGCGAATATACAAGCCCAGCGCGTAAGGCCCCTCTTGAAATGATAATTTACAGACCTCTCGATAGCTTCCGAATCATTGACACGGGGAAACGGCACATCAACCGGCGCCTCCACGCCCAGAGCCTTGCACAGCGGTCCCCACCCATCCCTAACATCAAAGAAAACCAACCTATCCTCCGGCACAACCTTTTTCAACCAAGCAACATGACTCACATAAGTCTCCCGACCATGTTGACCAGCAACACCACCATAAAGCCTCTCCCAGAGCGCAGCGAGCAAATACCCATACGGGATAAAATGTCTCATCCCGTCCAGCGGGAGTAGAACAGCGCGCGCAAACCAAACACCAGTCAAACTCTGCACGTGGAGCATACTCGTCTCCCACAAGATAGGATCACGCACTGTGCAGATGACCTTGGCGTCTGGATACAGCTCCATGAGTTCCGGGACGAGCTCGGAACCTGGGGAGTCGGTGATGGCGACGTAGCCGGCCAATCGGTGTCGTAGGAGGGTGAGCATTTTGGTCCGGCTTGTGCTGTTTTCTTGTTTGAGCCAGCTCTGTAGAATTGGCATCCAGCTTTTTATCTCCGTTGGTGGGCCTATCGATATTTGTGTGCCACAGTGGTACACCGGTCCGTTTAGGAGGATTTCTAGCGCTTCGCTGAATGATGAAGTTCCTGTGCGCGGTAGCCCGGCGCCAATGACTTGGATTTGGGTGCCCTGTTTGGGGACGGAGGCTTTTTGGCCCATTTTGTCTGTATAGGGTGTTTCTTGGTGTTGGATTTGTGTTGGTTGGTGGTTGGTTTCAGGTTGACCGACACTATTTATTTCTTTTCTTTTTCCCACACACTGGCTACTTTTGCTGTTTGAAAATACCGGGGCTTATGAAGATAGGGGCTTATATATACGGTCAAAATATAACCAAAATTTGAGTGGCTTTAGGTTTCTTTGTTTGTTATAAATGACAGGTAGGATACCCCCGAGGTCCGGCTGTTTGGTGATTTCCGCCCCCACTTTGGTCACCTCCAGCATGATCGACAGGTTGGCGATGAGTTAGCGTTTTTAGATTCGCACAATAACGGGGTTTTTTCGGGTGATCAAATAAGGAGTATGGGGCTCAGATCATAGTACATAGATATTGAAAGTACATAGATTAAGTATTTCCTGTGTATAAGTGTTGTTCGTAGACTATATATTTTGTGGCCTGAGGTAGAAGGAAGCTGCACGACAGTATATGAACTGACTTGTGTTTGATTATATCACTGGTAAGACTATGACATAAGAAAGAGATGCGATATTTCGACGAAATTTTGATGAGTTTATGCCGGAAACCATAATGTTTTGCGACAACTGCAACAACTGACTGTATACTTCAGGGCTGTTTTAAGAGGGCCGTCGACAGCCAATCAAATCGCCGAAGGTGGAAGCAGGTTCGCTGTAAAGTCACGTGTGGTTTCCAACATAGAAACATTCAAGGCCACCCACTGCTTTTGCCAGCACAGCTCCACGGAACTCATGTCTCTCATAAATATGGAAGTTATCCAAAAGAATGAGGCATTTAGAAGGATTGATGGCAAAATGAAATTTTCCTATGTCCAGGTTTTTGTTCGGCAAGATGGCATTTTATATTCCGGAAAATGGACTCAATTCGCCAAAAACGCTAGACGATCTCCAGGAACTTAAGGAAATTCCAACCGAGGACAGGGGCCCAGAAGTGAAACCCGCTTGGTCAGCGATCTATGTGAAAACACCAAGCCTCCTCGCCTATATCGATGGAAACCTTGAAAAGCAAATCGCTCGCGAAGTCGAAACATGCGAAATTCTCCGCAAGAACCCCCATCCGAATATCGCAACCTACTATGGCTACAAGGATACCCGCGGTCGAGTCTCTGGGCTATGCTTCAGACGATATACGTCAACACTACTTGAAGCAGTCAATCCCCAACGTCTGGGCAAGGTCGCTTTCCTTTCAAGTGCGCGCGAACTGGTGAAAGCGAATATGAAAAGTGGCCTAGAAGGAATTTTGGCCGCTATCAAGTACCTTCATTCTTTCGGACTTGTTCATAACGATATCAACCCTGCAAATATTATGCTTGGCGATGATGGTACGTTTATTCTTATCGATTTCGATAGCTGTCGATATATCGGGGAGTCGTTGCGCGATACCGAAACGAAAAGAACCCGCCACTGGCACAACCCTGCTATCGATATTTCGCTCGAGAAAAATGATCTTGACGCTTTCAAAGATCTACAAATCTGGTTGACTGGATCGGCGGATGAGAAATTTGTTTTTGAATGAATCGCTTTTTGGGGTAAACACCCAAGTGGATCAGCTGGGGCGATCATCGTTTCAAATGTGGGGCAATTATGAGTAGCAAAACCAATCACAACCACTATGCTAGGTCACCAGCTATACCTCTATTCGCTAGACTGTGTTATCGTAGGGTCTTGTTACAGCCCGGCTAGGTATTGACCTCACGACGCTGTATCGGCTGGGGTCTAGCGAATGTGCGGTATTTTCGCTATTGGCTCGTATCACCGGGGTATACTGTCGAGATTGACCGATTGGGAGCGAATACACTGGAGAGGCCGATGATAACGACAGACTGGAGGTCGAGGTATTTGCCACCGAGAGTAAATCTGCGACACCAAGGACTGTGCAATGTAACCTCAGGTGGGGACCGAGATAGGGCGGATCAAGTAGAGTATGCAGTATCAAGGAGGGCAATTGAGGAGACTTCGCAACAAGGGAGGTCAGCGGAATAACAGACACTCAACGGGAATGCCTCACCAGCAGAAAGCGATCTAGATGGCTTCGTAGACTTATTTGAAAAAATGGAGAATCGACACATAATCATGCGATGTGGTGGATGGCTGGATCACCCCAGTGTTTCCGCCTCTGAGCGGCTGGACCGCATTGCAGCCCACGCTGGTCAGAACGACCACGGCGTCGGATCGAGCGGTATCTCCGGTAAAATGAAAGGGGTAGTGCGTGGGCTGGAAGCAAATGTACAGTAGTCGGTGGGGGCCAGAGTGAAAGAAATGAGCCGGCGATGAGTGCAAGTGCAAGATAGAGGTAGGAAGAATGGAAAAGTGAGAGATGGGGAGGAAGATCAGCGAAGACGGGTCTTTTATATCGGAGGGCATTGAAGGTAGGTTATGTGACAGCGTATTGTTGAGATCACATGGTCCTGTTTGCCAGGACTAGCAGCTACCAATAGCTTCCTCTCCCTCTTCTTCCTCTTTTCCTCAGGAAGGGCAGTTTAGCAGTATCAATACAGTGACATTTGCTGCTCTCTCTTCTCTTGCTCTCTCACCACGTATTGGGTGCGCTAAACCTAAAAAGGCAAAAATAACCTGATGCAGTAATTCACAGGTCCGCTGTTTATACATTATAATATCAGGTTTGAATTTAAAGAAACAAAAAAAAAGATAGACATAGCATGTCCTGGTTTCGATCCAGGGTCCTGTTGCGAGTTAGTTTGATGTTGTGTGTGAAAGTGGTTGCGGTGAAACGTACCTCCGGGTTATGAGCCCGGCGCTCTTCCCCTGAGCTAACATGCTGATTGGTGGAATTTTAAGCGCTGTCGAGAATATGTTCATGATAGATATCCCTTTGAAGTAATATAAATAACAGCCGTCAGCTAGTAGGACGCATATGTAAAATTACCCTGTAGTAAACAGATTACCATTCTTTAGCAACATTTGAATGGATATCGAGGGGGTACATCTGGAACTGCGCAAGAGTAAGATCTAGAAATATAAAGTTCATTGAGAAAACTATATGTTATGCCACTATGTACAGCAAACGGCAGAGGTCATGTGATTTATTACCAGGATGACTAGATAATTTTCATCGCCGTTGGTTTATGTAGATTAATGTACTAGACTTTTTATTCTCTCCTCATATATCCTAGCTAAACACATTGATAAGAGTATTCCTTTTTATATTATTCAATATGCTCACATGTAGAAATTTAGTAGAGTCATATATCCCAAAAGAGTGAGTGCTTCAACAACTCAGCATGTTAGCTCAGGGGAAGAGCGCCGGGCTCATAACCCGGAGGTACGTTTCACCGCAACCACTTACACACACAACATCAAACTAACTCGCAACAGGACCCTGGATCGAAACCAGGACATGCTATGTCTATCTTTTTTTTGGGCCTTTCTTTTTTTACTAGTGTGGATTTCATCAAATCCAACACGTTCTTGATTCAATAAATTCGCCTAAATTGCAGGCTACTCACAGAAACTCTTTTAAGCTCTTATCCTGACATATGTATATACTCACGTTAAAATTGCTTGCCTCAAGCTAGTCGTTGGATATCACGTCCTCTGATCTGAGTGGTATGAGTTCCTCGATATAGAGTCGATAGCTCTTCAGGATATCCACGAACAGATTCACTTTTAGTATAATATACTCTCCAGTCGATTCAACGATGAAAGCCTCCATGGCTATCTTGACTGTACATAGAAACCCCCAAGCGGTAGGAGAACCAGTTTTCGTCAGAAGGAGCACAAGCATGTGGGTGTGAGGTTAGGTTAAGAGCTATTAGAGGATAGTCTCGTCGCCGTCATGGAGATTAAACCCAAGCGTTTGTAAAACAGCAAACCTGAAAATATCAGCTCTGACCTCAGTTTGGTAGTTTCTCTGGTTTGCGGAATGCAATATAACGAGAGCTTTGACCCTTTCAAAGTGATGCCTAGCCGCCGTGATGTTGTCAAAAAGGTGATAAGTGATGGGTATAACAGCGATATTATCAAAGTTACTTGAATAGTAGATTGTCAGTTCCAAATCCGAGCGAGGGACTCCAGAGTCAGAGTTGTGCTGATGTCGTTGGAACCACGGACCTCATTGAACGGTGTGATGGTAGCGTCAGCGAAGAACAGTATGAGACTATGGCATCTACTGGCGAGCGAAAATGGCATAATCTCCACAGGGGACTTGACAGAAGAGCCAATATCGTAGTCAATTGAAGAATGCTGGGATGCAAGCTATGATCCAAGATGGCATCTGAGAGAGGAGGTTTAATATCTTTGATATCCTCGCTCTTCGTAGTCAACAATCTTTATCAAAATCGCCCACATTTATCGAGAGTGGCTGTTTTACTACCGCCTACTCTAGAACAGACCTCTGGCCGCTCCAGCCTCCATAATTTCCGTCTACATACAAGAAAAATGATATTAACGATTGTCTCTTCATACCGACCTCATCCGAGACCGTATGGTTCCATAGTTGTCTGTAGCCGCCCGTGTTATAGGCGCCTATGTCGTCCGACCGGAATATGCAGGCATAGAGTAGACACTTGCATGAGACAGAATGTGGGGCGGTGGCTTTGAAGTCCCTTGGGATCGCTGGCAGTTTGAGAAGAGATAATACAAAGATAATACTTTCCAAGGCTGGTATTGGGGGTATCCTGTGGCTGGTGCTCTGTATATTATGAATAAGGGGCTTTGCTCTACAGAGTAATATTGTCTGACTATACTCCGTACGGAGGATGTATACAGTCCAAATTGGCGTTTAATGGTGAGTGCATATGTGTACTATGGACCACAATACTCCGTACTCACGTTTTACATGTACATCTCATATGACTCCCTCGATGCGACCACGCAAGGGAGGGAAGTATACAAATGAAAAACCAATCAAAAAAAAAGCCACGATCAACCCATCTATCACACCATCAAATAATACACAATACTGATACTGATACTAATACTAATACTAATACTAGTACTAATAATCAGGGTCCATGATCATCACACCACTAAGAAGTCCTTAAGATCGTCCCACCTATCCGACTTCCCACTCCACATATTATAGTACCATTAGGACCCACATAGTAGACCCCACTGTATATCACGTCTATCACTGTCTATCAGTTTGAACAAATGTACAAATGTAAGTATTGCACAATATACAGGCTTATTTGTACAGTCTATAGTAGTAAAATAAGAGTAAATAAAAGTTAATAATTAAAATGATCTCGAATAAGATCTAAGTATTGATGACGACGACAAGTCAACAGCCACATTCGTATCCGGCCAAAAATCGGAAAATATGGGACAACACCGGGGGGTACATGGATACAATCCCAATATACAAACCATATACCCAAATAAGCAATTCGGTCTGGAAAATAGAAACAAGGAAGAAATCCTGGAAATGGCTAGAATTATTGAAATGTATACAATTACGACATCCCAAACCCAACCCAAATTCCCACCGAATCCCAGTACCGAGTACCAGGATACTGGGAATATATTAGCCTTGGAAATTGCTTATTAGGGAGTTTGGGATGGAGTCGGGTTTGTTCCAAGGCTAACAAGGATGGAGGTGTCTACGTAATTATGGGATCATATCTATATACTTGCAAATGCAATATTATACAAGATATGGGTAATTACATGGATGATTGTAGGAATGGAGTAACGGGAGTGCAATATGCAAAGCACGAATCGGGACTCGTCCATGAAGATGTTAATTAATTCCCAATATACAATAACCTTGCCGGTGCTGCATAGAGGTATTTTTGTCAACTCTAATTAGTCCACCCGGTGCGGAGTACACATTGTACATATGTACATATGTACCTATGATATTGCTATACATGGTGCATTGCAGATCGGCGCTTAACGGTCAGCATGGCTGACCTGAGTGGGTAAGTGTGCATGGATGTGAGGGATTCGAGGGATTCAAGTGTACCCATCGGAGCGTTTATTGTTTCAAGAGCCAAGATATCCTTTAGACGTGTTTCACTATGGATTTCCAAATTTAGTGTAAGTATGGAAGAGAAAGTCATTATTTCCAATATTCATGTCCAAAAGATAATATACATTTTTTTTGGAGGCATGTACTATAGTACAAAGGGGGGACACACTGTACTTAAGATCAAAAATGCAGCAACACCATGTACAACAGAAATGTACAAACACCAAGACTATTTGTTTCCCACCAAAGCCATTAGACAGAAAAAAGCAAAAAAAAAAGAGAAACAAATGCTAAAAGATGTAGAAACGAATCGTAAATCGTACACATAAAATAATCAAAGTCGGAGTCCGAATAGTGATACATAGAGCTCATACGTCATCATGACGAAGCCCCGGATTTTTGGTGGGGCCCAAGTGGGTCCACCTATGACGTTTCGGCATGCCGATCCGGTGGATTATGACGTGGAAGGCGCCCTCAGTCTCTCCTCCTGCGTTGCTTGCCTGGCCAGTCGATCTCAGGATGAACCACTCGCATATCTGTAATTAATGTAATTAGTGTATGATCACAGGGGGGAAATAAGGAGGTAAAACACTTACGTCTTGTCAGAGCATCGTTTCGGCTGAATGTCTTATCCTCGTTACAGATGTGACAGCGCACCTTCTGCTTCCCGGCTGTGTGGATCGTATGCTCATGTCGCGTGAGATCGTAGGGCCGGGAGAAGATAGAATTGCATGCTTTGCCTGTAGATGGGTTGATGCGTTCACACTTGTGGGGACCGGCCTGGGAGTTGCGGAGCGAGGTATCGCGGCCGACCAGGTGACCGCCCGGTGTAGTTTGTCGGTGTGCCTCGCGCTTGTGTCGCTGGAGTCTGGAGGGAGTATCGAAACGGTAGGAGCAGTTGTGGTAGGTGCAAGTGTAGGTACCCGCATCTGAAGATGTGTTGGCGGGACGGGGAATGTCCTCTGTAATCTGCATGTTCATCTGGCTTGGGGGCGAGCTCTCGGTAGATTCCACTGCTGGAAGCGAAGGGAAGTCGGTACCCTGCTGCAAGAGGTTGCTCTGAGAGCGATGCATCTGGGGTTCGGAGAATGCGAATTGTGGCTGAGCCATGCTGGGTGCCGTATATTGAGGGAATGCTTCCATCGGTCGCATTGGGCCATTGTCGCGTCGTAAACCAAGCGCATCACCCAGGTTGAAATCAGCCTGACCGGAGGGAAACAGAGGAGGCATGTTATCATCATTATCTTGGAAATCCAAGACTGCATCCTTGGGTGACATAGTCTTAATATCTCCAGTGTTGGAGGTCTGGTTCATGTTCATTTCGTTCATCCCGTTCATACCACCCATAGTGTTCTGTCCCATAGGGATGCTGGTAGCCATTTGGGGTTGCTGAAGAGCGTTGTTGGTCATGTCACCGGCGAATGGGGAAGAGGTGCGGAAAGGTGATCGATCCCGTCTGTTGGAAGGCGATTGTGAGCGAGCAGACAAATGTCCCTGGTTGGCAGCCTGAAGACGATCGGCCATAAAATTGCGCGGGTTGAGGTGGTTCTGTCCCATTGGCTTGGACACCTGGGGCGCAGCCATGATAGCGGGGTTGTATAATTCGTCTTGGTAGATATCGGAAATGGTTCTGTTCAGCTTGGGGACTCCAATTGACATGGCACTGTTGGCGCCGTTGTATTCTGAAGGTGGGTCGAAACGTAAGTACTGGTCCAACCCCCAATCAACATCAGGAATTCCATTCTCACCATTGGTCATCGACTTGGATGCGTCGTCGAGTTCGTCGAGGGTCGTCTGCGGGGTCACCGGCGAGTTATGGCTCATGCTGGACACCGAAGGAGCTAGCGAGTAGTCGTTCTGCATTTGCTGCGGGGGTGACTGCTTCTGCTGGTCCATGATCGCCCTCCTCATAGCAGACTCGGCCTCGGCGTTGTGACCATCTTGGGATGAGGGATCGAAAGTTTGGAAGGGAGTCGCAAGGAATGAGTTCTGAAGTGGGGTTTGCACCGGGGTGGGTAGTGGCTTGTTGGCGCTGTTGGACCGGCGGTGGTAGTTATTGGCTGACAACCCTGAGGGAACTGAGCGCGAGGATGCCGAGGGTGAAGATCTCTTTTGCACACCGGCGTATGGGATGCGCGCAGGGCTTAACAACTGCAAGTTGCTATCCCAACCCTGATTGCTGGCGAGAGGCTGCTGTACCAACATCGGCGTATAATATTGTTGAGGATATTGAGGTAGGTAGTGTGAAGGCGAACTGGAACCCTGGATGTCGTACGACGGGTTGTATGAAGACGCTGGGGTCATCGAAGGAGCCCCGAAAGACTGAGAGTCAGACGCCTGTGGGTAAGAAGTTGAGAAGGTCGGAGAGGAGAAAGTAGGCGAGGAAGGTGCGGAAGAGAGTGGAGAGAGTTGTACACTGGGGTGACACTGGAAAGGTGATTGCAAACGAGATTGAGAGTAGTGGAAGGAGTTCTCGGGATAAAAGTCAGGTGGATACTGGTCGTCTTGTATGATGATGTCCTCTGCGCTGTAGGAATCGGTGATGAGACCCTTACGTGGGTACATAAGCATTATGTTATCACGGGTTTGGGACGTCAAAGGTGGGTAGTGTTTTCGCCACCGGGGTAAGGCGAGCTTTTATAGAACCAGACGGCACAAAATCCGATTAAGATTTCCTGATCAATTGTGGCCGTGCTTGGGAAGCAGTAGGGGACTCTCTTCAAAACTTTGGTTCAAAGCTTTTATGTATGGAAGAGTCTGGAAAGGTTCGGAGGCTGATCGAAAAGATATCAGAGGGCTGGAAGGTAAGGTGACTATGGTTGAGATGAGTTTGGTTCTGAACAATGACTCGACCGGAAAGTTCGAAAATCTTACATTTGATGATCTCAAGAGTCAGAGAGTATTTGGGTATGAGTAATAGAGAAGAGGTTAAAAGAGGGAGCGAGTTGAGTTTAATAAGTCCAACTCTTGTGTACTTTAGATGACCTCACACTAGCTCGGGCTCTCCGAACAAGATTACCGTATTGTCCATATTTGGTATATAATTGGTATATTTGGGTATATTTGGGTATTATTGGCGTTTATTATTATTATTTTTTATGAATTATTTTTAATTTATACACTAGTCCAGATCGGGTAGCATTCGTATCACACATCTTTTTGGGGTTTTCTCTTTTTTCTTTTTTTACCGAGTCCCACTGATCTGATCCGGGTCTCTTGAAGTTGTGGCTTACAAAAAAGCCACAAGGATCCACCATACCTCTATCACTGTGTGATCTCCTATGTGATTGGGCTTTTGTTTTTTTTTGAATGGTAATTGTAAAGATCTACTTTGTAAGTAATTAATAAGTAGGATAGGATAGGATAATTTTGGACTTAGCCAAGGATTACAGCACACATCGCTTAGAACCAAGAGGAAAATTTTTCTTTATAGTCTAGAACTAGCTCCGATTTGCACTCGGGTGACCAGGGCCAAAATTAGGAAAATGGGGGGTGGAGATGCCGAGGAGACATCCCTTAGGACTGAGCCACACCTTAGTTTTTCTTTTTTTCAATTTTTGTATGGAGTACCCCATTTTCCCATAGTGAATGGGAATGGAACAATTCGGCCTAATCTACTAATTTGAGTCAGAAGTAATGAGAATGCCGAAGAACAATTGAACGGAGTGTTATTATTGCATAATATATTTATTAATTATTTTTGATTATCCTTTCTTTGTAGCCACATTGAGAACCATGTGGCTGGTGCCCAATGGTTCGGGTCGTCCCAACGGTGTAGCATTCCTCTACACATGGGAAAACCTTGCAAAAACAACATTCCTAAGAATCACATTTCCTGATTTTTTTTGAAAAATACTAACTATTCCAATACTCGACCTCGGGAATACTTGAGAATTGTGGCTGTGAAAGTAATTGTCTACTTTGTCTCCCCACTTCGCGCCAATCGGTGGGTTCCGGTCGCAGACAAACGCGATAGTCAGCTGACCATCTCCAATGCATTTAATGGCATGATAAGCCGAAGTTGGACACGGGTGTAAGGGAAACTGACCAGCTGACCCCGGATCTTGACTCACCAGAATATGTGTCTTTTTAGCGAAGGTTGGGTGTCTACATTTTACATGTCTTACTCTGGTTCCAATGTAAGCGCTTGGCTCTATAGGACTTAGCTCTACCATAGGCTCGGCGGGAAATGCCCAACCTAGCTACATAAGAATCTCGCCAGGCTTTTACATGGTCACATGCTCAATTACTGTAGACTGTGGGCTGATTGCCTTAATTTTCTGGATCAAATATCTGACTCGATCACATGTGAATCATATGTTACCCCTCATTTTGACTCAAGAGGGGTTGAGAATATAGAAAATCAAAAATATTAAATTGGAATATTGATTTGGGTATAAATTGAGACATACAGATATATTGATATTGTACATATTTACCAGGGCTATAGAGATTAGCGAAATTCTTAGCGCGAATGTTGTAGGACTGGGTAGCGTGGTATGCCATGTACGGTCACATTTGAAATTTTCCTTAGCGCTGTCATCCTTTTCAACCGTGCATATGCATGGACACTAAGAATTCTCTATCAGGGGGAAACCGCTTCGGTCAACCCCGACCTTTTCAGCTTAGATGTTCAAAATAATGTTGTTTAAGAAACTAAGGCAGCAACAATTCATCCAAAATCCAAGTGCCATGTGACCAGAATATCATTTGAAAATTGCAGCACAAATACTCCGTACATCCGGCACGTTCTCGGGGACTGATTTTCTCGGACTAGGCATGCGCCGAAAACGGGTCCGGGGTCTGCCGTGTCTACCGAACAGTCTGGCCCTTTTCTTTTTTTCTTAGGTCCCTTCAAGGTTATCTGTCTTGGAGGCTACACCAAAACGTGGGCTAGTCCGGGGAAGTGGCAAACCTCAGATAATCTTGGAATATTTAAGATCTATGTGGCCCACTCAGATTGTGGAATGTGTAGATCTATTCACCTTTGGTAATTTTTTAAAATGATTCTAATAGGATGGTCTACCTACCGAAGGCATCCTGATTTACAACACATAATGTACATTGACCTTCTCAATTTGAGACATCCTTACCAGAGGGCCCCTGCTTCAGAAGAATCACGGAGAAAAAATTTTCACCGGCATGCGATCCCGAAAGAATAAAAACATGTCAGCACTTTATGCGGGTTTCTCGGCGAGATTGTTCATGCAGGTTCATACATATTTAGTAACAGTCTAATGCACAGTGAAAAACTTTTTCAATGTAAATGATTGGCAGCAGCAAGGGTTGCACAGCCACATCTCGGTACAGCCGTTACATCCTTCAACTTGCCGGTTCAACCTGTTACCATACAGCACTTGCAGCAGCCACCAGTCTGCAGGTAATCGTATTCGGTATTTCTCGTATGTTCCAGAAGCATTTTTCGGTGGCTTGTGCATGCCGCTAGTCCTTCTTTCAGTAAAGCGTGAGTGTTTTCGTTCTTCTGGAAGCTTTCTATTTTCATCCCGGAATACCGGCCTCCGGCCATCGCCGACATTGGAGGACCCTGCGCCTGTTTACAGATTTTTTGTTCAGACAATCTTGGAAGTTGGTTTTTTTTTTTTTTTTTTCTCGCTTTGCATCTCTCATTATGGATGATTATCAATCATTCTGATATTCGTCATTCGAATTATTTTGCTCTGACTCATTCCTGGGCAACGCCGGAGAACTGTCACGTGGCTGTTTTAGATCTTGGAGGCTAGCCGCGTACACCATACGCTTGGTTATGTTGAGTCAGGGAATTTTAGGAAAGAGCCTCCAAGGAGCTCTGTTGGGGTAAGACTTGTGGCTATGCAATTCATGACAGCAAGGGATGGCAAATGCTTTACTTGGTTGCCTATGTGCAAGTGTATTATACTAGAATTTTAGGAGTTAGCCTCGATCGATCTCTACATTCCGGAGTGCCACAAGTCTCTGATAATAGGATAGTACATGATTATGTTTTTTTTGTTATACGATACTAACTCCGTGTACCGTATAGAATTGTAAAGGAGCCAGTCAACGACCAAGCGCCCCATGATTCAGCCTCCGGGTCAATGGCTTGTGGCCCTTTAGACAGACCCTTGAAATATCCGAGCCAATTAGCCCCTGGTATAGATGGAGTTCAGCTACTATCTATTTGACTAGCAAGGCTAAAATGCAGGTACCTACATGTAGTTATAAAGTCATTTCTGTACCATCCATGGATATTTGTTAGTGACACAAGGATATGTAGTTAGTTACATTGAAATCTTCTGAGCCAGGGGCAATAGAATTATACAACAAGATATAGATGCCACAGATCGCAGTAAGCCTATAGGTTGGAACTGCAGGATACCATCTTGAGAACGAGGCAGCAAGCTGCAGGGCATGGGTATTTGACATAGGTATTTCCTGAACAGGAAAGAGGAGGTAATTACTCAACATTGTGGCGTCCAGTCACAAGAAAATTTCAGCTCTAGAGGAAATGGTCTAGGTAGAGCTTTTATAGACAAGTTGCCCGACTCTAGGACTATTGTATCTGTTGACTCCAGAAGCCGTTTCAAGGTGATAACCACAAACTGCCTTTTCATTTGATAGTAGTATTATGGTCCTTCAAATAGAACTTCACTTATCCAAGGCAATTAAATTTCTCTACCAAATCAACCTTAGCAAATCCACACATTCTGCATAAACTCCACAATATGTACTCGGCTGCTAAATTAAGAGCTCGGGCCGACTGGCAGCATGTTCTCGTGAGTTAGGGTTATTGTAAATGGCTGTGAACGAGCTAACTAATAGGAGTATTGCTGTATACGACATTATTTCTCGTGGCTAATGTAGGCAATGATGGCATCCGTTTTCAACAACTCAGCATGTTAGCTCAGGGGAAGAGCGCCGGGCTCATAACCCGGAGGTACGTTTCACCGCCAACAATTTCACACCTAAACATCAAACTAACTCGCAATAGGACCCTGGATCGAAACCAGGACATGCTATGTCTATCTTTTTTTTTTTGTTTTGTTTTTTTTTTCCTCCCCTCTCTTCTTCTTCTCTCACCTATATATATATTTTTAATTTGGTTTCTCTATTTATGTCCTTTATTGTGGTGAGAGACGCATCGCGACGTGGCATGCATGCGGTGTCGAGGACTTACGTACCCTTCGTAAATTTGATCCATCTGAGTAAAAGAATCAAGAGCACATGCGGTAAGCATAGAGGTCATCGGGTGCTTCTGCCGCCTTGTGGAATTTACAGCCGGGCTTGCCTGTTATGAGCTGTGATGGAACGGCCAGTGTCTATGGATTCACGTACATATTTCTCTTGATTGATCCACTGTTGTCGCTTGTCGGTTCTGTCCTCTTGGTACTGACCTGGAGGGTATTCCCCAGTGACGAAGCAGACAGACCCTGTTATGTTAGTATCAGCCATGATGAGACAACCCAGGTAATTCAGGAAGCCATATTTATTCTCAAGCCCATCTGATGTCTCATTGTCTTTGAGCCCTTTCACGTGGAAGACAAGGTTCTGGCCCCTGTTGACATAGAGAGCACCATTATCCATCACTGCTACCGCTGACGGTTTTTATTTGTGACTGTCTTGACCTGCAGATTTGGAGATCCAAGTCTCTTGCAGAAGTTGTTGGTTGGGTCAGTGCCAGATGGGTCAGCATGCAGGCTGAGGCTCGGTGACATTATGTCGAGTCAGTCGTAAACGCTGCAGCATCCTCTTGTTGAGCACGGTTGAGACCAGGGTTGGGCCTATCATCGTAATTTTCGGTCTTCAGTATCCCCATGCAGATTATTCGCTGATCACTTGCCCTGCTGAACACTGAGGCCATATCCGTAGACGTGTTCCCGAACAGGGCTCACGTGTTGATTCACTGTCCATCGACTGTTTGTAGAGTCGCTTTTGGCTAATGTTCTCACCATGTGGCGTAGTTCGTTTTCTGGGTCGCAGTTATCAGAACTCGTTTCGGGGGAGGGAGGAGATCAGGGACTATTTGTCGAGGAAAGCCGCCAACGATCGACCATGTAAGGTGACAGACGCCTCGTAAGTTGAGAACCCATGGTATGGGGCTAGGTCTTATTAGCTTCATTGAGGGCAGGAAGTTTTAAAATCAGCAAGGTCATATCAACTTAATGGTAGTCGGCATTGGGGCTGTCGGGATTCAAGTGTGTATCTTCTATGGTTTTTTCCGCTGTGCGACAAGAGAGGCAGTCAGGTTGATCTTCGAATGTCTCGTGGGTTGTCTCGCTGTGACCAGGATGATACCCTGTCCCGGTCTCACTCGGACTTGCCTATTTCATCCTTCTTTTATTACTTGTTTGCTTGCTTTCTTCGGGCTGTATAGTGGCGTAGGCAGAGGGCTATGCTGTGGATGATTGTCGTAGTGTACTCTGGTCAGCGTGGGGTATTGAGATCGATATTTTGATGCGCACGTTTCCATAATATGCTCGTCATCTTGGATTCGACTATCTCATCTACGGGCTGCTTGCGTGGCAGTGCAGAATAATCCAATCTCTTTGTAAATTCTAACTAGTCTCATTTCAACATTCCGGTTTCTTTCTTCGCAACTAGTATCACTGGCTTATCCAATTTTTCCTACTATATCCATAGCATCGCCAGTCAGATACCGTCTTTTCCATCATTGCCACAGCCAAGTCATAACAAAATTGTGGGATTTCTTTCAGCAGGCTGTCTGTGAAAACCGAGGTTGCCGTGCTCGCTACATGCCCATAGGGTGCCGTTCTCAGCTGCTGAAGATTGTCCATAGTTGCTTTGACCGCGATGTCTCGCAGACCTCGGTCACTTGCATGTGTGGAGTTGTAAATCTGGGTGATGGCATACGGGAATATCTCCGTATTCACTCGTTGGTCCAACTCTTGTATAAATTTTTTCTTTGAAAGAACCTTCAGTCCCTCAATGAACATTCGGTCTGCGAGGGAGTACATCGAAATGTGAATCGATAGGGGATCAAATGTGGCCACCAGGTCTTCTTTCGGTTCACTAGGTGCTCTCACGACGTCCGCGTCCGTTTCTGTGTCTGGTGTTGGCTTGTCTAGGCCGATGAAGACATCTGTGTCTGGGCAGTGAGGTTGCACCTCGTAGTCCAGGTAATAGAAATACTCAATCAGCCCTTTGACCAAGCGCGGCTCTTCTTGTAGCGTGGCCCTGTTTGTGGATGATTCCTTTATTGAATTAGCTACCGTGCAGTACACCCGTGGTATATTGTTCCTGCCCCATTGATGTCTCGCCTGCAACCCACTATCACAGACTTTGGCAAGGAAGGCTGATCGCGGGCAGACTATGCATTTGTGCACAGCGTGTTCATCCCCTCTGCATTCAATGGTCAGGTCACTGTATCTCGGATCAAGGCGCACCCTGTTGTATCGTTAGTGGTTTTTTTTTCAACCTCTGCAGAAGCATCTGGTAGATTGCTAGAGCATGAAGTAGTTCGTTGGCAGGGTTTATATCTTCCACAACCTCCTCCTCCTCCTCCTCCTCCTCCTCCTCCTTCTTGGCTGCCTGTTCCAGCTGCTTGGTTATTCGGGCGGACACCTTCTTTTTCTTCATGTTGATAATACAATGGTGAGCCTTGGGTACGGGGGGCTCGGACTTTCTTCTGCGTTTGGGTAGCTGATATGGCTGGGTGCCGGGTGGGGGACGGGGGGAGGAGGGATATTTAAGGGGGATGGGAGTTTCTCTATGTCCTTCCATGAATAGCAATAGTCATGTGGGTTGATGTTTGCTTGGCCTGCATGACCGGCATTGCGGCCCTAGTAGTCAAGCCCTCCTTCCAGTCCAGCAGGTATAGCCAATCAGTTACCAAGTCTTTGGTTGTGTTCTTTTTCTTTCTGTCTACCTTTGAATCTTTGTGTACATTTGTGGATGGTTAAGGAGGTGTGCTAACGGGTTCATTTCTTTCGATGTTCCAGCTTCCCCGGTATACACTCGTGGTGCCAAGTAGAGTTGGGCTCCCCCTTTAGGTGTTCAATTCGGTCCTATTTTACCAACTGAGCTTCGGCCATATTTCAAATGGGTGTCGGCATCCAGCTATTTTAACCCTGGTAATCCAATCAATATCTGGTATATTTAATGAAATATATGGATTTTTAGCTTGGTTGTGGGTAGTAAATTCATCGTGTTTCATGGTGCCAAGTAATGTTGAACTGCCGTTTTGGGGGGTTCAACTTCAACTTGCCTAGCAAATCAACTATTTGCTCACCACGCCGCAATGTGTGGTTCGTACGGTTCCAATCTGCGCAGATACACTTTGGATGGTGTCCTTGTTGTTTTCTGTGTGTCTTTTCTGTGGGTTTTATGTATTTCGATACGTTGGCCTGGGATCAAGTGCAATGTGGTGTTGGATATATATATGTATAGAATACCACATGTTATGTTGTCTCTACACAACCTATATACCCCAACCCATGGTGGACCAGCCCATGGCATAATCAAACACAAGAAGACCACCAAGCATACGAACTAAATGCAACATATAAAAAAGTAAAATCAAGTTGGTCTAGACATGTGTACACTATGTACGGAGTATATTCTATGTACCTCATAAAATTCCAAAGAAAACCTGCGATAGCTTGGTATATGGTATGATATATAGACACCTATACACAATAAACACTTAGAGAAATAGGGATCACGCGTCAGTAACACGAAGATCTAATCAAACTACAAAATCAATGGTGGTTGATGCCGAGCATGAAAAACGAGGCCTCAGGCAGCAAAAAGAACGCGTCAAGAACTCTAAACCATGCAGACCTCAACTGCCAAATATGAAAAAGACCAAGCCCAACCCTAAATGTTAGAATACAAACGCGTTAGGGTACCAAGGCATCCACCCCAAGAAGATATTACGTTCAAGTCCAAAAGGTCAAAAATATTTCAAGTTTTGATTGTATTCGTATCGGATCGCACTTGAGTGCTTGATCCCACCATGTCCATGGTGCCAGCCGTGATGTAGAAAGGCTGCTATGATACAAAAAAGCTCAGAAGCGAACACTATGGACGCGCAATAGTGGTAATCGAGTGTTATGAAAAGCAAAACCCAGAGACCCATGATGATTGTAGTAAAATAAATCAGAGAACACCCCAACGTCCCATCGTACCGTGAACCAGCCCGGAAAAGAAAAGCACAAATAATTTAGCCACCGAAACCGTAGAGGGTACCTGAGGCAAAAAAATGTTAGAGACGCGTTTTGTAACGGAAAGACGCGTGGAAAACTTACGGCCCTGGCGCTTGAGAGCGTAGACAACGTCAAGAGAAGTGACAGTCTTGCGCTTGGCGTGCTCAGTGTAGGTAACAGCGTCACGGATGACACCCTCGAGGAAGGTCTTGAGGACACCACGGGTCTCCTCGTAGATCATAGCAGAGATACGCTTGACACCACCACGGCGTGCGAGACGACGAATAGCGGGCTTGGTGATTCCCTGAATGTTGTCACGCAAAATCTTGCGGTGACGCTTGGCGCCACCTTTGCCGAGACCCTTTCCACCCTTGCCGCCTGAAATGAGACGCGTTAGAACGCGTTTCTCTTGAAGAAGCAGATTCAGTGTGGGGTAGTGACTTACGGCCAGACATATTTAATATGGATTAGAAGAAAAAGGGAGGTTTTAGAAGTGGGATGAAGAGTTGGTAGTTGAGAGATTGATGGAATCGATGGAAAAAAGAGGAAAAGGAAACAGAAGTGGTCAGAGGATATTTGTATGATACGAGAATCAGCGAGGATTGGGAAATCACGCGCTAGGGATGACGTCCACCAATGAGCGCACAGGATCACAGACCAACCTTGATCTACCGGGAGACCCCAGAGTTGGAACGCCGACTTTGCCGTGGACCATCTTTGATCCTCCTATAATCTGCCACCAACAATGTAAATCTATAATAAAAATGGAACAATTATACATTCCAAAGGGTGGTAAATAGAGTAGAATGCATTAATTGTTCATACAAAGGGGGTTGGGTGCAAGATCAAGAATTCAAGTGTTTGACATTCTATACTCCCTGATCCTGTACTCTCATTGGTCCAGGGCTCGCTTAGTTGGCAGTACCAGCACTTTGATTCAACTTGACCAATGAGAGCTCACCGCAAATCAGTCTCTGGGCTACACTCTATGCGGTCCCCAATCTTACGCAAAATCGGCTCATCTCCCCTGATTCGTGGCTCCCTTCCAGATCAATCCCCCCCTCCCGTTTCCTACAAATACTCTTCCCCCACCCGCCTCTCTCTTCCCTTTTGCATCTATCCTCCACCAACCAACTATTTCATCAACAAAAACCACTTTTTACATCAAGTCTATCATCAAAGATGGCTCGCACTAAGCAGACTGCCCGTAAGTATATATCTATCATATTTTATTCACCTTTTTCTACTTCATCGTCGACGTCTGCTTAGTCAGACCTCAACATGAAGAGAGGATTTGGTGACGCGTTCACGCGTTGGGATCTCAAAATAAAACATTTGTACTAACTGTCTCTGATAGGTAAGTCCACTGGTGGCAAGGCTCCCCGTAAGCAGCTCGCTTCCAAGGCCGCTCGCAAGGCCGCCCCCTCTACCGGAGGTGTCAAGAAGCCTCACCGTTATAAGCCCGGTAAGTTTCATCTCATGTCAAACGAGATATCCGTAAACTATACTTGTGAAACATATTCTAACATTCCATCTCCAGGTACCGTCGCTCTCCGTGAGATCCGTCGCTACCAGAAGTCCACTGAGCTCCTGATCCGCAAGCTCCCCTTCCAGCGTCTGGTCCGTGAGATCGCCCAGGACTTCAAGTCCGATCTCCGCTTCCAGTCCTCTGCCATCGGTGCTCTCCAGGAGTCCGTTGAGGCCTACCTCGTCTCTCTCTTCGAGGACACCAACCTGTGCGCCATCCACGCCAAGCGTGTCACTATCCAGTCCAAGGACATCCAGTTGGCCCGCCGTCTCCGTGGCGAGCGCTCGTAATTTTCTCTTTCGAGCTGGTTTTCTGAAAGGCGATCACGGGGTTTGTTTTTTCTTTTTATCATGACTACTGGCGATACATGATGGGTTTGCTTTCAAATATCAATGGGTTTCGGCACCGGGTTGCTTCGCAATTTTGCTTTTTTATCGATGCTACTGCTCACCATCGATTGATGGATCAGTCATGGGCATGTACATTATGGGCTTCCCTTTAACATGATGCCTTAGCGCGCATCATCTCATGACAAGACGCTTCAATGCTGTCTTCTATGATTCATCACTATTTTCCTTTCTCGTAAACAGTAAAGCGTAATTCTTTGTGACTCACGCGTATTCTCCTGTATCGGTCGGCTAGGGCTTTCCATGGGAGGGGGTTGTCTTTGTTTTGGATCCTCTTCGTGTTCTCGTGGTCTCGTGTCAGACAATCCTCGGTCGCAAGATCGCCCTTCGTCCAACGCTCAACGATACTATCCAAAAATGATACAGGAAATTATTAAATCTGTTTATTATTCTATCTCTTGACATGATTATTTCTATGTCAACATAAGTGATTGTATCCCAGCCTGAATCTTCCCCTCAAAGAGGTAAGTGATACGATACTTCTATAATTAGACAGTAACAAACAGACAGACCCTTAAGATTAAAACAGCTCTTGACCACTTAGAAAAAATAGTCAAAAGAACGTGGCCCTTCTCCTCATACCGGGACTTCAGGACTTCCCTACCGTCCAATGTAATTCGACCGAGACTCAACCATGCCTTCGCCATGACTTAATGCTGATCTAACAATTCACTGGGAGTTCCAGGTTTGGAAGTTTCCAATCAAGTTTTGCAATACAACAATACAACGAACAACGAACAACTAAACAATCAATTACATACCACACAACCTGAACTTGGGGTTCAAACTAGTTCATACCCATACCGCAAAGCCCTGATCAGCCCCCCAAATATTTGCCACACAAGCACTTACCTCCAAAGGAAAATCCCAAATGGATTGGGATTTGACTCACAATGACGTCTCATAAAATCTGCAGGGCTGCACCTGGAGGAGTCCCGACCATCTATGGGTAGAAAGAATATCAGAATGACTCATTAGTCTTGATATCACGAGGGGATATTCTCGAATAAATCGGAATCGTGCATTTAGTATAGTACCAGATGATCAAGTCTCAAATTTGGGAGAAAAACCCTGGAAGGTAAGTAGATCAGGTGAGTTCTTTCCGATGTTTGTATCAAACTCGATATGGATATGAAATAGAGGCAACTGCAGCACGTTTCCAGGACGACAATGCAGGTTTGACGGTCTGACACTGCGTATGTATATGGATTGTTGGACAGGTGATCTGTTTGATATTTCCTACACCGCACTTGTAAGGCTGAACTAGACGTTAGATGGCAGTTGAGGTCTCAAGCTTTAAGTGGAGACATACCTAAGTAGTGACTTGAACGCGTGTTTTGTTTCTGTGATCTTACTAACAATATAACTGGAAAATTGTTAAGATGAGAGAACCAAGTAGTTGAAGCTGACGGATATCTATCAATATAGTTTGACACGTATAACCCTTTTGGGTACGAAGATCAAGGGTATGTAGTCTCGTCGCAAATGTACCTCTTGGTGGATCCCAATCCAAGAGCTACGCAGGCAGTGGCCTGAGGCGAAAAACAAGATGCCAAGACTCCTGGAAAATTCTAGCTTATGTTGACCGTAGTATTGGTGGCTTCGCTTTCCTTGGTTGTCCTTGGGCTCATTTTTTTTCCTGCAAGCCACCCGTGTAGTTTTTCCTAGTTCTTCCTAGTGAGTGGCACTGCCGGGCGAATCTCGGAGATCTAGCCTTTTATACTAGCCTAAGGCTTTTTTTTTTTCCCCTTTCTTTTTTTTTTTTCTTTCCCAATGTGCATAACTAATCACTATCAGAGATTAGAACCAGGGCTGGACCTAGGGAGATATCCCGAATTCCAAGGTTGATTACATTACTTGAGTCCGTGCTCAAATTGCCCAGGTGACAGTTTATATCAGTCCACGAGTGTCTTTGAATGGCCCCAGATGGTCTGATGGGGCTATGCGAAGTTAGATCAAGAACGAACGGAATGCGCATTCGCTGGTCTGACTAAGATGTTGATTATATCTGAACCTCGGGATAAAGCACATCGTGGATGCCTAGCTTGGAATTGATCAAATAATCGAATGCTGACGTTGACTTCGGCAGTCGTATCTATTGCGGACCGAGCACTGGGGGCTGAATTGGAAAAAGATTACTCCGTACATATACATAACAGCTCCACTCATAACTACAACATAAGCGCCATAAAAAAGTAAGTACCCCTGAGATTGAGGATTGATAATCATAGTCTTACAGCGGAGTACTCCGTAGTATCATGTGTGCATATATGGAGTTTAGTCGGTCATAAGGATCATAAACCCCCGTTTATGTACGTGTGTCGGAGATTATGAGATGAACCCGATTTAGAGAACTTTAGATTCTGAATGAAGCTTCGGTAAGGTCCCGAGTCCGAAACGGAACGACCGAATTCGGGGTCTGAGTGTTTATGCACGGTCCCGATGGATTGTACATCTTATGAAGCTGAGTATTATATGTATAATATGTAGTATCAGGTATTATGTACAATAAGGTAAAAATAAGTTCCACTATACAGAACAGGGTAGCATAACAGAATAGAAAGTGCTAAGAATCATAAGGTTGAAGTATGAAACATTAGGTAGCTAAAAGGTCGATGCCGCATACCCGGGTGGCTTTGGGAATAAAAACTTTCATAAATCACGTGGCGTAAAAACGTGGCTGCAAACAGATAAGTGCCATCTCCCTTTTTACAGGGTACATATGGTATATTGGGTTGAATTACATCTAGCTTTGTGGTTTTACTTATAAAAAAAATATAGAATAAAAGGTATACAATTTAATAGAAGATGAAATATGAAACATCTACAAAAATATACCAAAATATCAACAAAATATCAACAAAAAAACACACAAGATCTGATGTTTCATCGGAGGTATCTTGTCCGGGTCCGGGGGTCCACCTATGTAATTCTACTTTCCACTTATCCATACTTTATCTGCATATGAATCCATGGATTCGTACATTTTAATGAACAGACCCCCCCCCCCCCCCCCCCATACCTTTATATATAATGTATATATTATATAACTGGGAGGTCTCCTAGGAAAATATATATTTCCTCGGCATTCCTTGGTCTTACTCTCCACAAATCTTACCCCACCTCTTTTTATTATATCTAATACTGTTAACTATTGTAATCTCCAAGCTACCTGCCCATCATGGCAGACTCAGAACCTCGTGTCTCCGACAAGATTGAGACATCTACCCCGACGAAAATTCCATACTGGCGCATGGTCTTTGATCAGGGCGCCGTCACGCAAGAGATTATCGATCACCCATACCCCGGTTCTGGAACGCAAGAGGATCCTTATGCAGTAACATGGATTCCCGAGGATCCTCGCAATCCCATGAACTTCAGTGAAACGAAGAAATGGTCCCTTACTATGCTGGTGGCCGTTGCAACCTTGGCGGTTTCACTGGTATCTTCTGCCTATACTGGTGGTCTCAAAGAGATCCTGGTGCAGTTTAACATCAGCCAAGAAGTCGGCACTCTTGGAGTTTCCCTTTTCGTTCTCGGTTTCGCGGTAAGACCTGGACTCCCCTGAACATCCAAACTATCAGTCTTTTTTTTTTTGAGCTTGTGCAATCTGTTTTATATGCATACTAACATTGTTACTCGCTTTGGTATAGATCGGACCTTTGCTTTGGGCTCCACTGAGTGAGCTGTTTGGTCGCCAAATCCTATTTGTTACTACATATTGCGCTCTCACAGCTTTCAATGCCGGTGTTGCAGGTTCTCAAAATGCCTGGTCTATCATCATCTTTCGATTCCTCGCCGGTTCTTTTGGATCCTCGCCTTTGACCAACGCCGGTGGTGTCATTGCGGACATGTTTCCCGCTAATCAGCGAGGTCTCGCTATGACTTTGTTTGCCTCCGCACCTTTCCTTGGCCCCGTTCTTGGTCCCATCATTGGTGGATTCATTGGTATGAGTGATGGTGGCTGGCGATGGGTCATGGGTTTCCTTGCCGCCTTTTCTGGTGCCGTTTGGATTATCGGCGGTCTGCTTATCCCCGAAACATATGCCCCCGTGCTTCTCCGCCGCCGTGCCGAGAGACTCTCAAAGCTGTCGGGCAAGCTCTACCAGAGTCAGCTTGACATTGACCAAGGCAGAATTTCTCTCAAAGAATCATTCAAACTGTCACTGTCCCGCCCCTGGATTCTGTTGTTCCAGGAACCTATTGTGTTCTTGCTATCTCTTTACATGGCAATCATCTACGGTACCTTGTATATGATGTTCGCTGCCTTCCCTATTGTCTACCAGCAGTCCCGCGGCTGGAACCAGGGTATTGGTGGTCTCCCCTTCCTCGGTATCATGACTGGTATGTTGTTTGCCGTCTGCTACTCCATCTGGGATAACAAGCGCTACGTCGCGGTGTCCAACGCACACAAGGGCTTCGCACCCCCGGAGGCACGTCTCCCGCCTTGCCTCATCGCATCTGTCACAATCCCAATCGGTCTATTTTGGTTCGCATGGACCAACTACCCCTCAATCCACTGGATAGTCAGCATCTTAGCCGGCGTGCCCTTTGGTTTCGGAATGGTTCTAGTCTTCCTCAGCACTATGAACTACCTCATTGACTCCTACACCATTTTCGCCGCCTCTGTGTTAGCCGCCAGTTCCGTCATTCGTTCCCTCTTCGGTGCCGTTTTCCCTCTCTTCACCACCTACATGTACCAGGACCTAGGTATCCACTGGGCATCATCGATCCCGGCCTTCCTAGCGCTGGCCTGCGTGCCATTCCCATACTTGTTCTACAAATACGGAGCCTCGATCCGCGCCCGTTGCAAGTTCGCCGCCCAGTCTGAGGCATTCATGCGCAGGATCCAGGAACAGGTCTCCGCAGCGCCGGCGCCGGTCGCAGATGAGAAGGTGGAATACGACCGCACAGAGGCCCCCGCCATCGAAGGCTCAGTCTCCAGCGAGTCCCAGGACGCTGCTACCGAACCTGCCGCTACACAGCGCACTCGCAGCCGTGCGCACTCGGTCGCTTCCACTCGCACTGTTGGCTCGTTGGCTCGCTCGGTTACCTATGATGGAAACCCTTACGATATCGATCGTGTCCATACTCGTGACTCATTCAAGCAATAAGCGGCTGCTGAGAAGCTTGTTTATATTCCCCATAACACCATCCCTTGTCCGGGCTCGTCATACATATACATGCCGCCTGTGTCACTATAATCATAGTTTCTATTCACCCCCTTTTTCATGTCACAAAAAGTACGCCGTTTGCATGTTTTGCCTTTGATACCCGTTCATACCATACTGAGGACAACGTTTGAACCTCATCCGACTATTGTTTTTATGGGATGCATCGTATAGAGCTGGAGCCGGAGTTTGTTTTTAGAGAAATACATATTCTTATCAGTTTTCAAATCAGTTCAGTTTTCTTCAGATACCTTGATGAGGCTCTCCTATGGGTTTCTCCTATAAATAGAGTAAATCCAAGTAGATTCAATCGGAACCTGCATCCGGCACTTAGTTCGATTTCACCCGCTTTTCGGCTCTTATCGCCACAAACCCCGAGGTCGGATTTTCGGATTACAAAGTTTAATGTATTGTTTTCGAATTCCTAACAACCCTCTTTCCTTCAACTATTCTTTGTAAATAAAACCAGGCGTGGTCTTGGACATGAGCCTCCTTCGAAATGGCCTCTTATCCAGGGCCTCGACCTCATCAACCTTCACCCTGCGCCGACCGATAACCCCCAGATCCCAACCCCAGATATTGCGCCGAGCACGCCCACAACGTCGATACAATTCCGACTCCCCTACAGGGAAGACGCCTGCCGAGAGAAAAACCACACCTTCACACCCACCGCACTCGCACCATTCAACATCCTCAACTCCACCCAAGCTGCCGGACCCAACTTCCGCTGCCACAGCCGCAGCCGGAGTAGCAACCACACCCGTGCGTCGTGGAGTCCGCGAGGTGATAAAGGCGGGTCCGGTGGGGAAGTTCGGAAGATGGTATGCGCGCGCGCAGGACCGCAAGCCATACACGACGCAGTTCTGGAGCTCGATTGTTATCTACCTGTGTGGTGATCTGAGCGCGCAATTGTTCTTCCCTTCTGAGGTTCCTGCGCCTGCGAAATCGGACTCTGAGGATGGGGATGTCTTTGCGCAGGGGGATGGGGAAACTGTGAGCGCTGGTTATGATCCGCTTAGGACGCTGCGGCATTTATGTGTTGGTGCTGGGTCGAGTATTCCGTCTTATAAGTGGTATGTTTCGGGACTTTGCTATATGATATGCGATTGATGGTTTCTTATCGGGCTATTACTTTACTACGTGGGGGATATTGGTTATGCATACTTGTTACTGACATAAACTACTCTCTTAGGTTCATATTCCTCGGCAACCATTTCAACTACTCGAGCAAGTTCCTTTCGATCCTGGCGAAAGTCGTCGTGCAGCAGTCGTGCTTTACACCTGTCTTCAATACATACTTCTTTGGCGTGCACTCTCTGCTTGCTGGTGCGACGCTCGACGAGACCTGGGAGCGGTTGAAGAAGGCTCTGCCCGTTAGCATCCAGAACAGCGTCAAGCTCTGGCCGGCTGTTACCGCGTTTATGTTCATGTACGTGCCGCCGCAGTTCCGGAACATCTTCTCCGGGTGCATTGCGGTGGGCTGGCAGACATATCTGAGCTGGTTGAATCAGAAGGCTGCTAAAGAGGTTGCGGCTGCTGAGGCGCTTGCTGCGGCAGAGGGGATGGGTGTTGGTGCGTTGCATGCTGTTTCAGGTGGGAATATGATCTCTGCTGGGACTGCATGAATTCAGGGAAAGTAAATTTAAAAGCACGGTTTAGGCTGGTGGATATATATAGATTCATAGACCCCTGCCGAATCTTGGCGTCGGGGATTTTCTTTTTGTTTTAGAGCGAAGCATGGGATACCAAGAGCAATTATTTAGATTCATAGACACTTCACTCTCTTTGCTAATTTATTTTCTATGTAATATCTAATCTTTTCTACGATTACCAAGTATGAGATGGTCAACCAGTAAGAGCGACCGGATTCTTAAGGCAGCTTCCTCATGTCGGCGCAGATACACCAGGATACCGGAGGATTTATTAATCCTAAGTATGCAGTAATATTTCTTATGTAATCAGGACAGTATAAATTGCCAGGAAGTCAATACAGCAATACGGAGAGTTGAATACCATTGATTGGACCCATACATTTCCACCATACGGAGTAGTTGACAGTTATAAGCCCGGTTCGCACTGAATAAGACTACTATATCGGCATATAGTACCTAGCAACTTGCTAGAAACTGTCTTATAAACCTCCACGAAGCCACTCCGCAGAAAGTCATCCCTTGTTTCACATCAAAACAACACAGCATCCAGCAATAGAAACAGTATCGATTCTCTCCGCTATAAAGGGCGATAAACTGAAGGATACACCGCAATAGCTCACCTGGTTTGCGAAGGTGCAGCTATACGCAATGTAAAAAAATGTCTGGGATCACTGCAACCCGGATACCCCGTCAACTGAACGACCTAATACTCTAAAGGAACCGGTACAACCAGAATATCCTAAAGAGGGCACCGAAACAGATCGAAGGAAATAGAGAGACCAAGCAGACGTGTATAAAATGAGCTATGCTCGATGGGAGAAGCAAGCAAAGGGACTGAGTGATATAAATAAATATATCCTCACCTATCTTGACCCAGTACACCACCTCGCACTGATCATATATCGTACACCGTATAATAGACTTATATATCTGAAGTCTCGGTTCGCTCGATCGACCGCGTATAAGGAGGAAATCCGAATAAGTTAGAAAGTGTTTACAATACAGAAGCCGACTAGAGATATCGATAAGTGGCTCTAAAAGTAGAACTCGCTAAGGGAGCAAGCGGTTAGTCTTGGTATTAAGGACGGAGATACCAATAGGGACTTCCTATACGCCGTGAAAGAAGTTCTACCTATATAGTGGTAAGGCAAATACCAGGAAATAGTGATAGAAAAGAAGGTATACGATACCCGAGATCTCCTTAAATCATTCCGCGCGATAAATCGCGAGATAGGAGCACAGGTAGTGTTATCAACCACTCCTCCAAAAGGCGCTTTCTCGACCTAGTAAGGTCACTAAGAGGCGAAACCGGAAACAAAGCAAGAGAAGCTTCCGTTTAAGAAGAGACACTGCCCTTATAGTAGCTCACACCCGAAGTATAAAGTTACTACTTACTGGCTCCTAAACGAAGCGATTCGGCCAGAAGGGTATACCCTAAACGAAGGGAAACTAGAGAAAGCAAAGAAGAAGTTAGGAAAGGACCACGCTTAGAAGCAATAGATAGATAAAGTGATAGCTGAAGCTTAGTAAGCTCAGCAAGCACAGGAAAAACCAGCCGAATCCGCCAACCAAGTCAGCTTTACAACCACTTTTCGAAGCAAGCCAAGTAAAGCTATACAGATTAGTAAGTATATACTCTCTGTAGTAAAGGTAGGCGAGCCCTCCCTCCGTAACCGGTGGATTCTTAATACCGGATCAAGTGCGTATATCTACAATAACCGAGCCCTATTCGTCGACTTTATACCTAATATAATTGACCTAACAACCGGAGATAGTACTACGCAGGTGCTAGGGAGAGGCAAAGTTAGACTTTTAGGGAGACACCCGGTAAAGGGAAGGATAGAGATCACCTTAAGCGACGCTCTATACTCACCAAGTTTCTATACGAGTCTCGTGTTATACGCGATACTAAAGAAGAAAGGCGGCCTCTGGTACCAACGTACAAACTGTATACGGGACCCAAATAATAGACCTGTCGTCTATATAAACCTATAGGATCAATTCAATCTCTGGATCTTTGACAAGCTAGGCGAGGCTCCGCTACAATAAGTATATACTGTGCAGTAAGCACAACGGAAATCAGTGAAGCCACAGGAATCAAGGGCTTCCTCTGAAATTTAGCACCGACGCCTAGTATATATTCAACCGCGGACCGTAGCAAAGCTTACTACTATAGTAGACAGCGTTGTTCTTAACGATAAAGGAGGAGTAAGCACAGAGTAAGAATCTCTATATTAGACCTATAAGACAGGAAGTGCTCCGAGGTAGATTTTAAGACGATAAGTTGGACGTACCTTTGGACGTTTTGGAAGGGTGTATTTCGACCTAATTCAGCTGCAGCTAGCCTACAATAAGCACCGCTGGATATCCCACTTCTACCTAGAAGGACCGAGATTCCACTGGATTATAACTCACGAAGTGAAACCTGAATGTTAATTGGCCATCAACCAGTTTGTACAACTTATAAGAAATCAGTGGAAGCTACCAATTAAGGCCTTCCACTACAACAATAAAGCAGCAGCTGGTAGAGCAGCGGAGTATAGTCTTATAAGAGATAGTATCCTGATATATCACTCCCCCCTAGGGTACTCAGAGATAAATAGGTATACTGAGAGATCAGGTAGAATGATTATTACCCGGATGCGTATACTCGCCCTCGAAGGGAACCTCCTAAAGGAGCTATAGCCGGAGTTCGTAAGCGCCGCCGTATAGTTATTAAATCGTACACCAACGTATATCGCCGCCGAGAATCGGTGGGTGGTACTATAGGAGGAAGTGAGGAAGGAAGTCGCACTATAGGCGCCGAGGATAAACCTATCAAATATTAGGTTATATAGAAGCTTGGCGTACTGCAGGATTGAGAAGTAAGTACAGTCCGATAAGATAAACCTACGTGCAGAGATTGGCTTTGTAGTAGGATACCTTACCTCGAATATCTGGAAGATCTGGTTCCTATATAGTGGGAAAGTGAGGTATATCAGGGATACAGTTATTGACGAGATACGAAAATATACCCCTGATTATAAGAAATATCAGCCTATCCCACTACCAGCTATAACGGGACCATAGGAACTCACCGTTAAGGAGGTCGTATAGGTGATAAACCACCAAATTACTAGTTAAGAGGAGACTAGTACGATAGAAGAGAGGACTCAGGATCTACAGGAAGCACAGGAGCCTCAGTAAGTACAGCAGTAAGAGGAGGTTCCGCAGTAAGCAGAGGTCCAAAAGATAACAGTTAACTAACGAGGGACTACCCCAGTCTAGGGGGTGGGTGATAGGTTATATTGGCCGACCCCAGACCCTCCACTATAAGCACTACTAGGTTCCTTTCCGATTGAACAGCCCCTACTACCACTACTAATCACCCCACCGCAGGAGTAAGAGAGGTATACTGGCTCTGGTTAGGGGGTAGATACCGAGGGAGATTAAAGGGACTAGATCCAGCAAGAAGAAGCGGATCTTAAAACCACTAAAGACGAACTAGAGAAGCAACTTCAGACAGAGCTACTGGCTCCGAGAAGAGAGATAATCGGAGATATAGATACCAGCAATATACTCAGTGGTAGGCGTAGACGCTAAGTAAGGTAGGAAAAAGACTTCGCCTACGCGATAAGCACTACCTAAGAAGTGGAACCGCCGGCGCTACTCTATACTTTTACCGCTGGCTTATACGCTGAGAAACCAGACACTCGCCGCCACCGAGACGACCTCCCACCACCGCTAAAATACTGGAAGGATATAATAAACCACCTATTTCAGGAAGGTTTTCTCGCAGCGATAAGGAAGGAGATCAACTCCCTCTCTGAAAAGGGGACTTTTAAGGTTATTAAGAAACTAAGAGACCGAGGGAAGTAGATTCTCCCTCTTTTATAGGTGTTCTTATACAAATTTGACTAGGACGGGTACCTTTTGAAGCTTAAGGCCCGTATCTGTGTACGCGGAGACCTTGAAACTATCTCTTACGAGGAAAAGAGAGCTACTACACTAGCAGCAAGGACAGCGAGGATGATTTTTGCCTTGGTTGCTGCCTTTGATCTTGACCTAAGATAGAGAGATACTGTCACCGCGTTCCTAAACAGCAAGTTAGACCAAGAGACGTATACGTATATACCTAAGGGATTTCAAAACCTAGGTAAATACTGGAAGTTACGTCGCGCGCTATACGGTCTACGGATTTCACCACGACTTTGGCAGCAAGAAGCAGCAAGCGTACTCCGCAAGCTAGGTCTACAGCAAGTACCAGAAGACCTATACGTTTTTATAGGAAAAGGACTACTGGTTTTCTTCTATATAGATAATATCCTAATCGCCAGTTATACCAATGCAAAGGCGTAGGCACAGCAATTAGAGCGAGATCTCGAAGCACACTGGGAACTGACCGATTATAGAGAAGCAGTATAGTTCCTAAATATACGAATCATTCGAGACCGGCAATAAAAGAAGCTCTGGTTATATCAAGATAGCTATATAACAAGTATTGCTACCCGATATCACTTAACAGAAAGGGCACTAGTCTATACTCCACTGCCGGTTGAGGAATTGACCCCTTTTCAGGGGGTGGTAACGCTAAAGGAAATCCTGCTATACCAGCAAAAGGTGGGCTTAGCAGGGTATACCACTATTATTACTAGGCCCGACGCTGCAAAGGCGACCGCGAAGCTCGCGCAATTTCTCACAAACCCCGGTCCACAGCACCAGTAAGCAGCTGATCGAGTTATCACCTACCTCTACTCCACCCGGAACCTAGCGATTGAGTACGGAACAGCCAATACTGGGACCGACTCGGTGCAGTTTGCAAGTAACGCTTCGTATAGAGACCACCCGGATAGAAAAAGCTCAGCTGGGTATATCTGTCAAGTATACGGCGGTCCAATTGACTGGAAAGCAAGTAAGCAACCCACAGTAACAACGTTAACCACAGAAGCAGAGCTACTCGGCCTATCGGAGGCAGGAAAGCAGCTCCAATAGTAGCGCCGATTGCTTCAAAACCTCGCCTTTACTCCGTCACACCACCTAACAATCGACTGTAATAACGAGAGGACTATCAGCTTATTGACAAGCGAGGACACAGCTTTTGAAACGAAGCTTCGATATATCGATATTCACCACCATTGGCTCCGCCAGGAAGTCCAACAGGGTCGAATACGGGTGCGCTGGGTGCCTACAGCAAGCATGGTTGCTGATGGCCTCACCAAATTGCTCACTCGGCAAAAGCATAAGAACTTCGTGCGACTGCTCAACATGGTTGATATAGGCCATCTTATAGACTAGGAATTACAAGATGATACAGCGATCTCAGCAAGCATACTGGGACCGCTGAGGGGGTGTGTCGGCGCAGATACACCAGGATACCGGAGGATTTATTAATCCTAAGTATGCAGTAATATTTCTTATGTAATCAGGACAGTATAAATTGCCAGGAAGTCAATACAGCAATACGGAGAGTTGAATACCATTGATTGGACCCATACATTTCCACCATACGGAGTAGTTGACACCTCACATGGCAATGACGCACCCGAGCGTCAACTCCATTTACGGAACAGAACAGAACATGATCCCCTCCAGTCGCAGGCATGTCCTGCCTAGCGAGAAACGAGGATGAATCTGACTACGGATCAGACTTCACTCCAGATGAAGAGGATTTGATAAATAATTTGCTGAACAAGGCCGTCGTGGAATACGCGAACGACCCCGAGGCTATTTTGATCTCGACGCCAACTTGGATCTCGACCCCAACACCCCTCGAACAAGTCACCGCCCCAAAATCCCCAGAACTCGCCGATCTCGAGTCATTGCAACCAGAAGCCCTAGCGGCACTTGTTGCAGATATAGAGGATGGCATTGAGCCAGCTAGCGTTCGGCTGCCTAAGGTGCTGGGCCGGGAAAAGCCTCGTTCGCCATGGCGGCAGTCGCAGCCTCGACCAGGTCAGGCGGTTAGACGGGGTGCGAGTTCGAGTGCAATGGGGAGGCCAGGTCCGCACACTGGCTACAGCAACAGGCACAGCCCGTTTGGTATGTTTTTGTTTTTGTCTTTACATTTTCCCTTCCCTTCCCCTTCCCGGTCGATCGTCCGCACTTTCCTTATAGACTCGTCCCATTACGTCAAACATGAATCGAGCTGACAACATCTTCTCCCAAGCGTTTAGTTGAGAACCCTACTTCAACCGAAGGTCGAGCAAAAGAACGCGAGCGCAACGCAGTACGCGAGCAAGAATGGATAAAACAGGATCCCACCGAGGCGGCGCTCGACACTCGAACCCCCGTCGAACGATACCGGCAAGCACCCAATAAAGCATTCTCAGTGACTGATCTCGTCTCGCCAGCTTGGTGTGAGTTGCAGTACTGGCTCACGTTGACCAAACATGGGCGGAAGAAGCCGACTGCTGCGATGAAGAAGGGCAGCTCCATGCACAAGACGCTCGAGGATGAGATATACACTACTGTGCCCGTGGACATCACGACTAAAGAGGACGCGTGGGGTCTCAGAATATGGAATGTTATCCAGGGACTGCGCATGCTGCGAGATTATGGTGTTACGCGTGAGCTGGAGGTTTGGGGTGTTGTCGATGGGGAATTTGTCAATGGTGTTATTGATGAGTTGTCCTACGAGTGCCCCAACCCGGAGCTTGAGGCCACTGCTGCTGGGTACTATGCAGATGCTGTAGCATCGCGCACTGCGCTGCCAGAGTATCAGATGTCGTTGTCGGACTATTTGCTTTCTTCTTCCCAGGGCGGGATGAAGCTTTCGGACCTGGGACAGACTGAGGTTGAGGAAACGGGGCACATTGAATCGGAACTGCCTGCGGCGGTATATAACCTGCGCCGGATTTATTTGACAGATGTGAAAACGAAGGGTAGCCGATCATTGCCGACTGTCAAGAGTACGGGCTTCCGGCCTACTCTTTTACAGGTTCAGTTATACTATCATATGCTTAACAGAATGATAACGAGTGACGATGTCACTATTGAACTTCTCGGCACCCGATACGACTTCGATGCACAGAAGCCGTTTTCAGATACCTTCATCTCGGAGGTTGGTGGCCTGAACGACCAATACTTCGACGCTCTCCCCTCCCAAGAATCTGAGCCGAACGAGGGCCCTTCTACTGCTAGCGAGGACTCAACTAGCATCCTGCTAACACATAACAACCTCTCCCGTCTTTGGAGTCTCATGATACACCAACTCCGCCTCACATTCCTCCCCGATAATTCCTCCGACACACAATCCGTTGCACCATCTATCCCATCTGTTTCCCAGCCAGAGATTCTGGAACCTTACTCTACTCTCCTCTCCCCGGTTCTCACAGCTAGATATCTCTCATCTGCCGCAAACGAGGACCGAGAGAGACAGCTCATCGGAAGCCGATCTTTCCTCTTCGATCCAACATCCCTCACCTCCTACCTCACCGACCAGATGACCTGGTGGCGCGGCGAGCGAGATCCCCGCGGCGTGGATATCATGGACGCGTGGAAATGTCGGATCTGCGATTTCCGCGATGAATGCTCTTGGCGTGAAGAACGTGAGATGGCTTATGCCAGACGGGGTGGGGGTCGGAGAGCTGGGTCCGTTGCGGATATATGATTTGTCTTGCTTGAGTCTCGGTTACATTAAACGCGTTCAGCGAGAGTAGATATACGGAGTTTACCTCTGAGCATGCTTTTTATTACATCCATTTTGCGCCTGTCGAGGCCATCTTAATCCAGCGAGCGGCTTTGGAGATACGGTCTTGAGACCTCTATATTACTCGAAAAGAAATATAGTCAAAATAGGCCGAAATATATCACAATTCCACTCAAAGAGGATACCTCCTAATCTCATCTTCCTTCTCAAGATCCAACCCCCCTTCAATCTGCACTCTATGCTTCTCATCCAAAAACTCCAACAAAACATCCTGGTACTTCTCCTTCCCCTTATACCGACTAACATCATCCCCCCAACTCCTAACCGCATCCGCCAAACGCCCAGGGACATACGGCTCCTCCACAATACCAGTAATAGGCTCAAAATAAGTCCGAATCGTAAAAACCACAGCCCCAGATCTAGGCAATCTCCTCAACGACTGCCTCTCCGAACGGAAGAAATGATTCTCAATAGTCCGGTTCTTCTCCGCCGTATTCCACGACACGGTCTCCGCATCCTCGGACCCAATACTACCAGACCACGCCAGGTTATCGTCAACCTGGATGAAATAGTTGTTCCGCAGAACAGGCTCTTCGGGCTTGAGTCGTCGGAAGAAATTCATCATTCCTTTCTCCAGCTTGCTTTTGAACTGCGGTACGTCGCCCGATGTGTGGATTTCAGATAGTCGCATCCCGAATTTGTCGCTCAGGCGCCAGAACCCGGCTAGCAGAATTGCGCCGGCTAGTAGGTAGTATTCGCCGTCTGGACGCTCGATCATTATGGCTAGGTCGTCTTGGACCAGTCGCGCTGCTGTTGCTATTGGGTCTTCTGGCAGTGGGCGTTGGGTTATGTTGAAGGTTTCATTGGTTACTTTGTTGGTTATGCCCATTGCGGTCTTGGTGAACATGCTTGGGTATCTTTCGGGGAGGTAGGCGCATCTGGTGGGAGGGGTGTTAGTGTGGGATTTACTTGGATATGGATGTAGTATGTTTTGTTGGCTCTTACAGTTCTTCGAGCAGTTCGATTGCCGCATCCATTGCCTCGGGTGCTGTATGGCAGCATTTGCTCCCGCGCTCTTTGATGCGGAGTGCTTTGTCGGCGTGGTATTTTAGATAGTGGTTGTCGAGCTCTGTGTTCGGGGTATATTAGTTTAATGGTTGGTGGGATTTGAGTATCGAAGAACAACTCACCGATCCATTCGTCCCATTTCATGCTTCTTAGACCCAGCGTGACGTAGTAGTTTCTGTCAAAAAAGGTCAAAACACATCCAGTATTATATCCAATGAGTTTGTTCAACATACGGGCCGTATCTAAAGGGCCGGTAGGGAATTGGCTTTGTTGAGTGCACATCCCATCCTGAGTACGGGGCTGCTGTTGGCCGTTTGAAGTCTGATGGAGTCCATTCTATGTACCAAGAGTTAGTGAGTCTTTCTCATTCTTGTATAGGCTGGCATTTACTTACCACCCGGTGGCCTGGTAACCTTTCCTCTCACACCTGCGGGTTTCTCTATACTTCTAGAAGCCCACTTCCGTGAGACTATGATACCAAGCCATATACAGACATTGAGTATGAGAAAGGCTTCCACGACCTTTTTAATTGGGATTGATGAGATAATAACCCGTAGGGACTCAAGTACCGACATAGTCATCGCGAGACACTTCTAAACAGTACCTAGTTTGAGGATACATCAAGAATAGAAAGGCGAGGAACCAAAAGTCGTTTTAGTATATAGTGAACACAAAGCGGATCGCCCTTATCAAGTACAGTGCGGAGAAAGATATTAGCTACTCAGATGGTTCTCTCATGCGAGATGCCGTGTCAATCCGATACGAGATAGGTCATCTTTTGGTCAACATGCTAATTGTGGCTGGTAATAGAGACTATCTTGTCCGGGGAAGAGGGGGGCAGCGTCTTTTTCGAGCTCTCAAATCCGAGACTGCATGCTTCTGTCCGTTGTTTGTCTGTTGTTGGCCTCTAGGTAGTGAAGCGGAGTGAGCGACTATCTGCGGAGAAAAGCTAGTAGGGATCTTTTATCCGAATTGGGAAAGGTGACGCTACACTTGTACTCGATAACCTCAAATGTCACTTTTTCTTTCGATGTGAATGTGTGTTGATGTTTTTACATAATTCTTCTAAAGGTTTTACCAAGAAGAATTTCCAGGCGTATCCTGGATCTATACGTGGCCTGCGGCTGTCCTTTGGAGAAGACAGTATTCGCCCCATTTGCGTCGGAACCGAGCTGGGATGACTGGAAAATCAGGAATCCAGATCAGTCGACCTAGCAGACCTGTTTGAGACGCATCGAGGAAGCTTGCGCAGGAAAGTGGCTCCCACTGCGCCTTATCCAAGAGGTAATGAGGTTCTAGCTCGGTTGCGTCGTGGCCAGGGAAGTAAGAGTCAACCAGGAAGGAACATTGAGAAATATCAACCTGTTGTGAAATCAGCATATGGACAGGAGTAATCATTCCAGCGCCATATTGAGACACTTACGTATTTGCTAGGGTCCTCGATGTTGAGATCATTCATGCCAGATGGAATCTGTGAAGCACCATTCAAACGCCCAAGGTAGCTTGGCGAATCTGGAAACTCGCCCGGAAGTAGTCCTCGGAATTCACTTCGGATGAACTTGGCGCGCATGTCGTTGGGAAGGAAATATGATGACGGGAAGCGATACCACTCTTTACTGAAACACACCGAGGCTCCCGCCTGCGCGATATCCACATGCTGTAAGGGCTCAAACACCTTCAATGGGGCATTGTAAGCTGTAACCATTCCTAGAGTGCGCAGCATGCCGGCATTTAGTGCAACTAGAACAACAGACATGGCTGCAGCAATCTTTAATTTAGTTGGTACGCGGCCGATCAGTTCCTTCTGGTTAGTGGAGCCAAGGTAGGTCAGGATAATATGGAAGCTCAAAGCCGCGCTAAGTGCTAGAAACGGGTATGCTGGGTACATAAACCGCTCCTCCTTATGTGGCTGGACCGAGAAAATCCCAAACCACATGTAGAAGGGAGCGACCAGGGTCATGGACCGCAATGACGTTTGCAAGGAGGTGGTGTGCGATCGAAGGAGGATCTGGAAAAGGAGGAGGGGTGCGGATAGCATGGCGAGGACAAACCAGACATTGAAGTTGAGTAAGAGGTTTCGAATATAGAAAGTCCACGGCTCAGTTCCAAAAATATCCGGTCCCTTACCTTCTCCCCCCAAGACGTTGTATGCAACAATGTTCCAAGGCACGAGAACGAGCTTTCGGAAGAAAGCATAGTCAACTGCAACCTCAAGAGCCTGTACTAGGTCTTAGGAAAGGCCTTGAAACAAAGTAGATTGTCACTTACCAGAATGGACAAACAACGAATGATGCCATCAAAGACGTTCTGCAAGAGCCAGCCGACATCTCCAGAACTGAAACTAATAATAGCCTCCTCAGCCAAAAGAGGGACAATGAGAGCACCGGCAAACGGCCATCCAATGATTGTCCCCAGCCCAAACCACATGATGCCCTGGGCTGTTTTCCGGCTATTTTTCCAATCCAGGAATGAAGCTAGACCAAGCATAGACATATACATGGTAAACGTAGAGGGCAAAAAGGCAGTCGAAGCATGAAACATGCCAGGGCTGAGTGTGACAATCATCACAAACAAGAGACCGATGCGAGGGCTGAGTGTACGGCAGATCGCAGAGTATAGTCGAGTCTGGCAGGCAGCGCATAAAAACGCGAGAGATAGGCGAATTGTGTAGAATTCAGCTGTCTTGCTGTGGACTACCCAAGACCCGATCTTGCCTACAGCAGCATGGAGCGACACGTAGAGCCAGCTCCGTATGGAATAAACCGGAGAATATTCCCAGGTTTGAAGGCCATATCCATGCTGCAGATAATGCGCAGGTTCCCAGAAATTGAACACCTCATCGCAATCCTGAATCGGAGAGAATATTGCGGCGAGAGTGTTGGCAGCTAGGCATAGGTAGAGAGTGATGTTGAGGGGAATGTAGAAGGGAGGTGATGGGGTTCTGTATATAGGTTAGCGTCACGTTTGATCCCACACATATTCATACACATACTGCTTCTTTGTACGAGGTTTATGGGCATCACCCAAGCCATTGTCGTTCCCTGTCATCTTGCCAAGTTGAAGTTACGCTGAGGATCCATGGAAAGAGCTGCGATAACTGATAAGACCTTGTTGACCGCCCTGCGAAGTCCGGCAAAATAAAAAAAAGTTTCTCGTCCGGCTTTTGATCTTTCGGGTTACACTTTTTTATTGAATAAATTCTTGAGCTGGAGATCCAATATGGATGAAAATCGCCACCCCTCGAATAACATCGCAGGTGCTGATGAAGGCCCTGCTCCGAAAAAAACCTGTCTTATCGATACGCCTATCGTAGGGACCCCAGACAACGGCAGCGATTTCTATAATACTCCCTTGGCTGCAGGCACACCAGACATGGGCATAACCAGCTTAAATGATGGAACCAGCACTACTGAACCCTCTACTTCCTCGAAGCCAAGCCATATGATCCCCGGATTGAACCTTATTCACCACTCCTCTGAACAAGAAACTGGCTCGCACTTGACCGCACAGACAACCAAGCAAGAGCAAGAACAACCAGTGAACCACCAAGAAGCCGAGACAGAAACCAAACAAGAAGAAATCCTGCATATCTCCCAGCCCGAGTCCACCGAGGCAGTGACGAAGGAGGAGACAGAAGCGAATCAAATCAAAAATGAAACCACTGCTCCCCTCGAAGCCATGGATGTCGAGCAAGATACCAACCAAGACAATATGATCGAAGCCACTGGTCAGGCTGGTGACGGCGAAGAAGAGGAGCACCCTGAGTGGGAGGAAGACTCATCGCCATACGAGTCATCTTCAGACAGCTCTGATTCCTCGGACTCCGATGATAGTGACGATGAAGACTATCCTATCCTCACTGCCGAGGAGCAAGCACAGATTCTCATGCGCGCGGAAGGTGGTTCCGATGACGAAGGAGACGGCAAAGGGAAACCAGGTGGACAACTGCGAACCACCAACGAGATCGAACAGGAGGTTCTGCCTGTACCTGATGTTAAGATCACCCCCGAGATGAAGATTGTGTTCCTGGGCAAAGTTCATGCCGCTATCGATAACAATGTCCTTATCGAGGCTAATACCTCTGGAGAATATCAGGTACTCGAGTCAGGCTCCTTGCTTTGCTCTGACGATCGCGAGGTCATTGGTGTAGTAGCAGAGACCCTGGGCAGAGTGGAGAATCCTCTTTATACCATCACATATGCCACAGCCTCCGAAGTTCAGGAAAAGGGCTTAGTCAAGGGGAAGGATGTCTTCTATGTTGAGGCGCACTCCACCTTTGTGTTCACCCAGCCGCTCAAGGGCCTGAAGGGAAGTGACGCTTCCAACTTCCACGACGAGGAAGTTGCCGCCGAAGAGATGGAATTCTCCGACGATGAAGCGGAGGCTGAGTACAAGCGGAAATTGAAGCAGAAGCGACAAGAGCGAAAGGAAGCCAGAGAAGGCCCAAGAGGCAAGAAGCCGGCCCCAGGACCTTCGAAATTGAATCAGACCGAACTCAACTATGACGATGCCGGAGGTGAGGAGGGCTACACCCCTCTTGCACGCCCTACAAATCTCCACGAGATGATGAAGACCCGCGAGCCACCGGTTGAAGGCAACGAGCGTGGTGGGTTCCGTGGCGGAAGAGGTCGTGGCCGGGGTGACCGGGTTGACCGTGGACGTGGAGGACGAGGCAGAGGTGGACGCGGAGGAAGGGAATGGGAGGACCGTCGACCCCAGCAGGCCAGCGGCTCAACCCACGAGCCTCAGCCTCAGCTTCAACCTCAAGCCCAACCCGCTGCTCCTTACGGCCAGCCAATGTACCAGCAGCCGCAGCAGCCATATGGAATTCCTCAGCCCTTCGCCCAATATGCGCAATACGCACAACAGCAAGCCCAGAACCCGCAACTCATGCAACATCAGCCGCAATTCGGCCAAAGTGGAGCGCAACCACAGATGCCCTTCCAGTTCTCTCAATATCCGGCCTTCCAACAACCGCAACCCCACAACTTCCCGAACATGCAGCAGGGTGCTGCTCAATTCAATCCTCAATCCATGGCTATGATGCAGCAACAGCAGCAACAATTCTTGCAGCTTCTGCAACAACAGCAGCAGTACCAACAGTCTCAGCACCAGCACCAGCAGCAACAGCCTCCCCAGGCCCAAACCCCAGCTATGAACTTTGATCAAGTCAAAGCCCAGTTGGATCTGCTGCGAAACCTGAACGGCGGGAACCAGGGTCCTCCTCCTTCCTGATAACTTTGTTTTCCATACATGTTCTTCTGTGATCTGTGATATCCTGGCGGAATTTGCTTTGCATACGGAGCGGGGTTTATATGAGTAGGGGTTTTTTATTTGATCAAAAGTTTTTCATAGCTCTAATTGAGTGTTGTTTTGAACGATTTACGGTGCCTACGGGACGGGGAATAGTAAGCGCCTGAAGCATCATGTATATGAATGATAATCGCTATGAAGCAGGTTCGCTATCTGTAAAAGTACAATAGACCTAGACCTTGCTGATCCAGCCGTAGTATGTAATGTTTTCTCGTTAATGTTCAGCTTGCTTGGAACTCTTCGCCAGTGTCCAGAAGTTCTCCATCTTGGCTCGGGACAGGGTTTCTTTGGCAGTAGAGTCTGTTTCACAGATACGAGCACCAAGCCATCTCTTGAAGGCCCGGTCTTTGACCTGACCTTCCCAGAGAAGATTACATGTGTTCGCGCTAAAATCCCGGGGCTCTCCCTTTTCATCCTCAGTGGATAACCAGGAAACCTGGGCTTCAGGGCTGTCTGCAGGCACTCGATCAGATCCAGGGTTTTCGGTCCAATCAATGCGGTTCAGCATCAACTTTCGGTAATTGTTGATGGAGTGCTGGCCGCCCTCGACAATCACTAGATTCAACCGGGGATGCATGACACATACACCTGTCAGATTATTTTGTTGTGCGTTTTTGCCGATCTTGAAGCGGTTCCGGCCGCTCGCCAAACTGTCAATTCGATACACAGATTGGAAGACGCCCAAAGAGGCGTCCTTCTCCTGCTGAGCTGCCAATTTCTCGCGCCGTTGCTCCTTGGTCAGTTTGCGGTTTTCGTTGTCTATCTCATGCTTCTCCTTCCGATCTGCGATCTCCCTGGCCACACGAGCTTCCACAGCCGTGGGATCCAACACAGCTTGTTCTCCCAAGACCCGCATGAGGTTGGATTTCTTGACTTTCGGAGGCGGTGCTTCCTCAAGTCCTAGTCTTATCTTGGCTTGCTGTTCCTTCAGTTCTGCCATGCGTCGCTGTCGACGAATCTTGGCTTGTTCTTTCGGAGTAAGGAACATGGGCTTTTGTGCAGGCATGTGCTTTTCTTGCGGGGGTTGGAGCTCGATGGGATGCTGTACATAGGCGTTGATGGTATTAAGTTTGATGTTTTGAGGGTCATCAATTGCGTCGTAGCTGTCACCATCAACCAATTTTGCATCCCACCACTCGAGAGCGGGCGGAGCAGGAACAAGGAATGCCTTCTCCACATCCAGGTCCTCATCAAGCCCGGCCTGTCGGGCATGCTCTTCTATTCTTTTCTTCATAGCTTCCATCCGTGCTTGTGTGCGTAGAGCCGCTGCCTGTTGGATATATTTGCCCTTTTCATTGAAGTGAAGCTCTCGAGTTTGTCGAGGCTTCGCAATTGTTGCTTTTGGGTTGATAGCGGGGTCAAAGTAAGGGTTATTCCTGATTTCCTCCACAGACGGACCGGACAGATCAAGCTGGGGCCCACCGGCACGTTTTGACTTAGACTGTCGTCCATTCGCACCGCGATATTCTAGTGCAGCGTCGGAGAGAAGCGCGGGATGAAGGCCGACATCCAGACCGCCGCGAGCCTTGGCCATGCCCTCGTCGTCATGGGCCAGTGGTTGCTGGTAGGATGGTGCGGGTGCACTGGGTCGTGGTTGGGATGGTGCGCTGGCTCGTTGAGTAGCTGCAGCAACTCGAGCTTTCATTTGTTCTAGTTTTGACATCCCGGTAGTGGGTGCTGGCGGAGGAGTACTCGCAGAAACCGATGGTGGTGGTGGTGGTGTTGGCGTCGCTGCCACGACACCACGCGCTTGTAGCCGAGCGCGCATAGCTTCTGCCTTTGCCTTTGCTTCTGCCATTATTTTCGCAATATCTGGCTTGCCCGAGGAAGCACCTCCTTGACCTGGTACTGGGGACCCATGGTTGGAGCGGGTCCTTTTCTGGGAGTTGTCGTGTTGATCTTCAGGGTGAGGACGCTTCAGCGCGTTGCCCGATGTGTCAGCCATAATGTAGATAACTTCCGACTCACTCAGTCTTCTGGCGATAGGAAAATACAAAAAGGTTGAATGAGACAAGGATAGAAAAGTAGTAGGAGTTGGGGTATGAGGCAGAGCAATCCACGCAGAAACCCAAAAAGGGAAAGGCGGTGGATCCAGGCAGAAAAGAAGTTGCTCCTCCGGAAAAAAAAAAGTTCGCTCCAGAACTAAAAGCACTTGGAGATCTGAATCCGAGCACTTTGATTTCGTGCGCCAGCGTTTTCTGTTGCTCAAGGAGCTGCAGGCTACAATGGCAACTTTTGCGCGCCCGGTCGCCTCGACCATTAATGGGGTCGACTTCAATGTCTACTCCGAGGAAGAGATTAAAGCTCTCTCGGTGAAAAGAATTCACAATACCCCGACTTTGGATTCATTTAACAATCCTGTTCCTGGTGGCCTTCAAGACCCTGCTATGGGCGCTTGGGGTGATCATGTGTAAGTCTTTACTTGATTAGTATACTGTTCAATCTTTAACGTGAGAGATTTTCCTATTTTACAGATGCACTACTTGTCGCCAGAATTCTTTCACTTGTACCGGACATCCTGGACACATTGAGTTGCCAGTACCCTTCTATAATGTCACATTCTTCGATCACATCTTCCGTCTTCTCCGAGCACAATGTGTGTACTGTCTTCGCCTGCAGATGGGCCGCAACCAGGTCAACATGTACACCTCCAAATTGCGCCTTCTGCAATATGGCTTGGTTGATGAAGTAGCTATTGTCGATGCGATGGGAGCCGTAAAAGGTGCTAAATCGAAGCCCACCAAGGGAAAGGAAGACGATTCGGACGATTCAGACGATCCCGATGATGATGACTATATGCAGAAGAGGACCGACTATGTCAGTCGGCGCATCCGTGAAGCCAAGAAGGAGGGTAAACTGGACGGATTGATGCCTGGCGGACAGAACCCCATTGCCGCAGAAGCCAGGCGAGAGTTGATCAAGGCCTTCTTCAAGGACATCAGCGGATTCAAGAAATGTGTCGGCTGCAGCGGGTACGTTATACAATATACAATATTCCTCGACCTTAACTTTGAATTTTCCGGCTAACTTTATGGCAGAGTGTCCCCCGGTTATAAAAAGGACCGCTACAACAAAATCTTCCGAAAGCAATTACCCGAGAAGCAGAAGCTTGGAATGCTGCAAGGAGGATTCCAGGCACCGAACACCATGGTCCTTCTCGAGCAAGAAAGGAACGTTAAGTCCAAGAACGGAGTTTCTGAGGTCCACGGAGCCGAGGAGGAAATCCGCCGTGGTGTGGCTGTCGTGCAGGAGGTGCCAGGATCGACCGGCCAGGAATTCATGTCTTCTTCTGAGGTCTATGCAGCTCTTCATATCCTTTTCCAAAAGGAAAGTGAGATCCTGCAGCTTGTTTATAACTCTCGGCCTGTTCCCAAGGGTGTGAAAATTGTGTCGGCAGACATGTTCTTCATCAAGAGTCTTATGGTGCCGCCAAACAAGTACCGTCCCGCAGTCCAGCAGGGTGCTGGAACAGTCATGGAGGCACAACAGAACACTTCATTCAATGCGATTTTGAAGGGCTGTGATACCATAAACCAAATCAGCAAGGAGATCCAAAACGAGGAAGAAAAGACCATGTCTCGGGCACGGAACTACAGTGATCTCCTTCAAGCTATTGTTCAGCTCCAAGATGTGGTCAACGGTTTGATCGACCGCGATCGTACCTCTGTCACTGGCTCAGCTGCCGCGGCACAGCCCAACGGTATCAAGCAGATTCTCGAGAAGAAGGAGGGTCTGTTCCGAAAGAACATGATGGGTAAGCGTGTCAACTTTGCTGCTCGTAGTGTTATCTCCCCCGATCCCAATATCGAACCCAATGAGATTGGTGTACCCCTCGTCTTCGCCAAGAAATTGACTTTCCCTGAACCTGTGACAAACCACAACTTCTGGGAGTTGAAGGAAGCTGTTATCAATGGTCCCGACAAATACCCTGGTGCTTCTTCCATCGAGAACGAAAATGGACAAGTCATCAACCTGAAGTTCAAGAATCTGGAAGAGCGGACAGCACTTGCCAACCAACTTCTCGCACCATCAAACTGGCGCCAGAAAGGTTCGCGCAACAAGAAGGTCTACCGTCATCTCACCACTGGTGATTATGTCTTGATGAACCGTCAGCCAACTCTGCATAAACCCTCTATTATGGGTCACAAGGCTCGAGTCCTTCCTAACGAGCGGGTTATTCGCATGCACTACGCCAATTGTAACACTTACAACGCCGATTTCGATGGTGACGAGATGAACATGCATTTCCCTCAAAATGAGCTTGCTCAAGCGGAAGCCAGGATGCTGGCAGATGCCGACCACCAGTATCTCGTTGCTACATCAGGCAAACCGTTGAGAGGTCTGATTCAAGATCATATTTCAATGGGAACGTGGGTTACATGCCGTGACAGCTTCTACGATGAGGAGGATTATCACCAGCTGTTGTACAGTTGCTTGAGGCCAGAACATTCGCATATCGTCACTGACCGCATCCAACTGGTTGAGCCTGCTATGCGAAAGCCTAAGTGCCTCTGGACCGGAAAGCAGATCATCACGACAATCCTCAAGAACATTCAGCCCCCAGAGCGAGGAGGTTTGACGTTAAAGAGCAAGTCTTCAACCCCTGGCGACCGATGGGGTGAGGGCAACGAAGAAGGAGAAGTTATCTTCCAGGATGGAGAGTACCTTTGTGGTATCCTTGATAAGAAACAGCTCGGTCCCACCGCCGGTGGTCTCATCGATGCTATCCATGAAGTTTATGGATACAGCATTGCTGGCAAGCTCATCGGTATTCTTGGAAGACTTCTCACTCGCGTCCTCAACCTGCGCGGCTTCAGTTGTGGTATTGACGATCTTCGATTGACCAAGGAAGGTGACCGAATCCGCAAGGAGAAGTTGGCCACTGCTCCTCAGATGGGTCGCGAAGTTGCTCTGAAGTATGTGACCTTGGACAAGGTCCCTGGTGACCAGACTGCCGAGTTGAACCGACGTTTGGAAGAGGTTCTTCGCGATGATGACAAGCAAAGTGGCCTGGATAGTGTTTCTAACGCCCGGTCTGCCAAGCTCTCCTCTGAAATCACTAGCGCCTGTCTCCCATACGGTCTTGCTAAGCCTTTCCCCTGGAATCAGATGCAGTCTATGACGATATCTGGAGCAAAGGGATCCGGTGTTAACGCCAACCTGATTTCTTGTAATCTCGGCCAACAGGTTCTTGAAGGTCGTCGTGTACCACTCATGATCAGTGGAAAGACTCTTCCGTCATTCAAGGCCTTCGAGACTCACCCAATGGCTGGTGGTTACGTCTCTGGTCGTTTCTTGACTGGAATCAAGCCCCAAGAATACTATTTCCACGCCATGGCTGGTCGTGAGGGTCTGATCGATACTGCTGTTAAGACCTCTAGATCTGGTTACCTGCAACGTTGTTTGATCAAGGGTATGGAAGGCCTCAAGGCTGAATACGACTCTTCTGTCCGTGAAGCGTCAGATGGCTCTATTGTCCAGTTCTTGTACGGAGAGGACGGCCTCGACATCACCAAACAGGTGCACTTGAACGACTTTGACTTCCTTGCTCAGAACCATATCTCCATTTCTAAGCAAGTCCAAGCAGACGATTACCACAAACTGGCGAAGGAAAATGTTACGGCCTGGCACAAGGATGCTATGAAGGCGGTCCGCAAGACTGGACACATTGATGCTGTGGACCCTGTGTTGTCGCGCTTCCCCCCTGGAGGAAACCTTGGAAGTACATCTGAAGCGTTCGCCCAGGAGCTTAAGAAGGTATGTACTCGCTATCTCCCCCTCTCTGATTCTTCACAATTCTAACAAGTTTTTGAAAATAGTATGCGGATATCAACAAGAGCAAGCTCATTAAAGACAAGAAGAAGAACATCGAGGGCAAGGTTACCAAGAAGACTTTCGAGGCCTTGATGAACATGAAGTACATGAAGTCTATCATTGACCCTGGTGAAGCGGTCGGAATTATGGCCGGTCAATCCGTTGGAGAACCGTCCACACAGATGACTCTCAACACTTTCCATTTGGCTGGTCACTCGGCAAAGAACGTCACACTGGGTATTCCCCGTCTACGTGAAATTGTTATGACTGCAAGTGCCAAGATTATGACGCCTACGATGACTCTTCTTCTGAACGAGGAGATTTCCAAGGACGACTCAGAGAAATTCGCGAAGGCTATCAGCAAACTTAGCATTGCTGAACTTGTTGATAAGGTGCAAGTCAAGGAACGAATTGGCTCGGGCATTGGCCACGCCAAGGCTAAGATCTACGATATTGAGATTGACTTCTTCCCGTCTGAAGAATACACCAAGGAATACGCCATTGAGACTAAGGATGTTCTGGTTGCTCTGAAATCCAAGCTCATCCCTCGGTTGGTGAGACTCACCAAGGCCGAGCTCAAGAAGCGCAACGAAGAGAAGAAGGGCGTCAAGGGTACAACTTCTCAGCCTGAAATCGGTGTTTCAGTTGGTAAAATCGCGGAGGCACCGAGAGGCGCCGACTCTGAGGCTCAGCCAGCCGACGACGACAATGAAGATGATGAGGACGATGCCAAGCGGGCCGCCGGAGCTCAGAACAGGGGGCACCAGGTCTCCTATGAAGGACCCGACGCCGCCGAGCAGGATATCATCAGACGCCAAGACACCCCTGACGAAGACAATGATGACGAGGATGAAAGCAGCAAGTCTGCCAAGCGCACTCGCGATGTAGAAATGAAAGACGGCTCCGACTCCGAGGATGATTCCGAGGATGATTCCGAGGATGACTCCGACGATGAGACCGCCCAAGATAGCAAGGCGCGCGAGGAGGATGATATCATAGGCAAGTTCGAGGAGATTACGAAGTTCAAGTTCGACCCGAAGAAGGGCAACGCGTGCTCCATCCAACTGCAATACGATGTCGAGACCCCCAAGCTTCTTCTCCTTCCCCTGGTTGAGAAGGTTCTCCACCTCGCCGTCATCCAGTGCATTCCCGGCATGGGCAACTGTGTCTTCGTTGAGGCCGACGAGGCGAAGGGTGACCCCGCCAACATCCTCACTGAGGGTGTCAATCTTCTCGCCATGCGCGACTACCAGGATATCATCAAACCCCACTCGATCTACACCAACTCCATCCACGACATGCTCAACCTGTATGGCGTTGAAGCTGCTCGTGCCACCATCGTCCGCGAAATGGATGCCGTTTTCAAGGGCCACAGTATCTCTGTTGACAACCGTCACTTGAACTTGATTGGCGATGTGATGACACAGTCCGGTGGCTTCAGGGCCTTCAGCCGTAATGGCTTGGTCAAGGATGCCTCGTCTGCTTTCGCGCGTGCCAGTTTCGAGACTACTGTCGGCGCCCTGAAGGACGTTGTGCTCGAGAGGGGTACTGACAACCTCAAGAGTCCTAGTGCCAGAATTGTTGTTGGTCGTGTCGGCACCGTCGGCACTGGTTCCTTCGACATTCTTGCTCCTGTAGCATAGTCTCTTGACCGGATGGAGTTTTGAAATGTGTGTATTCTCTTTTCCTCATGTGTATATTGTTTCATGCAAAGCTATTATGTTTTTTTGTGTTTTCGCTTCATCTTTGATGTGTCGATGATCTGGAGTTTGTGCAGCGGAACCAAAAAGTCCTGTTCATATTAGCATCTTGACTAGTTCGATAAATAGATCTTTTCCTAATGATGCTGTAACATGGCTACTTCTTTATATTCCTTAGACGGCTAGTATGTAGATCTTCAGGACGCTATACAATTACCCCGCAAAAAGCCCCCCACTATCAACAATAGCTCTGATACATCGTTCATTGGAAGGGTGAAGGTCAATTTTGCCTCTGAAACACTTCGAATCTCAATTTAAATATATAAAATTTGTTCCTTTTCAATCCAATTATGCAAAAAGGCTGTTTATATTCGTATTCCTGCTGTGTCAGGATAAATCCGAGATATGCCGAGGTACATCGGTGATGTCGCCGGACTGAGGACATCCCTGCGACTTAAAACGAGACTTGAATCTCACAGCTGCATATCATCAAACCTCCTAACATACTCTGCGCAAAACGTAGGAAATATCATAATTTTCCAAAATGCAAGCTGTCGTTTTCAAGGGCCCGTCGAAGGTAGCCGTCGAGCAAAAGCCCATCCCCCAGATCCAAGATCCAACAGATGCCATCCTGAAGGTGCGATACACTGCGTTATGTGGCAGGTAAGAGCCCAATAACAACCTCTATCTGCGCAAAATCGCTTATTTTTACAAAGTGAACTTCATGTGTTTCGTGGCCACCAAAAGTCTGGCACAGAGTTTATTATGGGCCATGAGTTTACAGGTGAAGTTGTCGAGGTTGGATCGGACATTAAGAGCTTCCAAAAGGGAGATCGAGTAGTCTCGCCCTTTACTGCGAGCTGTGGGGAATGCTTCTACTGTGAGCGTGGCTTCTCCTCTCGATGCGCTCAATGCCAGCTATTCGGTACTGTTCTACTTGATGGTGGACAGGCCGAGTACGTACGTGTTCCACTAGCCGACTCGACTCTTGCCCACGTCCCAGCTACCATAGACGAGAAGAAGCTGGTTCTTATGGCTGATATCTTCCCAACCGGGTACTTTGCTTCTCTGAATGCTTTCTCTGATTTATCTCCGGAGGAGATTCAAAAAAGCACGGTACTCCTCTTTGGGTGTGGGCCTGTCGGAATCTGCGCACTTATTAGTGCCCTCGATTACAAGCCGAAGACTCTCATTGCAATTGACAGTGTGCCTTCCAGATTAGCCCTTGCACAGAGTTTGGGAGCCGAGCCTTGGAATTTCAAGGAGGACGAAGAAGGACTGCGCCAAAGAGTGATGGAGCTTACTGACGGTCGTGGAGCGGATATCGTTATTGAAGTTGTCGGACATAGTAGCGCTCTCAGGATGGGTTTCGATTTGTTACGGCCTTGGGGCCGTATATCGAGTGTGGGCGTCCACAACCAGGATATCCCATGGACTGGGAACGAAGCCTACGGAAAGAATCTTCGTATACAGATGGGCCGATGCCCTGTTCGGAGTATGTCTGATTCCACATCTTACTTTGACTGTCTTGCTCATTTGTGATAGGTATCTTCGGTCCAGCCATGGAGCTTTTCGAGAAAAAGCAGGATATACTTAAGTGAGTTTGGATAACCCGATATTTTCTGTTGTACGAGTGTCTAATGATTCCCAGCTTCATGTCTGAAGATATCCGTCCACTCTCACAGGCAGTTCAGGCGTAGGTTCTTCTTCAAATTTTGAGACCATGTAATTGACCCTTTGGTAGATATGATGATTTCGATAACATGCGGGCCCATAAGGTGATTTTTGAGGCAGATAAGTGAAGAGACTCAGACAGCCTTACATAGTACTTCATATGATTTGAGTACATAAATATCTCAATGCCTATCCTCCAAAGTCTAGTTCATTCCCCCAGGAGTTTGGTAAGATCGCTCTATAAACACAGTAAAAGAAGCTACCGAAGCTATGAAAACTATCCGTTGTACTCGCATACTTGGTGAGATTCTCTATAAGCTTTCTAGCGCAAGGATAATTTCTTTGAGGATTTGGAGATCACTTCATGTAAACATTGATGTATATCACATCTCTTTTCATTTCAGCGTAACCAGCATACAGTCTGATACAGACGAACGACCATTTATTCGAATAAAAGTTGCAAAAGGAGATTAATTTCAAAGAATCTAGAAAATTTTATGCTCTGCAGAACTACCGATTGACAACTCGGGTTGAACATTATGCTTCAAAAGAATACCATGACGATATAAAAAGGCCACTGCAGCTGGAAACCACTTCGGGAGCATGCTCAACGCGAAATCAAGTCGAAAGAGGGGATCAGGGCACATACTGACGACAAAGCATCACTTGAAGATTGAAAAGAGGAGATTTCTAATATTTGTTAGATAGAGAATCTGCAAAGAATATCAAAAAGGCAGCAAAAGCGACTGACTATTCTTGTTTTAGCTGATTATGTATCTGCTTTTAGTTGTGCTTAGTTCCTAAGGATAATTGTTCAAGAGATTTGTCTTCAATTCAAACAAAGGCAAAGAAACGCCGTCTATGCTAACTGGCATTATGTCTAATTCCAAACGCCCCGTCCATGCCAGTAGATGCGATGCGTCATTATGTAAAGAACAAACAAGATTATTTTATGGCGCATCGAGCATCATGAGGTCTTCATCAATGTTGTCATCGTATTCATCCTCGATGATCCGGGATGCGGATGGGATCATTCCGTCCATTGCGTGCCCATTATGCACCTCTTCTCTTATCATCCGCTCTTCCTCCGTCCTCCTCTTTGCCTCATGGCGCTCGATGTCAGCCAAGCCCCAGGTAGAAATGCCTTCTTGGTCTTTCGCTTTAAAAGGCTGGGCCATGGTCCGCAAAAAGTTCTTCGCATTCGATACAGCCATATCGGTGCTAAGATTAGTTTCGCTGTCCAACATTGCCTGGTTGATCCACTTGGGGAGTTGGGGGCGCTTTCGCTCAAATCGACGATCCGCCAACACCATGACTCCATAGTCGTCCTTGCCACGCAGGACACGACCTAGACACTGGGCAGCATGTCGAATCGCATCGAAGGATAAGAAGTCGTTCTCCCGAATACGATAGTTCTCACGCAAGAACTCTAGACGAGCTTTCAAAATTCGAGATTCAGTGTATTGGAAGGGAACACCAATACACAGCACTGCACGACCGTAGTGGTGATCGAAATCAATGCCCTCGGAAACCTTGCCTCGAGCGACACAGAACAAGATCGCGCCACGTCCATTGCAGCACGCTGTTCGGTAGGTCTCCAGAGCGAGTGAAGATTCTTGTGCATCGGGAGTTTCGACAAGAATCAATTTGTAATTCCAGATTTGATCCAGAATACCCATACCTTGCCACATGCTGATGATCGATTCCATGTAGAGATAAGAGGGGAAGAAAACAACAACGCCATCGGGTGTAATGCGAGAAAACTCGGTCACCAGACTTCCATAGTTTCGCACAACACCGGGGTCATTGCGAATTCCAAACGAAGATGAAACCTGTGCTTGGTCTGAGCCTCGAGTGACAATCATGGGCAAGAAAGATCGCCGAGCGAGTGTCATGCTGTACGATTCTTGAAGAACAGCAGTAAATCCCAGCATCTTCGGATACATTTCCAAGGGCGACAAAGTTCCCGAGGTAATGATCACAGAGCTGAATCGATCGAATACCGGCTTGATAGCAATGGCGGCATCTAAACATGTGAAATGGAGTATGGGGTTTGGTACGGTAGCCGCTTCGGACTCGAAGGGCTCAAGGATGAGAACAAATCCCTTGTCGTAAGTTGCGACCAGGGTTGCAAAGGTGGCCACCTCTTGAAGAGGCTGATAATCTTCGATGTTGACAAGTTCCAGCGTCCGTACAAGTGACGTTAAACGCTCGGCGCAAAACCTCAAAGGCTTCCGTTCAATATAGGTAAGGTCTTTTAGATGAGTGAGGAAAGAAGGGGGTGTCTCGGATATGGTATGTGTGACTTTCATTCGAGTCTTCAGATACTCGATAAATCTCTTCAAGAAAGAGATGAAATGCTCGGCCCGGCGGATGTTGCCAGGAACAGCTTCCTTGAGTAGGTCATCTGGCAAGACCGGATTCGATATGAATTGATCTTCTTCCCGGGCCTTCTCAGCTTCCTGCAGCCCCTCCACTAATTTTGAATATTCGTTTTTGAGCTTTTCCTCATCCGTGCTCTTCATTTCTTCGATCTTGCGTTCCAAGTTATTTGCACCCCGAGTCGCTTTTCGTAGGGAATCCTCGCTCAGGTCTATACTGAGCGATTCGATACAGACGTTGTCAATGTTGTGCGCTTCGTCAAAGACCACAATGCAATCCTTCGAGAGCTCTCGGGATACTCGTTCTGCAATTTTTGGGTCGAGAAGATAGTGATAGGAATAAATGATAATATTGCACCACGGCATCTAGTGAAGGTTGTCAGAAATATGACAATTTGTATGAGATACTCGGTTATTATCTTACCATGCGCCGAGCGGAGAAGTAAGGACATTGCTTGTGCTCTTCTCCGTATCTTGCCAATCCGTCCAGTGTGAAAACGCCCGGAGGGACGAGGTTATGTGGTTCGAGTAAGTCAAGGTTCTAGGCCTGTTAGCGCGTTCGATGCCGTACTGCAGATAACAGAGTCCTACCTCATGGTATATGCAAAGTTCAACATCTTCACCACGCTCCTTCTTCTCCTTGACAAACCCAGCCGTCAAGCTCCTGCATCTGGCATCAACCACTGTACCACTCTTCTCTCTTTTTACTGAAGGATGAAGACATAGGTTCTTCCGACTGGTCAGACCAAGCGCACGAAACTCCTCTTCATGACCCAGCTCCTTAGCACGATGTTCCATCAAAGCCTTTAACTCTGCTAGAGCTTTCTCGATCTCCGACATGGTTCGGGAGCAGTAGATGAGCTTACGGTGCTCCGGGTAGTGCTGTTGGTAGGCGACAATCAACGACAATAGCGAAACTGTCTTGCCAGTTCCTGAGGGCATTTCCAGCACACAGTGACCCCCTGCGTCGAGGGTCTTTTTAAGATCGCACATGTAGGCATATTGTTCGGGGTAGATTCGAGGATACGGAAACAGCACCGGAAGATCACTGTGAGAGACAAATATGGTCAGCTTGTAGATTAGATAGGACCACACCCAGGAGACGTACTCAATGAAGAACTTCATCTTGGCTGGGCTCCGATGCAAAACGCAAGAGGGCAAAGGATCACAAAAGAAGAGAGCTTGCGCTCATCTTTCGCGGCTCCGCCTTCGCGCTTGTCCTATTTTGGACAGCGATGACACAAACTCACGTGATGGATATCTTGGTCCCGCGGATCTTTTGGAGATCCGATATTGAGTGTGTCTGTACCTTCACACATGCGATGGAAGAGTGATACAGCGCTCAAATCACATTCAAACACGGAATTCGCAAACAGAGCCCCTTGCTCTCTCCGAAGCCTTTCCAAACCCTCAATTTTGAGGTCCTCCCCCACTACTTCCTTGTCCCGCTGACCTCATACCCCACATGAGCAAAAAGTTCAAATCCCAGGCCTCCAGCAGTCGCGCTGCTGCGAGTGCCTTTGGATCATTTGGAGGCTTCTCCGGTGGTCTCTCCAGTGAAGGAAAGGATCCGTCAGCTCTCACATACATTGCAGTACCGCCAGATCTTTCTCGCATTGCGGACCAGCAACTAGTTATCGCATTCAAGAATTTACTGAAGAAAGATGACATCACACGATTGAAGGCTCTAGAGGAGCTGCGCGACCATATATCAGCAGTGGAAGAGAAGAAGGGAACGCTGGATGACGGGTTTCTAGATGCATGGGTATGTATAAATTGCTTCTATATACAACAACCAAGTAATAACAATGTTTCTCCCAGGTCAGAATCTATCCCAGACTCTCTATCGATTTGTCTCGCCGAGTACGCCAAATTGCCCATCCGATACAAGGTACAATTTCTGGCCTTGTTGGGAAGCGAATCCTGCCCAATTTACCAAAGGTCATCGGAGCATGGATCGCAGGAATGTACGACAATGATCGACCAGTCCACCGTGCCGCCCTTGAATCTTTCACAAAAGTCTTTGCAACTGAAGAAAAAAGAAACAACGTGTGGAGGATTTACCAAAGCTCCATTTTGGACTTTGTAGATGATGTTATTCTTCACCAAACACCCTTGACATTGAGTGATGAAAGGACAGTGAAGAAAGACGATGCCGAGGGGAAATATGCCCGTGTTGCAGGAGCTGCGATTTTGCTGTTTAACCGCGTACTAGGTGAGTTGACTGTTTCTACTTGTAATACTCCCTAACTAACATTATATTGTCTCTAGGCAATTCGTCTGATGAAGATTTGCAGAAGAACCTAACAGAAATCGAGAATCTATTAGCCAGCAAACATTTGTGGGCACTCTGTCACCACGATGATCCATATGTTCGCCGGTCTATATACATCCTGCTCCGATCTGCGGTTTCTCGAGAGCCTGGATGGGTAGACTGGAAGACTCTCAGCTCAGCTGTCATCGGGAAATCTTTATCTCTCCAGCAAATCGGATCGGCCACCGAATTGTCAGAGTCTATCCTCTTATTAACCTCGATGAGGCCTCAAATATGGACGGGTGACTACACTGGGAAATCATCTGCCTCGAAGAAATTGCGCCAGTACATGCAGAAAGGATCCCAGGGTGGGCATTCTAACTTTTGGTCAAACTTAGACCAATTGCTTCGAATCATCCCCCAAGAAGTACTAGCAGGTGCCGACAAGGCCACTGCTGACCATGGAATCACTTGTACCAGCGCAATTGCCTTAACTGAGGCTTTGCAAGAAGGCCTAAATTCAAGAGAAGAACCGCGTTCAAATCTTGCCGTCGGATGGAAGTCCTATACCCAGATAGGAACATGGCTTGCAACATTGATACCCCAGGAGCAAAAATCTGAATTTATTGCGAAGAGACTGTCTCCCTTGGTGGTGCAGTATGTGCAAATTGACCCCGAGCTGGCCCAATGGTCACTTCCGGCCCAGTCAGCCGAAGAAACCTGTGTGGATTATATTTCTACTCTGGCTTCTACTGTACAAGCCCAGGAACTGCAATCATTGTGTACATCCCTTTCCGATGGTCTGCTAGAAGCTATAAAGCTGTCGTCCCCAGAACAATCTAAGGACTTCCGTGAATCTCAAGACTCAATATGCGCCCAATCCAAACGCCTATTGACTTTGAAGTCTGCTGTTCTCTCACGGGTCGCGGATACCAAAGTCGAACCTCAAGTATCGGAGGTCTTTGAAAGAACAAGCACTTCCCTTCTTGAAGGTTGTCTCGAAGTCCTGCGCATCCGCAATGGGAAGCCATATGGGGCTGCCGCCACGGTGGTGGAGTGTGTTCGCAGCCTGCCATCTGTTGCCAGAAAGTCCCAAGACCTCCAAAACTTTGTGCAAAACGATGCACCGGAGCTTTTGCTTTCACCGTCCGCTGATCGATTGATTACAATCATCCTGGAATGTCGGGAGTGGGATGGATTTGCACCTAGCTTTGAGAACGTCGTTGAGCGAGCCTTGGCCCTGGAGCCAGAGCTGTCTAATGTGCATGTACTCCAAAGCTTACTTTCTTCCCTCGATTTCAACGATGTCGAACACAAAGAGAAGCTCAACTCACTTGTTGTGCGGGCTCTTAACAAAGCTTGCCAAGGAAGCCATGCCCATTGGCCTATTATCACTACTGTTCTTCAAAACAAAACATCACACGGTGAATTGATGGATCAGATATACTTATCTTTGATCGAGGCGTTATCTTCAGATGATAAAATCTTTGATACCTTGCATGGACTTTCTCATATCGGAAAGTCTGCGCCATCTTCAGTTCGGGAGTTCCAAAATGGAGCTCATGGATCGAAGTTAGCAGGAAAGCTACTTTTCCTCGCAGAATCACCATCTGAAGAGGTGGCAAGCTTGGCGTCGGCGTTGCTAAAATCATTGAAAGAATCTGGTGTTGGCGACACGAGTGCCAAGTCGGGCATCGAAATTCTCCAACATGGATTCAGCCATGTGGATGAAGAATCATTGTCGTGAGTGCCGCCTTGCTGTCATATTCTATAGGGAATTGTGCTAACTTTGTTTCAGGATTGAATCCCTTCTTGCTATCGCAGATGAATTGCTGCCAGGTCTTACTGCCGAAGGCGCAGCTGGCACCGTGAAGGATATTCTGCCTTCTCGTCGTTCATGGGAGGATTCTCTGACCCCCTTTCTCCAACTTCCCCCTCGCTCTTCCACTTCCATAACAAGCCCTCTAGGAGGCACTGTTCACTTGATCCAGCGTGAGCTATCTGACTCCTTCAAGGCTTTATGGCCGAGTATTCCTCGAGATTCAGACCATCGCTCTTCTGCATTCCGCCTGACAATCTTCACCATCAGCATTCTCTCTACTTCTGAGTTATTGAAACATCTGGGCCGGGAGGACCTAGAGATCTTATTCCATTTCTTGCCCTTGGCAATTCAAATTATAGATGACGATTTGAGCATCGAGAATTGCAACGGCATCTCAGGTCTCGAGCTGGCTGATCAGCGTGAAGAATATATGGAGGTTGTTTTCGCCGGCCGAAAGGTGGTCGGTAACTGGATTCGTGACAATAACCCAGTTAGTTTCGCACCCGAGAAGACCGTTTCCTCTTCGTTTGCCCAGTTTTGGGAAACTAGCCTAGAGGAACTGAAGGGTACATCTCCATTGGACTATAGGATTGGTGAAGCTTTCGTCAAAATAATGACTGTTGCGGATTCATTGCAAAAGTCCAAATCATCGGAGGATGTTGCGAAGATCTGTAGAGAGGCTCGAACAGCAAATCTCATCCGCTCGGCATCGTGGTTTGCAGTTTTGCGAAGCTCCATACTTTCGAATCCGATCGGAAATAGAATCTGCAATGAGCTAGTCGCCGATTCCACCGGACTCAAGCCCCAGGATTCTTCCCAGATTGGTAAGTATCTGATAAGACATCAGCAAAAATCGCACCAATACTAACAGTGCACAGGGTTGCGGAAGCTGGCTCTGCTGAATATCCTATTATCCGGGGAAGAAGATGTTGTCTCAACCATTCCGACACAGAGACTAGTTTTCCTCACTAAGAACTTGATTGAATGTCTTCAATCTGACTCGATGTCTCTTGGTTTGAAATCCGAAGTCACCCAAACCTTATCTCTTATTCTTCCAGCTCTCGGAGAAATCTATGGATCTCATTGGGAAGAAAGCATGAACATTCTTAACTCTGTATTGCGGGGGACTAATGGAGGCGAGGAGGGTCTACCATTACTCGTGTCGTCTTTCAGACTCTTCGCACGATTGAAGTTTATCTCGGAGAGTGACAGCAATGACGATGTCCAAGATGCTTGGTCGGATCGAAAGGCCGATCTTTTCAATTCCCTGGCCTCTACCATTGACACGTTTGGTAAGCGCTTTAGGTTTCTCTTGTCATTGATATGTCTAACGAAATATAGATTCCTCAACCACATTCCATCAACCTCGGGATGTTGCTGTTGACTTATTACGACGCCTGATTAATACTATCCCCGTTGACAATTTGGAGGATGTTAGTGAAACGTTCCATCTTCTGACTGCACACAGTCGAGCAGTTCAGCGAACTGCTTACACACTTCTCCATCACTATATCCCCCATATCCAGGAGAAGGTATCTTTTGAGGTCGCCTTATCAAAGACCGCAGTCAGCCTTCCCGATGAGCTCGTGTCTCTATTGCTTGAGCCCCCGACAATGCAAATGGTCTCTGCTGCGTACGGAGATGACAAGATGTGGACAAGTGTGCGGTCGTACCTTCTTAGCTGGAAGGTGGTATTTGACCATTTCTCAAACGCTGTAAGTTTTGATCCCTCCATAATAAACTTTATGATCAACTTGCTAACAGTCTGATCAGTCGCTTCCTGTCCAAGAATGCTACACATCGAGTATCAGAGAGAACAATATTCTTATCCCACTCCTGGAATTCACATTTGATTTCCTTCAGAAATCTCATGGACAGATGATTGATGCATCCAAACTTGATATTCGATCATTTGAGCCAGATGAATCCGAGACAGCTGAAAAAGAAACGCAATGGCTCCTGGTACATTTGTACTATCTATGCCTGAGATACTCTGCCAACATGACCAAAAACTGGTGGATTGACACCAAGAAACGCATCAAGGGTCCGGTGGAAATCTGGTCAGAGAGATATGTAAGTGATATTTGCTGATCGCCCCCTTTAAACTCGTAACTGTAACTAATATTCTTCTCAGATATCTCCGCTCGTCGTTGAAGATGCACTTAAAAGTGTGACCGACTGGATTGCCACCCAAGATGCAAACGAAGAGCGCGCACTGGAAGTGAAGATCTCCCCAAAGACAGGCGAAATCATTGCCAGCATTCCAGTCGACGAGGAATCGCCCCCAGTTGCCATTTCTATCACTCTTCCACCCGCGTACCCGCTTCAACCAGCGATGGTTGTCGGTCGCAGTCGCGTGCTTGTGGACGAAAAAAAATGGAAGAGCTGGCTGCTGACGATCCAGGGAGTTATTATGTTTGCTAATGGCAACCTGGTTGACGGACTGTTAGCCTTCCGACGAAATGTTCAAGGTGCTCTGAAGGGACAGAGCGAGTGTGCTATCTGTTACTCTGTCATCTCAACAGACATGCAGACACCGAACAAGCGGTGCGCCACTTGCAAGAACACCTTCCACTCGGTCTGCCTGTTCCGCTGGTTCAAGAGCAGCAACCAGAGCACTTGTCCTCTTTGCCGAAACAACTTTGTTTATGTTTAAATACTTTGTTAGGTCCACTTGTACATAGAAAGGAGACATGGCACAAATATAGGGCAGGGCCCTCGGGCTAGGCCCGATATCCATGAAAGCAGCATTCCAGGATCCGACTACGTACATGTATTTTCAGTACTTCAGATTCTATCAGACAAAGGATCAATTATCAACTGTTAGCATCCTATGTCTGAGACTAATGAAACAAGTACGTTTCGAGCCATACCCAATTGGGAGATTGAACCGACTCTCTTCGATGGACCCGTCTTTTGGTAGTCACAATATTACAATTAGGTATCTTTGTATATTTGCCTATGGTCCCGGGAATAGGTATAGCGTTTTTTGCCAAAATATATATGTAAAGAATCATAGCTCACCCAAATCAGTTAGAACGATCATCCCTGTTGTATACCCCAGAAAGATCTGATGATTTTATTACCTATAACAACGCGGAGAACTGGCACAAGTTATATGCAGGTGTGTCATACGGATTATTTCCAACCCCATATCCAATGGCCTGTCATGTTTGGGCCGATCTAACTTTATTCAAGCCTATATATCAGTTTATTCAGCCTAATTGTGTGGATCCTGTTCCATTTCTTCACGGCTGAACTTCACAACCCTGCCAGAACACAGACGAAGTTTCACACTGAAACGACCATTAGGCAAAATTTTTCACTCGGACCCTCGTTCTTAATGACATACTACACGGCAAAATGCAATGGTCTTCTGACTCTAATTGAAAAGGGAGGATTCTATATCTATATAAAGCGACCGTGGTCTCTGGAATTCGAACATCAACTACCTACATCCATGAGCATATTCAACTCCTTGATTACATTTTTGATTAATGTTTATTGACACTATGCTTTACAAAGTCTTGACATTCTCCCTTTTTGCCGGCAGCGCCCTCGCCGTCCCGGTTGAGGCTGACATTGAGAAACGTATCACTTGTCCTGGTGTCCACATCTTTGGTGCGCGCGAGACCACCGTATCCCCCGGATACGGCTCATCCAGCACGGTTGTCAATGGCCTCCTTAGTGCCTACTCGGGCTCTACGGCCGAGGCCATCAGCTACCCTGCATGCGGTGGACAATCGTCCTGCGGCAGCGTGAGCTACTCCAACTCAGTTGCTCAGGGCATCGCAGCTGTCGCCTCGGCTGTGAACTCTTATAACGCACAGTGTCCATCTACCAAGCTTGTTCTGGTCGGATATTCCCAGGTGAGTTATGTTTTTTCGGTCATTCAAAACGAAAGACCAACTTCTTACGATGCTCCAGGGTGGTGAAATCATGGACGCAGCCTTGTGCGGTGGCGGTGTCCCAAATCAAGGTTACACCAACACTGCGGTACAGTTGTCGATGTCTGCTGTGAACATGGTTAAGGCAGCCGTCTTCATGGGTGATCCGCTATACGTGGCAGGGTTGCCGTATGATGTTGGAACTTGTGCTGCTGGAGGCGTATGTACTTCCCTGTATTCTCCTGAATTTGGGGGATTTGGATCTAATGTCTGAGATATAGTTTGACGCACGTCCTTCTGGATTCTCTTGCCCGTCGGCCGGTAAGATTCAATCGTACTGTGACTCCACGGACCCATACTGCTGCAACGGCAGCAATGCCGCGACCCACCAGGGCTACGGAGCTGAGTATGGCGCACAGGCCATCGCATTTGTCAAGGGTAAATTGGCCTAGATGGAGGTCTAGTAGCAAGGATATTGTGCCTGGGAGAGTCAGATAGGTAGTACTATGGTATCGATAGTAGGGAGCCAGATTCTTGTAGTACATGTTGGACCTGAAACTTTCAATATAAATAACTTCTGAAATTTTCTTCGCCGTTGAGTGTAGGACCTCAGTTTTAAAAGCATGAGGAGCTTGAGTATTAGGGTTAGTTACTGCCAAGTCAAGCAAGACTAGATGTGAGATTCTGTAGAGATGAGGACGCAGATGGAAAACCTGATAAGGAGATGTGATTTTGAAAGCGACCTAGAGATTTTATACTAGAGATCAAGTTACCTAGGTAGATGGATATGTATGTGGAGATTTGGAGAAATTGGAGATGAAATTAAGTGACGATGTCCATGCCCACCTGATGCTACCCCACCACAGAAGCTTCAAGCTTCAAGCTTTCTCCATTCCTCATGGCCTCTCACATTCCCAACCTAAATACCCTCCGCCGAGGCCGAGGTCGAGGCCGTGGTATAGGTCGCACAGAAGAAACAGGACTTTCTTCTGGAAAAGACCGCATCGTTCAAGGCACAGACAATGACGCAAGTGTGTCCCGCCTAAGCGCCGTCGAGCTAGGATACCTGGAGGATGCGTACGCGGCAGCATTGACACCTGCGGGGTCAGCAACGCGGAGATTGCCAATCATTAACAGAGGTGAGCCTGATTCCTCTAACTATGCTATCCCCGATGACAAGAGAGCCTATGACTGACTGAGAGACTTCCCCGCGCACCAGGAACCTACGCCCGCACAACAGCCATCGACCAGCTTGTCGCGCGTTTCCTCGGACCGTCCTCACCGGAAAATACACACAAAAAACAAATCATATCTCTAGGCGCCGGGTCAGACACGCGCGTCTTCCGGCTTCTCTCGTCGCGCCAAACCCCGGATTTCATCTACCATGAGCTCGATTTCGCCGTCAATACGACGGACAAAATCCGCGCGATTAGGTCAGCACCTATACTGCAGCGCGCACTGGGGATTGACTCGTCGAAAGTTTCGGAAAAAGACACTGGGGTTACCGTGTCGGTGGCTGGGGACGCGCTCCATTCCCCCTCGTACCATGTCCACCCGGTTGATCTGCGGTCGCTATCTACATGCAGTGACCCTGCTGGAGCACTGCCAGGTGTGGATACGGGATTACCGACTCTGCTAATCTCCGAGTGCTGTTTGGTTTATCTGTCGCCCACTGAAGCGGAGCAGGTGGTTGCATTCTTCACACAACGCCTTTTCGGCCATGGGCACGCAGTGTCTGGGTCTAGAGACAGCTTGCAAGAAGTGCAATCAAATGGCGCCTCGCTTGGGTTGATTCTTTATGAGCCTATTCGGCCGAATGATGCCTTTGGTCGTACGATGGTGTCGAACCTTGCGGCCCGGGGGATCCAGCTCAAGACTCTCCCTAGGTATGCGTCGCTTGAGGCGCAGCGAGGCCGCTTCCGGGATCAGGGCTTTGGGGATGGTCAGGCTGCAGCTGATATCGAGTTTATTTGGAAGCGGTGGGTTAATGAGGACGAGAAGGAAAGAGTTGCTGGACTAGAGATGCTTGATGAGATGGAGGAGTGGCAGTTACTTGCACGGCATTATTGCATTGCTTGGGGTTGGAGGGAGCGCGATAATGCCCTCGCTTTTGCTGGGTGGAAGGACTTAGAGGCTCAGCAAGGCGAGTAGCTTCATTTGTGAATATTTGATGTCTGATGATACAGCTCTATAACGAAAGGTCATGATGCATATCTGAAAATACAAATTAAAACAACATTGGGCCAAGAAGCCCTGCTCGACACGATACAGTATTTACAGAGCAAATTTATATGATTCTGCATATTATATTGAAGTCTTAAAGTGCAACCCTATCTTCCACACCTTTACTCCGGTCCAACCGCATATTTATGAGGCTCATCATCCGCTAGAGGAATTAGGAACATGATATCATGGTGTGGCTGCGTCAATACGACCTGTCATATATTGTCAGAAGCATGGGGCCCCGCAAAATCCAAGTGATAGGCTAAGGGGATATTCACCATGTGAGGAACATCAATACAGAGTAGTCCTTGCAGCAAACCCAAAAAAGACCTCCTGATTATCATGCATAATGCAATGCCTTTCTTGCTTTCTAGTCTTAACATCCGTTGCAGCAGGATGTGATCGAAGCTGACGCAAGGATCACTACCTACCGTTTAGGGCTACTGTGACAAATATCTCACCACAAATCAAAGTTTGAGAAGTACAAAGAAGAAAAAGAGTCACCCAATTTTTGTCCTCGGCAACACAGCCTTGAAAGACTTGAATAATCAGATATAATTGGCCCAAGTTATCGAAAATGCCGACATCGGACAACTGTATCATAACAGCTCCATGCTTGCATTTGAGATTCATACCAATTACACATGCGGGTGATACCGTGCATCCTCGCTATGCACTTAAGTTACAATATGCGCAACCCTGATGCGTTTTTTACATAGCCAATAGAGCCCGTGATTAAAGTGATCACAGCGGTAAGCCTGTTGATCACTTGCTAGACTATCAAAAACCCCATATTATCCTAGGCCAAGCTTTAACCAAGCCAACAAGCGACGCATCGACAGTTAGGATATTTCTTGGCTATGTGATACCGTGCCTATCAAAGTCGCAAATTCTCATTAATATGGTATCATTGGCTCCAGGAATGGATATGTGCTGGATGGTATGATGATCAACAGACCCAGACCTGTGCAGCGTGGTGGGTTTGATTGGGATTGACAGACTACCAGGTTAAAAGAGCAGCCTTGGTTTTCCCATTCATGTGCTTCGGTGGAGTTCTCTCCTTTTTGGTGCACAACGCATTGATTTGATTTTCCATGTATGAAATCTTGGAACATTTGTAAGGCTGCAAGTTGGAAGTTTCAAGTTCGAAGGTTGGATATTGAGATGTCATGTGATAGGATCTCCAAAGTTCCTCAAAGGTTGCGCCGAGCAACGTGTTCCTCTTCCTCCTCCACCCTCTTCATTTGTTCATTTATATTTTGTTTTTGTTTTTTCACCGTTGAAAGAGTTCGAGAGACTCCATAAAAATCAGTTCTCTCAGATAATTGGCCTCACTCCCCCTGCCAAGCAGGAACCATCGGGGTAATGCCGTTCATCATTGGCTGGAGATTATTGCTCCCCCTGACGCTAAGTGTCTAGTGGTCCCATGTGGCTGTCCACTAGTGGAGTTTGCTTCAGGGGCACAGTTTTGGGGGTCCAAGGCAGCCCGCATAATTCCTGTCTTGGGGAGCAATTGTGGAAATTATGGGCAATCACGGACGAGCCGCTCGTGAAAGTCGGGGCTGTTTGCCCGGAATTGCGCGCAAATCATCCCAGATCTAACGCTCTTTGAGGCTAGCACACTCGTGGACCTGAGCCGGGACCCTCCTTAGAGGCCGTGTCCCTTTTGTTGGTGCCTTTCCCCGTTTCTTTCCTTTCTCTCGTCTTGACCTTCATTATCTGTGAGAACTGTGTCTGTCCTTGGCCATCGGCCGTATAATTTTTTTGTCACTCGTTTGACTTAGCCATTCGCTTCATACATTCATTCGTTTATTGATATTTATCAACTTGCCAAGTCTTTTCCCCCTGACACAATGAAGTTCCAGATCACTTCCTTCCGCGCAGCGGCGCTTGTCGCCCTCATCGCGAGCGCTGAAGCCGCTAAACATAGCCATGGCCACAGCCATAACCACGAGACTCGTAATGTGACTCTGAAGAGGAGGAGTGGAGAGTGCGAGTTTCCCTCCGATGCTGGCTTGGTATCAATCACCCCGAATGAGGAAAACGCCGGCTGGGCTATGAGCCCCGACGAGCCCTGCACACCTGGCAACTACTGCCCTTACGCTTGCCCTTCCGGTCAGGTGTCTATGCAGTGGGATCCCAAGGCGACGGCCTACTCTTACCCTATGTCCATGAGGGGTGGTCTGTACTGTGACGAGGATGGCAAAATCCAGAAACCTTTCCCCAACCGTGACTACTGTGAGTCGGCCGCTGGTGTTCTCAAGGCCCGCAACAAGTGTGGAAAGTCTGTCTCTTTCTGCCAGACTGTGCTGCCCGGAAATGAGGCCATGCTTATCCCCACCATGGTTGAGACGACTGCCGATCTGGCTGTGCCCGATATGTCCTACTGGTGCTCTACTTCTGCCCAGTACTACATTAACGCTCCTGGTGTTACCGCGGAGGAGGGCTGTGTCTGGGGTTCCAACCAGAGCCCCGTCGGTAACTGGTCCCCGTACACCGCTGGTGCCAACACCGACGACAATGGCAACACCTTCCTGAAGATCGGCTGGAACCCTATCTACCTGGAAACTACCACACCCTTCCGCAATGTCAAACCTGATTTCGGTCTCGAGATTGAGTGTGAGGGTGGTGGCTGCAACGGCCTGCCCTGCAAGATCGACCCTGCTGTCAATGAGGTCAACGAGATGATCGGTAAGCCCTTCGTTGGCGCTGGCGGCGCCACTGGCTGCGTTGTGACCATCCCCAAGGGCGAGACTGCGCACATTATCGTCTTTGAGAGGGAGAGCGACGGCAGCACCTCGTCCGAGACCATCGAGGTTTCCACAAGCACTCATATCGCCACTAGCAGCTCCAGCTCCAGCATTAGCACCAGCACCAGCACCAGCACTAGCACTAGCACCTCGACTCCCACACCGACTCCTACTCCGACCAGCACCAGCACCAGCACTATTGAGACTTCCACCTCTACCTCCACCCCCACGTCTACTCCGTCGTCGACTTCAACCTCGACTCGTACTTCTACCTCTAGCTCCACCTCGAGCTCCACCCCTACTGCTAGTTCCACCTCCACCACAGCTCCGGTTGTCACTAGCCTCAGCGCCCACCTGCCCAAGTCGAGCCCGGCAGGCTATACCTATCAGCCGCACGTTCTGACCGGTTCTGCTGATATCCAAGCGGCCTCCACGACAACCGCTGCCGCTGCCGCTGCATCTACGTCTTCCGCTACTAATGGTGCTACCAGCGCCACCGCCTCCATGATGACCCTGGCCTTTGGCGCCATTGCCGCCATGGTCGTGAAATTCTAAATCAGGCTCGACTGATTTCGCTATATTAGCTGCAACATTGCATATATGTACGGGGTGTGTACAGCCACCACCTTGGGGCTTCTTTTCTGCACTATATTTGCCCGCGGTACTCAATCGAATTGAAACTCCGCGGGCGTCTATTATTGTTTGATTCCTTCACATTTTTAATTCTTCTACATAATCCCCCTTTTTATGATTCTTTACATCCCTTGGATGCCCTTTCTTCACGACGCTCAACGTTGACCTTTATTTTTTACTCTGCTTCATGACTTTTATATCCCTTGGTTCCTTGGCTCCTCAGCATTGCTCTTCATTTTCGGCTTGTGGAATATATATTTTTGTTTTTGCTTTTGTTATGCAGGGGGGTTTGTTTTTGGTTACATATGATGGTTGGTTGGGGCTGAAACCAACCAGATCTTTTTGCTTGGACAAAGAAAAATACTGCTTGTTTTTTTATTCGTCAATCCTTACTACTAGGACCTTTCAAGATCTCACACGTGTGGACAGATTCTTATAGATTACACAGAGTGTCCACCCACTATTTATCCTTGCTTTGATTCTTCGGGCCAAGCATCACACTGTCCTTGAAATAGTTACTTGGTGAAATTGAATATAAACAAACATTGAAATTGTGCTAGCTCCAATATACGATCCACCCTGTATGTACATGCATCATTACTATCAGACGATACACATCTAGCATACATCAAACTATAACGCCGATACTAACCCAAGGACCGAGGAAGTCCTTGCCCTCAATCCACATGCAGACATGCCCATCCCAAACTCCAAAACCAAGCAATTCAAGCATCCAACTCCCTGATAGGAACAACCATATCCGGTCTCCCCGCCTGAACAGCGAGCGCATTCAAATTCCGCTGCCTGGTCTCCCGCATGTATTTGTGTTGCTCGTGGGAAATGTCCTTGTGCTTCCCCGACTCGTCGATGCCATAGTACATAGTGTATACACTGAACCCGATGAGCCCGCCTACAACGCAGCCGGCGATGATGAGGAAGATATAGAGGGGGTATTTGTCGGGGTTGCTCATACTGCTGCGCTTGAGCAAGTTTGTAGCGTTGTTGATTGTGGACTTTTGTGTGATTGTTGTCTCCATTGTGGGTGGGATGGTAGGCATAGTGGTTTGGAGAGGCTGTAGAAGATAAGGAGTCCCATTAGTTGCTGGACATAAGGGGCATAGTATGAGGCTGGCTAAGTACTTACAGTGGTTAATAGAAGGTATTGATGTCAAATTCTTCCTTTTTGGTATGCCAATGTCGGGGGGATTGGTTTATAGAGACAGGAAACAGCTAAACTATACTTAGTGGGCGAAATCTGACTATATAAGTAAAATGAAACTGTACGCTAAAGCCTCCCTTTTCTACATCTACGGCCAAGCAATACTGAAACACGAAGGGATTGCTAAAACCGAACCCTACAGTTGTGATATTCTTCCCAAATAGGTATAGCGGCAACAGACTTCCACGCCAATGATGTCAGGAACCGAGCAGACCAATCAGCATGGGTTAAGGGCTAGTGGGTCGACCAATTAAAATTGTACTTTCTGGGGCTAAATGTTCTAAATATGTACATTGATGTTGACCGGAGTGTAAGCTTCTGCTCTTCGGCCCCAAATTCCAGATATAATCTGCTATAGTGGCTCTTCCTCGCTTTCATTGGTCCGGTTGTGCTGTATGCTCTGCACGATTGGCTCGACCGGTTCTGTTGTCACTCTCTGGTCCGTCGGGCCCGCATCGATTGTACCAATTCGAGGATTGGGAGTATCTGCAAGTGTATTTGTTTGGGGCTTACATGTCTCAGATAGCTCCCGAAGTCGGTCTCTCCGGCTGCCAATCTTGTTGATACTTGTCAAATGTGACTCTGAGAGCCCCACTGTCGCTGTGCGTCTACCAGTGGAGGGGGTGGTGTACTTCAGCCCAGCCATATCCATCTTTTCTTCTTCTGTAACAGCTTCAAAGATGTGTTTTTTCTACTCAAATTTATTAGAAATCTATTTACTGGAATACATTATAGTTCGTAATACACAATATGATATCTAATTGTCAATGAGAAGGGGTAACATACTGGGATCGTATTATATAGATTAAGTTAAGGTGGAGAGAAATCAAATGTCTACGTAAGCATAAAAAGACCGGAGAGCTGTCTATAAAGGCTGACTAGCCTCTGACCGGCATCTATAGATCATCTCTAATATCCTTTGATCCATCATGTTGGCATTCAAAATATCTCTTTTGGGATCTCTTATGATTTTTTTCTTTTTTTTTTTTTTCTTTTCCACACTGTTTCTCAAAAATTTCTCATTCTCTAGCAGATCAAAATAACGGACATCAAGCATGGACCGAAGTTGTGAAGTTGATATATCAAATGACCCAGATTCGAAATGGCATTATCATGATGGCCGCAAAAAGCAACCGTAGCCAGTCCGCTCGCTCGGTCAGCAAATCCTCGACTTCGAATCTTATACTTTTCTTCGCCACACTCCCTATGCCACATCCAAATGGAGATAGTATGTGATCCATGCTGGACATGTCGCAATCGCCGCATTCAGTGCGACCAGTCCGGAATACCATGCGCCAAGTGCGAGAAGGCCGGCGTAGAATGTTTCGACAAAAGACCGCTGAGATGGGTCAAAGGCGTGGCAGTTCGCGGAAAGATGCAAGGCCGTTCGTATGAGGGTAAATCAGTTGGCTCTCCTATGCGCACATCTAGAATTACCAAACCCGTGCCATCAACACCGAAGAAATCGCCTCATGCTCTGGTCCAAGCGTCTGGCGGTAGAAGTCTGCCGGTTACCTTGCAAGACCCATATATGTCAAACCTGGATCAAACCTCGAAATATTATATAGACTACTGTAAGATCTGTGTCTAAATTTGAAAACCAGGGTGTACTGACATCGCATTCAGATAACGAACGCATATGCAAATTATTCATTGTATACGACAGCGCCAGAAATCCTTTCCGGAGTTTGATCTCCTTCGGGTTGGAAGATTCGGTCTTACAAAAGGGCATCCTCGCTCTTGCGGCGCGGCACCATGCCAATACAGGCCATTCGTTCCATCAACTTCAAGGTTTAACACCTGCTGGTCTCGTTAATGCCAATCGCGATGCGCTACTTTTCAAACATCAAGCCATGGAAGCTCTCTCCCGGGTGCTTGGGGACAGCACAATAAAAAAAAGTGATACGACTGTCGCTAGCATATTTCTTCTTATTTTCCTGGATCTCCTCGAGTCTGGAAGTGATGGCTGGAATATCCATCTCGAGGGTGCTAAGCGTTTGATTACATCGTACCAGCCGATGCTTGGAGCGCAAGCCGGAGTTAATAATGGACCTGGCCAAACGGTGCAGGAGATCTGGGAGTTTATCTCCAATCAGATTCATTCGTGAGTTAGACTAAGTCTAGTGAATAGCATAAACCTAAACCCATGTGAGAGACTGACTGATTACAAACTAGAATTGAAACGCTGGGAGCAACGTTCTTACGACCGAAACTACTGTCAGAATTCATGTTTGACAGGCAAGCTGAAACACAACCCCAAGAAGAAATTGAAAAGTCTTTTCTTGGATGTCCGGAGTTCCTCCTGTCGGCGATACAATTTCTTTCTAACGAAAGGGACACCATCGCAGGAAAGCTGCCGGATGGCGCCGCTCTCCAAACACATATACATGATACCACCGTGATGATGGAACTCATCCAAAACTTTGACTGTTACGCCTGGGCTTTGAGTCTCCAACGATCGAGACATTCTTCTTTGGATGAAATAAATGATCTCTGCAAATTATCGCAGGCATTCAAAATCGGGGCTTTGCTATATGGGAGACGCGTTCTTGATGCACTCACGGAAACCATAACAGTGCAGGACGATTTAGTCTCTGAGCTGTTGGGCCTGATTGATATTTTGAAAGACGACGAGGCGCTTTTCAAATGCGTTCTGTGGGCTATCTTTGTGGCCGGTGTGGAGTGTAGATCTCAGGCCCAGAAAGACTTTTTGCTTGAATCTTTGGAGAAATTTTGGATTGCTACGAGTTGTTTGAATGTCATCAACGCAGCAAAGATCCTGAAAGATTATTGGCAGCAGGAAGAAGGCTTGGAGACTCCGTCGCGGTGGATATTTGATATTGGTCGCTTGGGTCGCGACTGTCTTCTGATATAATATACCAAGTATCCCAAGAATATAACGAAAATTCCATATAATCTAGCACAAAAGAAAAGATAAAAGTTAACTTAGCTGTCATCCCAAAAGCGACTTGAATGCCTGGAGCAAGTCATCCTTCAGATCCTCCCAGTTCTCTAGCCCAATGCTAACTCTCAGTAGCTTTCGGTCAACCTTGGAATCCGATAAAGCCCGCCACTCAATCAAAGACTCAACACCGCCTAGACTAGTAGCATGTTGGAAGAAGTGAAGCTTAGATGGCAAAGTCTTTGCTAACTCCTCATTGCGCAAGACAATGGAGAAGACTGGACCAAACCCATTAGGCATCTGCTTCTGCAACCACGGCTCATCCTGCAAACTAGCATGGTAAATCCTTTGTACAACCGACTGAACGACCGACTCCTCACTACCCATAGCAGGAGATGAGACTTGCATAGCACCATGAAGCCAGGAAACCAACCTCGCCGAATTCTGGCTAGCCCGCTGAACCCGCACCTCCAGCGTGCGCAAACTCCGGATCCCGAGCCAGCTCTCCATATTTCCCATCACACTTCCAAGTGCAATTCTATCTTCAAACAACCGCTTCGTCCAATCAGCACGCTTTGTACCAAGCACGCCACAGAGCAAATCACTATGTCCACCGAAATACTTCGACCCAGAATGCATGACGATATCCGCGCCCCAGAGGAAAGGATCCTGCAAACTAGGCGGCGCAAAAGTACTATCGACAATGAGGAATGCGCCGCGCGAGTGGGCCTTGCGTGCGTATTCCTCGATGCTGAACGCTGTTCCCAGCGGGTTGATGGGTGTTTCTAGGAGGATGACATCGCCAGAGCCTAGGCTTTCGGCGGGACAGTCAAGAGCCAGTTTTTGTAGCCCGGAAAGACGCGATATCACAGCGATAACTTCGTGGCTGCCGTGGTATCCCTCGCCGACGGAGATGTGGCGCGGGTTGAGAAGTGTGAGAGCGGCGTGTAGGGCGGCTAGTCCAGTTGAGTAGCTCACTGCATTCCCGCCTATGAGAGATGAGAGAACTGCTTCGAATCGGGTTGCGTTTGGGGCAAATTCACGGGAATAGACATAGTTCTTGCCGTTGAACTCATCCTAGATGGGGATGTTAGCTGGGAATATGGCTGTGTGTTGGCTTGGGACGTACCACTGGATCCTCGGATGGGATAAGTTGAGCTGGGTCATCAGGATATCTGAATATTGTAGATAGATGGATTGGGGGTGCGACATCGGTCACTAGATTTAGGCCACCATCTGCATGCAACGCTTTGGTGGAAGAGTGGGCGTTATCAGAGACCATTTTGCTTTCAGGATCCTTGTGAATGAGAAAATTGAGGCCGAGACGGTGTTTATATATATTTGCTGCTCTTCCAACGTTGACCTCTCACTTTCATGGTATGGATTGAGACCCACTCCCGATAACTTCCTAAAACGGAAGTTAACGGGAGCATAGAAAGCGAAGCCCGTAGAAGCCCTACAAAAATCTAGTTATATGAAATATACCTAATATTATAAGAAAAATCGGTTTCAAAAATTCAGCCTCCTACCACCCTTTTCTGCCGTCTACCTTTAAAAACTGAAAAGTGGAAGAAAATATCTAAAGAAAAGACTGCTAAAAAAGACTGCCAAAGGCATAAAACATGGAAGTATGAGATATCTCAAGACAACAGCAAAAGTCTGCCGTAGTCAAGGTCACACAAATAAAGCAGCTAGAATTAAGAACTTAGCCTATATTTGTCGGGCCTCTATAGGTGCCTACAACACGAGCCGGAGGATTTGAGCCTTGCCACCTTGACTAGTCCTTACGCCGAGACTTTCGACTCTGAAGACCTTTTGCAGTTGTAAGACCTACGGAGCACCGAAGATATCGATTCTGCCACAATACCCGATAATGTTTGTCTGGGTGCTGAGTATCGATCCCCCGGTTTTGGATCGTGCGACTTGGACCCTGCCGTTATTGTTGGCCAGCACCTTCAAGCTATCGGTTCTGGAAATCACATCCGGATAGGGGACCTTCTAGGCAATGAAGCCATTGATCCTGCAATCCTAAGCGATCATGACTGCCCTGATTCTGAGCATATCCAAGCAATGGAGGATATCACTAGTATCGCAACATATCTGGACGAATGTCCTTCGAATTGCTCTCGCTTCCCGAATCAAGACCCGTCTTTCTAGCGCAGAGGACACTAAAAAGGAGACGGTGGATCATGATAGCCAGTCCTCCAAAGTACAGAAATTTCCACCTATAGGGAAGAGAAAAGCAAACAATTGTTCCTCTCGGTCCATTAGAGGGCCCGGTCGTGGAAAGAACGGTTCATTTCCTGCTATTCGTGCCCAATTCTCAGCCCTTTCAGTTGAAGACCGGCTACAGTTCCTCTCTTGGCTGTTTAAGAGTGCTATATCACACCACATTTCTACGCGTGCCAACACAGATGCCGCCTCTGTATCAAGATCCATTCCGAGTCAAGACGTGAGCATCTCCTGCGACTATCCAAGCTCAAACACCGAACTAGTTGATGTGCAACCTACTCCTACGAGGAAAGGCCTACCGTGGTCCGTGGAAGAAAGTCATTTATTGGTGAAGCTCAGGGAAGAACAGAATCTCGCGTGGTCGGAGATGACGAAGCTTTTTGCACAGAAATTCCCTGGAAGGAGCAAAGGGTCCATACAGGTGTACTGGAGCACGACGCTCAAGAAACAGCGTTGATCTTTGGCGGATGCCACGTAGAGAATGCCATCTTTATCAACTATGCCATACCCTCGTCTCTCGCGTTTAAAACTACTTCAAGAAAGGTGGTGAACAGTAACTTTTTACCACCTCCAGCCCCCGGTTTTAATATCTCAATCAACTCGACCTCCCCAGTTGATGAAAATAAGCTCTAGTCCATAATGGAATCGAAGGGACACACCTCCAGCATGTCCATGTGGCTTTGGACTAGATCCCAATGCGGGCTTTCAACACGTCCTGCTCCGTCCGTACGATTGCGAAGGTGTATCCCGGCCAGGGGTCGGAAACCAATATTAGTAATATTGATGCCTTAATAAGCCTGAATATTTGCCGGCAGAAAATATGAATACATGAATTACCATAACAGAGCCCTTGGGAGAAATTAAAGAATTCAAGTACTACGAATTCTTTAATTTCTCCCGAGGTCGACAATCCTGGTGCCTCAAGAAATAGGCACAAATATGACGCTATTCGCACCTATACAAATCCTGGAATTCCCTTATTCCTGGGCGTTGAAGTCTTCCCACTGTGTACTCGTCCCCCTCTCTTTCACCACTTGAAGCTCCCCTCAAGATAAAATATACGTCCTTGTATTCCTATCGCCGAGGCTGACTCCGAATCTCACGTTTATAAGCGTCGAGATTGATCCGTGGGCGTATGGAGATGGTCAGGGGTATTCGGATTGATGAGGATGGATAGCGATTTGTACGGTCGGGATCGATGAGGACAGATTGGCGATATGTATGGTCGAGGGGCATTGAAATCGTCGAGAATATGGTATAAGAGAGGCTTCACGCCTAGGAACGGGAGGGTTGGAATATTTGTATTGTGGGAATAGCTTCAATATTACCCGGGAGGGAGGCTTCCATTTGAGGGCTTCATTTACAATACACTGTAAGAGCGGTGCCAAAAGGCGGTATATAATCAGGCATAATCAGGCATCATAAGGCACCAATATTAGTAATAATTAGTTTCCGACCCCTGGCCGGGATACACCTTCGCAGTACGATCCATCTCTTTGCGTCTACACCATTACTTTGCAAAATGCCTCTTTCTCAAGAAAAACGAATACAGATGGCAAGTACAGCTTACAGAAGCAAAAAAGTTCGGTCGAAATCAAGGGCTGCTGCATTATTTACCGAAAAAAAGAATCATATATCCTCAATCAAAACCTCGGGATATTCTAATCCGCTTCAAGTTTCAAGTATAGATTGTACTAGTATGGTAACGCCGGTAGGTGGAGCTCTAGTAATTGTTGCCAGCCACCAGCCAGAGCTGACCCTGAATATATGCATGGAAGTCTTTGGAAGCGCATGGATACTTTGAAAATATGCCGGCGCACATATCTACAACCTTCTGTTCATACTCGCAAGCGAGCTGCTTTAGCATCTCGAGAGCTTCCGGTGCTTCTACCTTCTTTTCCTTCATGAGTATGACTACTCCGCTCATAATCTTCATTTGGTGTTCTGGACCGGCGTGTAGAGCTTCTTTATGCCAGCTCCAGTAGTCATTCGTCAGAGCGATAGTTGCACAAACGTACCAGAGGATCGGATTGGCTAACTCCACCTCTTCCTCGGTAACGTCTAATTCCATAACAAAGCGCATAGTAGGACCGCATGGTCTGGCAAAGAGTACTCTCATCAGCTGATTGAAATTTCCCTGTCTCTTTTGTTTGATACCGACAGAAAGAGGAGTTGATGCAAGACATACCGAATACCGATGTTCATGGCTCGATAGAGAATATACTCCTCTATAGTGTTGAAGTAGTCGACCGTATTAGAGTCAACATTCAGGAGCCAATGTCGCCATTCACGCAAAATGGGGAGTGCGCGCTTTTTGTCGATGGTCAAAATGTTCTTAAGGAATGGGATGGTCATCTTTTCTATTGCAGAAGCATTATGCTGTAGCCTGATATTCTCGTCCTCGATTGCAAATAGCTTGTCAAACTCTTTGTTCAGCGTCGTATGAGCCTGCTTTATATAAGCCAATATTCTCATGGTGCCATGGCCTATTTATCAGAAGAGGAATTACCTCGTAGTCCGTTATGGTGTCCGCTTTGTCTATAGAAAATATGTTAAATAGTCCATCTGGCTGTCTAGGCGTCTGCTATCACTTACTATCAACGAGGAAGAAAAACTCAGTGAACCACAAGGCGTACCCAAGACGCTCCGGCTTTGCCTCGGGGTAAATCGTACTGTCCCAGTTTCCTGCGATTGGGTTACTATTTCCGTGACGAGTCTTCGTGAGCCTATCGCTAAAAGTATTCTCCTATTGCTCGAAAATCTGGTCTGCGACTAGAGTAGGTTGATATCTTGATTGAAGTGAAGTGTAAGAATCTGCGGAGGTTGATATCATTTTATTCTCCAAGGGCTACAACTGTTCACCGTATCGGTTACGACACTACTTGATGCCTAATCAATTAACAATTGGCATAAAGCAGACTTTCGGGGCATTACTCTATTCAAGACATAATATTGGTCCTTTGTATCATCGACTTAGTCCTATATTATGATAGTTATTCACTGTGGTTCCGCAGAGTTCCGACCAGGGTGGATACATGCGCGATGGTTTGAGTTACTCACCGCAAGTATCCATATATAAGTGGTGATAGGACTAGATCTCGACAGATTCTCCAGGCCCGGTGTACGTTGGGGACCGACCCAGAGCAATGGCGTCACTCAATCTTATTGGTGGTGATCAGTGGGGCTCATTCAGGACTCCTAAGTCAAAATAGGAAGGCGGGGTCACCCAGCTGACCTTATCCAGCTGGCAAATATCACGCTTTCACAATGCCATTGAAGATTGGTTCCACTATAAGGAATCTCAGAATCCCTCAGCTATCACCATTCATCTTCCTCGGTTTCGAAGGAAGGAGAAGACACGGGCAAACCATGATGGGTGAAAACGCAACAGGAAAGGATACCGGAAATGAGAGGAACAAGAAGTGGGAGATGGCATTCACGGCCCGGATGAGGCAGATTGTCCCTGGTCTCTTTCTTGGGAATGTTGAGGCATCATACAAACGGGACCTGCTTCAAAAAAATCGTATCAACACAATTGTCTCTTTTACCGATGCTCGGTGGGTATGGTGGAACACTGCTACAAGAGAGGCAGGTATTCCAGAGCATCGTCACAAATAGGTTCAGTGTATAGACTCGTCAACGCAAGACCTCCTTGCTTATATGAGCGATATTTGCGACTTTATCGACCAAATGGCATCTCCTGCTCTTTCCTTATTGTCCTCTTTGCCTATCGACCACAAAAATACTACGAATAATGAGCTATATAGTGCACCTTCGGAGGCGATATTAGCCCACTGTGATCTTGGTATATCACGCTCGCCAACGATCGTTGTCGCCTATCTTATGCGCAAACTCCGTATCCAGAGAGTGGACGTATTGAATTTTGTCCAATCCAAACAAAAAGTCAAACCGAGCCTGAATCTTACTCGTCAACTTCAAGTTTGGGAGGAGGTTGGATATCAAGTATGGGAGAATGAAGATAGGACTGTCCCGAAAGCGCCATACAAAGCGTTTCTGGAAGATCGAGCTGCCCTTTTGGAAAAAGGGGGCTAACCGGGAATGAGCCGCTCGCACCCCAGAACCTTTAACGTCTGCATGGAGGAAAGGTTTATCCAGCATGATCTGCCAAAAAAATTGCATCCCAAGTGGGCGGTCAAGGGGCGGCTGGACGTCCAAAGTTACGGGTGGAAAGGCAGCCGTTTCTGGCCTCAAAAGCGGTCATTTTCGGCGTCAACCCCACAGGTCCTCATATTCTAGTTGTAAATCAACCCTATATCTGAGGTATTTCTGAAGTTTCCCCGAGGTCTTTCATTAGTTATGGATAGGAAAAAAAGGCAGCTAGCGTGTCGATGAGGTGTTGGTGAGGTTTCGTAAGCTTTCGGGGCGTACCTATTCATCCAGCTGTTTCCTTCGTTTCTCTCCTACAGCAAACATTTGAATCTAATCATGCCTCGAAAAGCCTCATCTTCTTCGCAGAAATCCATATCTTCGGGCCTATATCGTCTTATCCCATGGGAACATATTCGTCTCCAGAATCGTTAAGTCCCTCTTCGGATGGCTGCCCAACATCCAAATTTCCGGCCACTATATCTCTATCTTCAAACTTGCTCAAAGATCCCTCCCTACTCTTCAATCAAGTATATCGGGATGCAAAGGAATGTTTAAAAGAGGGTCAACAGAATCAGTTTTAGGCACGTTTAGCAAAGACAGAACAAAGATATAGGCAGATTTCCCTCCCCCTACCAAAGGTTTCTATTGGTAAAATAAGCCGGAAAGAGGTTCAAACTGCGTTTCGCCTAACCCGCAATCCAACGGATAAGGCCTTGTAGATACACCCCTATCCAGGAGCCCCTTTCCCACAATATACTCGTAAGTCCATTCCTTCAAAGGTACTTCCCGGCTAGGTTATATCCCAATGGCCTACTATTTCTCACACATTGTCCCGCTTATACTCAGTTGTGCTAGGTCAGATAGCTGCAGTAACCTTGTGGCTATATACTGATATCTGATAGTCGAAATGTTAGAAATTATTCAAAGAGTCAGCTAGTGCAGCGCTCAAAAGGAAACAGCAGCACGATCAGTTATTGATATTCTCCTATACTCAGTGCTGGATCAGGCCTCTGCGTCTAGCAATCATCGGTAATGGCCCCTAAACCTGGAATATGAAATATATATGACCTCTCGAACAATCCTGTACGACACGCAACAGTATAGAACTAGCGGGCGTGCAGACTATACCAGAGGGTATAGTGAAACCTGCGCAATGTCAGAAAAGGCTATCAACCTAGTTATCGTCGAAGCAAATAAGGAGGGTACGGTAAGCACTAGAGAAGCCCAATTCCTGGGATGCATGGGTATGTATTTATAGACTATGTCTAAAACTACTTTTCTAGCCGAACCATTTTCTCCTACTCCGTAGATTTGCGCAGATTGACAAATACTACTAGGGGTTGGCTAGGTAATTAAATAGTTAGTTAGTTAACGTATTTCACCACCGAGTGGCCACAACCACCGAGTGGCCACCCCAACCCTACATATTAAATTTAAATGCATTTTTCTCAACCAAAACTCCATTAAATTAATTCAACTAACTAATTGGTCTATCTGGACATGTTTCTCTTCTATGCCCTGGCAATCTGTATATTCCACATCCCCGGGGGGGCTTTGTACGTGGTTGTAAACCCGATTCTCTAGGTATACCGGCGGCGGGGGAAGGTGCTTCAGTTACTTCCAGTTGCTGTATAATTAATACAGATACTTCTTGAACTGAGAGGCCTTCTTCGGCGGGTATCTGCCTTCGGGATCGAGTGCGCTTTTGCTTCTGCTTCTCGTTGGCGGCGCGTAAATCGCTTACTTCTTTCTTAAGAAGTGCGGCGGATTGTATAGTGATCTAGCACGCCTTTAAAACCTGGTTTATAGCGGAATTGAGAGGACTTAGAGGGCTCCTTAATCTTATACGAAGCAATGCTTTAATTGACGAAGCTTATTTTTATAATTAGACGTAGTTCGAAGGGGTTTTTGGATCCCAATCACTACCCCGGCTCGGAGGGGGGGTCGGGGTTCGAAGACGAATATTAAGCTTTGAAATCACTCGATCGGGTGCAAAAGGTATTAAACCAACTGCTCCGAAGCTATTTTTAATAGTCTCTGATTTAAAAGCTTTAATTCGTATAAGTAGGTATACTTCGAGGAAGTTAAGTTTATCGACATGATTTATCCTACTCCGTATTTTGAATTCAATAAACCGACCGTATACACGTTTTAGTACCGCAAAACAGCCGATATCGAGAGGTTATAAAAGGTAAGAGGAATACGGAGGTATACAAATTGGTATAATACTATTTTGTTCGCAGATTTCGTCGAACTTCGGTGTTAAATAGCTTCCGTGACCGTCGAGTACTAGAAGCCGATACCTCCCCTTCGTACGCGAAGAAGTCGAAGGAATAAAAAGCTTTTCGAGCCAACGAAGTCCAATTTTATCCGAAGTCTAACCGTTAGGGCTTACTTCAAAGCGCTAGTTATTCGGGACGCTTTTAAACCAAGATTCGAGGAAGACTTTACCTTTAAAAATCACACACGGAGGAAGCACCCAGCTAGAAGCACCCGTATATTCAATTACTGTCACCCACTCGCGAGTTCCAGGTTGTAAAGTCTTACACCGACCGGTTATATCACTTCTCGTAATAACCTTCGCGGTCGCGGTTAATCCTAACGCGAAACCGGTCTCGTTAAAGTTATAAACATTATCGGGGTCGATTCCAAATTGAAGGATCGTCTTTTAAACTAGATTAAACCACTCCCCAATGATTTTAGGGTCTTCGTATTTCGTACGCTCGTAATTATACCGTTTCGAGAATCGGGAGGAGAGGAGAGGATATCGTTTCACGAATTTCGTAACCCAATTTTCGCCGACCGAAAGAACCGGGGTAGTTCCACGTTGTTAAAGAAGAAGATCCGCTATTTCTCGTACGGAAGAGGGCCGGGGGGCTGCTCCACGAGAATCCATAGAGATAATCTATTTTTTAAGAGATTCCTCTTCAAGTTCTGTCAATTTATACGAATTAGCGCGAGAAGTCGCGCGGTCTTAGACGCCGCTAAGGCGGCGGCGGAGAGTTGAACGTAGACTTCCGCAAAGCTCGAAAAGCCCGAAACCCGACCCGACCCGACCCTCAAAAGGGTCGGGTTTCGAGCCTAAGGTCAAAGCCCACAGCGAGTTTCGGGCTTTAGGCTTAGGCCCACAGCTCGAAGGGGGGGGCCCCCGAGCCCCCCCCTACGACTAAACAGTGCAAACATACTAATTTCTCGTGACTGCACAAATAATACAGGAATTCCCAGTAATTTTGAGTATTTCGATTACATCGTTCACTTCAAATTCAATAAATCGTTGATTCGTTCACGTATATATCAATATATTATAATTAAATCCAGTGTAAACTAATAAGACTGATATATATCATCCTCTACATACTTCCTTTTCCTCCCTAATATACGTGGCTGAGTACTATAAATTGGTAATAGAGGATCGCCAGTATCATCATCACCAGTATTATCATTATCAACATCAATCAAACCCCCCGAGCTCTCAGGCTGTTCTTCTGTATCACTAATCTGTTCAAATTCAACATTATTAAGCTTATCGTCCTTTTCCTCTCTTAATACTTCGATCTCATTCAAAGAGAAGAATCGTTTAAGCTCTTTTACCTTATATAATTCAAGGTCAAATCTTAAAGAATAAAGAAATAGCATCAACTCTTCAATAGTCTCAGACTTTATACGACCGCGGCGATAATAGTAAATATCGCGAGCAGTGTTAAATAATCGTTCTATACCTACACCAGTTGCTGGAATTGCAAGAATATCCCGCGTAAGCGAAGCAATCGCAGGAAAGCGACTGTGGTTCTCTCGCCAAAAGGGTAGCGGCTCAGAATCAACAATATCTATATAGAATTAGTAACGAATATTCATCGAAATAAGATCAGAAGAAGAGTATAACTTACCACTATCAAGATACTGGGTTATCTCGTCACTAACCGGCTTCGCTTTAGGTTTCTTTGGGCGAAGCAGATTATAAAGAGCTGTGCTTAGCCTTAATCTAGGAGAGGAGACTAGTAGGCCTTAACTAGTAGTATAACGCTCTTAGTAAGGTAAGAGAGTATCTTAGAATAAGGCTCGATATTTATCACGCTATTCCTTCGTCCAATTATCGGAGAGAAAGAATTGGAACCTATTATCTAGCGCCAGTATAGTACTAATCGTATAAAGGTAATCACGATCATAATCTGTCTGCGAATAGTACTTATCAAGCTTCAATCGGCCAGCCTTAAGGGAGGAAAGTATCTGTTATTTCTATAGGACACGCTTTCGTTGAAGCTGCTTGATAGACTTCTCAAGGTACTCAAACAATATATTGTAGATCTAGAATACTAGATATACAGTTATATCTCGAGTCTTTGAAAGCGTAAGAGTGTATTCGTAGAATGGCTTTGTGAGATAAAGAAGGTAATCGATCTGACGCTATTCGTCGTTATTAAGTGCTATCTCCTCGCAGTTATAGTCTGTACAGAATATACCAAGGAAATCACGGAGCCTCTTTGCCCGGCGAAGCATAAGAAACGTTG